AAGAGTTGGACACTGATGCTTCTGTCTGTCTGTCCGTCTGTCCGTCCCTGGGATTATGGGTGCGCATTGCTGCTCCAGACTTTTTTACATGGGTGCTGGAGATTGAATGCAAACACTTTACTGACCCAGCCATCTCCCCAGCTGGCGAACGAAAATTTTATGTTATTTAAATGATTTAAATTAGATCTACAGCTTGGCTTGGAAGCCACAAAGTTGGCTTCTCTGCCTCCCAGCCCCCAACGAGATGCCTGGACAGGGCGGGACCCCCTGAAGGAACAGCACCCCTTTAGCACCTCTGACCGTGTTCGAGCTCCTGACTGCAGACTGTCCAGTTAGTTGTAATGGCCTCAAGTCAGGGGACCAGAGATCGTGACCCTCTTCCTCACGGGGTGTTTTTTCCCCCCATGCTTCTCCAGGACAGACTGTTTCCTGGCTCTTACAGAAATGAAATTATTACACATCTTAGTTGATCCTGGTGACCTGCAAACAGGGACCTCCCACAGTGTCCTGTGAGGAAGTGGCCTCTGGAACTTACCCTCCCTCTAGCGCTAACAACTGCTTTCCAGGTGCGGGGAACAGGGAACTGGAAGGGGGAATCCCTTGGCCACCAGCCAGTGGCTAATTCCAAGTCAAAACTAACAGGAAATCTTTATTATTTCCTTGACTAGCCTGTCACAAGGTAAGGATAGGGGTCGTTCAAATAGAGTAAAATGCCCAAGGGCTCATGGGAACTTGTCTCTCAGGAGGCTGCTACACTGTAGGTATAAGCCTCTGTGACAAGGCGATCAGGGAGGAGTCACAGTTTCAGAAATATGACGGCCCGGCATGTGGGGGTGGCAGGGACTGCAAGTCTCTTCTCCACAGATGTGGCCCTTTAACTCCTAAAAGGAGTGTGTGGCAGTGGGTGAGCCGCTAACCTCCAAGCAGCTCTCACAGCCTGAGAGGCTGAGGTGCTCAGAGAGCCAGAGGAGGCCAGCTCACAGACCTCTCAATTTCTGTCCGCCCTCTCTCCCTCCTCCCTTCCTTCCTTCCTTCTTTCCCTCTTCCTTGTATCTCCTGCTTCCCAGCATTATCTTGGCCCCGTGGGCCTTGTGTCCCTGCCTCCCTGCAGGTAGGGTCCCTAGGCAAGCAGGCATTGGCTGCAGCTGGAAAAGGTCAAGCCTGGGCCCTCCTTAAAGGAGCTGCATGGGAGGTGTGGGGTAGACAGACAGCATCTTTAGAGCCCTCACTGGGACGCCTTGCGTTTGCCTACCAGTCCAGTGTGTCAGGGCTCTTCCAAAGAAGTGCCCACACCTCGTACAACCAACTTCTGCCCCGAGGTCTGTCCCAGAGCATAAGCCTGACCAGCACAGCGTTCCCAGCAACGTCATTGTCGACGTGCCTGTGGAGAGACCCCATCCATTTGCCCTCGATTTCAGACTCCTGGGACCTTGGAACACCCTGGACTCTAGGAGGTCACTAGCTCTGCTCCTGCCCAACCATCTCCTGAGGAGGTCGCTGCTGCACCACCTGGGGAGATTATTAGCCTGCCATTACCCTCCCAAAGCCCTTGACCTCCTGGACACACCCCTAAGATCCAGGCTGACACCAATTGGCACACACCTTTAACCCCAGCACTCAGGAGGCAGAGGCAGGCAGAGCTCTGAATTCAAGGCCAGCCTGGTCTACAAATGGAGTTCCAAGACAGCCAGGGCTACGCAGAGAAACCCTGTCTTGAAAAACAAGGAAACAAAAAGGCAGCAAGCAATGCGAGTGGCCCACTGACCACGTTCTCTTGGGCTTTCTTTTTTTCCAGTTAACGTTCGGGTCAATCCTCCCAGGTGAAATCAAGTCCCTTTATATACCGAAGTCATACTTTCATTTACAGAAATGAAGACGGCTGAGCACAGCGGCCCACGCTTGTAATTCCAGCACACCAGAGGCTGAGACAGGAGGAGCCTATGTTCAAGGCCAGCTTGGGCCATGTGGTGAGGCACTGCCTCAAAACAAGGAAGAACGCCCATTCCCCATAACCTTCTTTGGGAAGAGGGGTTTGCTGTCCAAGGACAGGGATGTATTACGCAGTTGATGACGACACCCTTGCCCAGTTCTCTAGCATTCCTGGTGACTCCAGTCTAGAAAGATCTCTCTTATTCCAGCTAGGGCAGACCAGGACCAGCGTGAATTACATGTCTCCAAGCTCCTGTGAACACAGAAAATCTGGTTCCAGGAGATAAAGTTACCTATCTATCTACCTGCTATGAGGGACAAAATTTCAGGCCTGCCACAAAGACCAGAAGTGACCCTTTGGGACAAGCGGTCCATGAAGAAAGCCCAGCCCAGGAGCTTCGGTCCTCAGAGCTCTCAGGATAATTCTCAGGGTCAGAGCACGGCCACTTTCCAGGAAAGCCCCTTCCTGAGGGAGAGGAGGCCAGAGCGTGGGAGATACTGGCAGTGTGGCTCATAGAAGAGAAATGCCTTTGGGGGGTGTGTGTGGAGGGCTAGCATCGGGGTGTCAGGAGGCATGGCCTGGGCAAGCACTGCATTTACAAAGCCAACAGCTGGGATTCAGATTCCTGGCTGGCAAGGACCTGCATTTGTATGAAATGTGTCCCAGCTGTCCAAAAAGGTGGAGGAAGCGAGGGAGTCGGGGATCAGGACTTGAGAGCCTGTGTCACCCATGGATCATAGCAGGACTCCGGAGTCACAGCTGGGCCTGAGGGTCAACCCAACTCATCCAGAAGTACAATCAATATTGACGAATGACAGAAGCAGAGGCAAGGACTCTAATCCAGATTTGTCAACCCCAAGGATGTCCAGGAGAGTCACCTAGGGAAAAGACCCACCGACTGTATTTGCACGCTGTGATCATGGGATTCTCTAAGTAGGTAACCTAGAACCTACACGCATGCCTCCAGGAACATTGATGTTCAACAGTAACATGAAAACGAATACAGAGCCGGGCAGTTGGTGGCGCATGCCTTTAATCCCAGCACTCGGGAGACAGAGGCAGGCGGATCTCTGTGAGTTCGAGGCCAGGCTGGACCGACAGCCTCCAAAACAGAGAAACCCTGTCTCGTAAAAACCAAAAAAAAAAAAAAAGAAAAAGAAAAAGAAAACGAATACAGTCGGTGAAGGGAGAAGGAGTAAAGGGATAGAGAGGGAGGGGTTGGAGTGGTGACCTGACGCTGACCATTTACACACCTGGGAACATGTCCTTCACCAATACACTAAGCAAAGTCTCCTGGTTATAGAAGCAGGGAAACACGAGCTATGGATCTATTTATATGTTTCATTTAAAACAGTTTCTTTTTTTTTTTTTTTTTTTTTTTTTTGGTTTTTTGAGACAGGGTTTCTCTGTGGCTTTGGAGGCTGTCCTGGAACTCACTCTGTAGACCAGGCTGGCCTCGAACTCACAGAGATCCGCCTGCCTCTGCCTCCCGAGTGCTGGGATTAAAGGCGTGCGCCACCAACGCCCGGCTTAAAACAGTTTCTTAATAACATAAAAAACCCACAAATGTGAAGTGTTTTCACAGCGTTTTCTGCTGGGAGGTGGTAAGCCAATGCATGTCTGAAGTTAAACTAAGTCTATCTCATGTTCAATTGAAAGCTGCTAACTGAATTGGTGTGTTTCAAAAAAATAGGTATGTCTGTTGTTCTAGGTACAAAAATCAACACTGTCGTCAATAAATAAATAATACGTGTTTCTCAAAGTATGAAATGTAAACTTGGTTGTCCTTTCCTACATACTTTTTTTTTTTTTTTGAAAAATCACTTGAAACACATACAGGGACATTTGGGGTTGAGATCACACGAAGCATTCGGTTTTCAGTAGAGTAGCTGTTCTGCCACAGAGACACCATCATTTACAAGATACTTTCTAGAACCCTAGTTCAATCCTGAGGACCTACAAATAGAAAAGACCACCCAACCCAGGAGAGCCTGGCCCCGGAATCCAGAGACATGCAGAGAGCACTTCATGACCATAGACTGAGAGTATGCGAAAACAAACACAGGAACAAAACCCGGCCCACATTTTCATTAGCAAATCAAGCTATTCTGTAACCAACCAACCCATCTCTTAGCATTCAAGGAAAAGAAAACCTGAAGCATTCGAACTAAAAGCTTGGTCTCTACACCCTGACCCTGGCAAAAAAAAAAAAAAAAGCCCTGTGTGTTTCTATTACTAAGAAGACGGTGTGTCCCCGGGGAAAGCTTAGGGGAGAGTTTCCCATCTTCCTACTCCATGTGTGGGGCTCACTGTCCCCAAGGTCTCCCCACCACCACCACCACCAAGTAATGGGTTTTCTTAGCATCTCTCCACGCCTCCCAACTCTTGAACCCTTTCTTTTGCAAACTGTATCCATCTAAGGCGCGACTTCCTGCGGAGACCACTAAAGACCGCTGTTGAAGTTTCCCACAACAGTCACGGTCCAGTACATTCAAACACAGAATCAGCTTGGGTTGGTCACCGGACAAGACGTCTCATGAAATGTCACAGGGTCTCTGAGCCCAAAGAGAATGTTCCGATAATACCGGGCAACCAGGACTCAATGACGTCATCCAGCCTGCCCCATAACTCATCAGAACAGAGAACTTCATGGATAATGAACTTCCGTGTCATCAAGCCTTCCCAGTGACCCGAAACAGATCTAACTCGCCAGGACAGAACTCCACAGACGAGCTTCCAGAACAATTCTCCAAACACACCTTGACCCACCCACCCCACAGTTCACCAGTGTGTTTTCAGTGACAGACACTAATCAAGGTCTGAACAGCTCTGACGCACACTTGAGAATCTTCCAGTAGTGGCTCTCGGGAGAGCTATGTCAGTGCCTGCTCCAGGACTCATAACGCCGAGCATTCAATCCAGGGCCCCATTTCCCAGTGGGAGTTGGACTCCAAAGCAGCAACAATTCCATCACAATTGGACTAAACACACCACTCACAGGGCGTCATAGGCCAGGTAGTCTACAAAGGGGCTGGTGGAGGGGAGAAATAGGAGGCCTACACAAGTTCTCTAAAATACAGCCACTGCATTTATAAATCTGTTTTGTAGTAACCAGTCCCACACCTCCATCCAGGGGAAGAATTCAGGCTCCCAAGGGAACCGAGTTGAAGGCTGTGGATCTCAGAGACTCTGGAAGCCATGGTGAGACCTGTGATGAGGACAAAGGAAAAGAGAGTTTGGATTCATAAAACAGGACATGGTTTGAAGGGCAGGATTGTCGAGAACTACTCCTAGTAGCCTTGAGGGACTTTTGGCTCTGTTGTCCCCGTTGCCTCATGGCTGATCAGCAGACAGCACATGGGCCTTTGAGAGGAAGTCCTCCAGGGTCATCCCAGGGCTGCTACGGCTCATCAAACAACTGCAGGTCAAGGCGGACCACAATCTCCCCCGTGGGGACCTCGTGCAGCAGGAGACACTTGGTAACTGGACCCTTGGAGCCCTGGTCTTTCTTGATGTCAGCCACTCGGATCTCTGTCCGACCCAAGAAATCTGAAAGAGAGAAAGCAAAGCATGCTCAGAAGGAGTTCCAAGACGCACATCGTTCACGCTGGGGCTCCCCTACGGCACAGCCAGGGACCACCTCCTCTAAGGTCACCTGTAAGACCAGCCCTGGCCTTTCTGGTTTATTTCCCCCATGGGGTTGTCAATTCACCATGATATTTCACTGCTAGAAAGCCAAAGAAAGTTTTAAAATATACTCAATAAAACAAAATAATATATATCCAAGGTGATGGGTCTACCCCGATTTATTGTTACACGTTATGTACATGTATTGCGATAACCCACAAATAGAATATATTCTGTGTCTGTTTCAAAATATGTTAATAGGGTCAAGGTGATGGGTCGGTCAGTAAAAGCTTTGCAAACACAAGGCCATAAATTTGGCCCCCGGGGTCTATATTTAAAAAGGAAACCCAGGGGTGGGCTGGAGAGATGGCTCAGCAGTTAGGAACACGTGCTTCTCTTCTAGGAACCTGATATGGGGTCCCAGCACCCCACACAGTGTCTCACAACCACTTGTGACTCCAATTCCAGAGGATCCAACACCATCTTCCGGCTCCCATGGGCCCCTACAGGCATGCAGTGCACACAAACTCACGCAGGCAGACACATAAACGTTATTTTTAAAGTTGGGCAAGGAGCCAGCGCTCTCCACGATTGAGCCATTTCCAGTCCATCTTTTACATTTTTAGCAGGGCCACCTTATGTGGCGACGCTGGCTTCAAAGTCATAATTCCTGCCTCGGCCTCAGGAATGCTGGGGAGATAGGCGCGAACCACCAAGCATGGCTACATCATTGCTGTTTTAAACATTTACTTATTTATTTAGTGTGTGTGTGTGTGCCCATGTGTCCATGCCATGCCATGTGTTGAGACAGAGGATGACTTACAGGAGTCCCCTTCCACTATGCCAGTACTAGGGATCAAACTCAAGCCATCAGGTTGGGCAACAAGTGTCTTTACTTGCTGAGCCAAGGACAGAAAAACAAAAGGAAACTACATCTGGGTTCCTAGGCAAGCCCTTTCTCACAGCCACCAGTGTGGGAATGCAAACCGCCACAGTCTGTGTCTAGCTCAGGGAAGCAGCTCGCCCAAGCCCTTCCGCCCACGCCCTTCCTGCCCACGCCGTCTAAGTTGGCTGCAGCAGCTCCCGGCACAGTGCCAACCTGACCCCTAGGGAAATCCCCAAGAGCGCCCGGCTTGGGTCCAGGAAAGCATGTATCCCTGTAAGACGGAGGAGGCAGGGCAAGGGCACCCCGAGGGCCATTTCCCACTCACCATCGGGTGAGAACTGGTCCCTCTCGAACACGGTGATGCAGAGAACTTCCTGCTCCAGGTCTCGGATGAAGAACTGGCAGTTGGAATTCCACTTGGGGTTCAATGTGTCCTGGATTGTCTTGGTGATGTGACATTGAGAGCCCATGGTCACCTCACAGTACGGGTTGCTCTTCCCTGGAGTGAATAAAAGCCCCTGCCAGGTGGGACACATTTCATTTCCAACCCCCTCAACCTTTGAGATTGACAGGTGGGAAATCTGGCGGACACGCCCACGTTTTGGTCTCACATCTAGAAGCACAAATCCATTAGCAAGGCTCAGAAACTAAATCCTTTCTGTGTGTGCACACGTGTGCCATGTGTCATGTATTTCACAGGGACTATGAGTGAGATTGCTCAGCTCTCACTGCAAAGCAGGACCATAGAAAAGGACTCACAAGAATTATGTGTGTGCGTGTATGAATATATGTCAATATATACACACACACACACGTGTGTGTGTGTGTGTGTGTGTGTGTGTGTGTACATATGGCTCTTTGACAAATGCTGGAAAACCCAGCATCAGCAGGAAATGTACACAAGCAATAGCACCACGTCAAGTTGGTTGGGGTGGAGGAGGCAGAGGGGAATCCACGGCCCTTACCATGTGACCGACAGGGCTTCAATTCGATGCCTTCTACAACGTTCACCATCAACCTTCCAATGCCGGTTGCCCGCTGGGAACGGACTAGACCGCAAGGACACAGCACAGAACGCTTCGTTTCACGCTGGCTTTGACGCCCTTCTCCCCGGCATGCCCGCAGTCTGCCGCGCATCTGCCCCCGCCAGAGCGCGAAGCCCCCTCCCGCCTGTTGCTCTGCTGGCCCACCTTGCTCCCACCATGCCCGCGCCCCAGCCCCAGCGACACCGGATGGACTCGGTGGCTCTCCCGCCCACCCTCGTGGTCCACCGCCCCCTTCCCGCACTCGGTTCCAGCCGCCCACCACGTTACCCAGGTACGCCTTCTCGCGCTTCTTTTTCTCGGTCTCTATGTACAGTTCAGAGGCAGCTTTGATTTTCTGCACCCAGGCAGTCCTTGGACAGGAAAAGACGGAATGTTGCCAAACAAACCTCTCAGAACAGAGAGCCAACTGCCGTGGGGTCTGCTCGAATTCTGTTTCCAGGACTCTTTTTACCTGGTTTATTTGAATTCAGCAGCAAAGGCTCAGAAAAGAAAGACTGATTCTGTATTACATGATGCTAATAATTATCCCTATCATCAGTAAGAAAGGCTTTTCTTTCTTCTTTTTTTTTTTTTTTTTGAGACAGGGTCTCATACAGTTTAGTCCAGCTGGTGATGAACTCACTAAGTAATCCAGGATGGCCTCTCCCTGACTCTGCCATCTGACTGCTGGGGTTGCTGGCACACACTCTGGTTTATGGGGTACACGGACTTGAAGCCGGGATTTTGCACACTTGGGGCAAGCGCTCCACTCCCAGAGTCCGTAAGCAATGGATGTACTCCTTCATGTTCCCACTCCCATGGAGAAAGTCCTCCCTCTCCGCAAAGCATCGCGTGCCTGGCAGACCCAGGAAGACAGAGGGTCCGTCCGTCTGTCTGTTTTTGAAAATCGCCCAAGGGAAGAGCGGAGTGCGCAGCAGGAGGCGGCTTGGCGTGCGGGTTTCCCTGCCTACCATAAGTACACCAGCTTTAGCCAATCTTCCTGCTGGCATCAATGTTCTTGGGAATGTTGCTGGCCTTGGGCCAAGCTCGCCCTCCAGAAAGTGATCTTTTCCATTTGGCTCCGGGACAGTCTAAGACTGGAGCGAAATACCGGCAACCCAAAGATCCAGATGGCTGACCCGGGGAGAGGCTAGGGACGGGGTTAGTCCCAAACCACTTTCCTATAGGTTTCTGCCACCTGGAAACTTGGGGCGATCTAAGCAGCTCTCGATACTTCAAAGGCTGCTGAACATTTCTAAAACAAAAAAACAAACAACCAAAAAAAAAAAACCAAATACAAGAAAGAAAATAGGACAGAGGAAGCCGCGAGCAAAGCTGATTTCAGTCCGTTTTATTTCGAAAGCCTCACGCCAGATGTCCAACTTTTGAGAAGTTCTAAAAAATAGTATGTGCGACCCTTCCCTCCACACAGGGGTGACAGAACAGCGGCTGACAAGTGGCCCTCACCTGTTGCTAGGGAGGGGTCGGGCTTACCTTTCGTTGATGCTCTCTGCTCGGAGGGTGTAGACGCGGTCGATGTGGGAAATGTGGAAGATGGGCTCATCTCCAGATGGGTCGGTGGGCAGTTTTACTAGAACCTCGTTTAAGAAAATAGGCTGTAGAGTAATGATGCAAGGTGTTACAGAACAAAGCAGGGGCTCTGTGTGCTCACCAAGCTCTGTGTGTCTGTGTATGTGTGTGTGTGTGTGGGTGCGCAATACACCGTGAGCATAGACGCGTGTGCATGCCTGCCTATGAATGTCAGGAAATTACACGGTGTGTGTGTGTGTGTGTGTGTGTGTGTGTGTGTGTGTGACCCAGTAATCTAGTGAAGGCTGTGTGTTGGAGGGTGTAGTTCAGTACACGGACTATACCAGAATAGAGTACATGTTAGAACTAACTTTTTAACGTGTAAGGGTTTTGCTTGCATGAACGTCTGTGCACCAGGTGTGCAATGTCCACAGAGGCTGGGGGGGTGGAGTCACCTGGAACTGGAGTTACAGACGGTTGTGAGCAGTCATGTGGGTGTTGGAAACTGACCCGGGGTTCTCTGTAAGAGCAGCATTTAAAGTCCTTACAGGTAAACTGTTTGCCCCGACTTGCGCCCTCAGCAGCCAACAGTCCGCATCTAAGAGTCTCTCTTTACAGACAAAGGCTCTAGCGACACTCCACATTGTCACCTCGCCTTCTCCCAAACTACAGCTGGCTGCTGCCCCTATGAGAACCCCTGAGGAAAGGCACCCCCGCATCGGCAAAGTTAGAAGATAAAATGCCCCACGGTGTAACAACACACACACACACACACACAGTCCTGCTCACACGGGACTTAGCATTCTGTCACAGAAACCTTCCACTCGTTGATGGAGAAAGGGAGGGCCACAGATGTTTCAAACCGCCGTGAGAGTGTGTCAGGGCATCTGGGGCAGGCCGGGCATTGGGCTGGCCGTGGGGCCTGTTCGCCTGTGTAAAGTGAGTGGGAAGTGGTATCCCCCAATAGGATTGTGCGTTACTGGGAACAAAGGTGGGGCATGGACGGTACTCTACTCTGCTTACTCCGCCCCTCACTAGCTTAGCCCCTCCCCTTACCCTGTCCTAGCCCCTCCCCTTACTAGTTTGGCCCCTCCCCTTACTCCATCCTAGCTCCTCCTCCTGGCCCTTCCCCTTACTATCCTAGATCCACCCCTTGCTCTTAGCTCCTCCCCTTTGCTTTCCCTTCAGAAATAGACTCCTTTTGGAGACGCCCTCTTCCTGCCACCTAGAAAGAACCGTACCGTTTTGTACATTTTATACTGCAGGTTCGATTTGGGGCTGAAGACTTTGTCGGTGCCGGAAGAGCCTAAGGGCTTTGTGATCTGGGTCAGCAGGAGGAAGTCGTTGAAGAGGAAGCCGTACAGCTCCTTGTTGCTCTTGGCCTTGTAGAGCTTCCCGCTGTGCAGAAACTTGCGCGGCCCCAAGCAGTTGGTCACCGAGTTGAACACCAGTTGCTAGGAAAGGTAACCAGACAGGAGGGAGGCGCGATGAGGGAGTCCCGCTCGCTCTTGCTTTTGCTTCTGTCTCAAGCACGAAGGCGGGCCCTCAGCAGGCCTCAATCCCACACACAAGCCAAGAAGGGCTCTGAGGAGTCCCAGCAGCAGCTTGCCAAGCCTAGAGAGCACAGGTTCTGGGGTTCCGGGTACCTGGATTAGTCTTGGGTAAGTTCTCTGGCCTTTCTGCTGGGGTTTCACTCTCTCTCGGGGTTGCGGGTGCACGGGGTTGCGGGTGCGCCTCCCCCCTCAGTCCATTGAGAAGTGGGGCACCAGGAAGAAAGCTGACTCCCCTCTTGGCTATCTGCTCCGTGTGGGGGTGCGGCAAGAATCCCCACAGAGCTCAGAGAGTCCTCAGTGCTTTGGGAATGGCAGGACTCACGCATATACGTTCATGGACAAACGCCACTTTCCCAGATGGAGAGTCCAGACCCCAGGACTGGAGGGTCTGCAAGATTCGGGGGTGCCAAGTGACCCCTCGAAGTCCTACAGGACCGTGTGGTGCATGCTGAATCTCGCCCTGACTGCTAGTCTAGGACGTGTGAAGGGAATGAATGGCTCCCTTCCGTCACTGGGGGACTATGATTGCTGATATGTGGGCCCCAGCATCTCCCTGGAGGCTGTCATCTCAGCCCACACTACCTTATGTGACATTCTCCAGCTGCCTTCAAGAGAAAATTCCTCTCCAGATCGTGATTACAAACACGCTTCCTGGAAAGAGGTCATGGGACTCACAGTAGACGCCCCCTAAGAGGCGCTGGTGGCCTCCAGTGTGGAAGAGAAGCTGGCAGTGCTTTGGCGACCAGAGACCTAGGGGTGGCTACCTCACTCTTAGGTCTGAGGCTGGAGGAGCCTGGAAGGCTGGTGGCGACATCCCAACAGATGTCTCTTGATGGGCAGGAAGGGTGAGACCCATCTCTAGGCTCCTAGGGAAAGCACAGGGTTAGGGTCACACCCTCTTCAGATGTGGGGCCACACTTTGTGTTTTTTCAATGTGTATGAGTGTTTTTCTATCAGTAGTGGCCAGAAGAGGGTGTCCCATCCCTGCAACTGGAGTGACAGGTGGCTGTGAGCCATCTGAACCCTGGGTCCTCTGCAAGAGCAGCCAGTGCTCCCAACTGCTGAGTCATCGCTCCCAGGGGTCCCAGGCTTTCTTTCTCCCTCTCTTAATAATGTACTTGGGGTTGAGCGTTGACCAATGACATGTAAGCAGATAATAAGCGATTTCTTGTGTATGTAAATGAGTGAGGTAGACGACTAAAGGCTGTCTGTCCCCGGGTTCTGAAATGAGAACCCCCAGGCATGGCTTCAGCTTCTGCAGGGCTGCCCTAAGCTGGTGTGCACCTTCCCTGCGGAGGAGGACAGGGGGAAGGTGGCCTCCCATGGCATGGGAAACCAGTGAGACACAGCCTCCCTGGGCGTTTTGGAAAACTCTAGAAATCTGTACGTATACGTGTGTGCATGAGCGTCCACGTATGTGTCTGTACACCCATGCACTCGGATACAGAGGAAGCACAAGCAGAAAGAATGGGAGTGGAGGTTACGAGACGGGGAGCGCCGGAAGAGCAGCAAAGACGAGTGTGGGGGCGAGAAACCCAGATGACTCACCAACACAAGCGTAAAAAGAAAAAGAGCAAAATACAAAACGCCTGTAAAATACAAGCTGGTAAAAAATAAAATAAAAAATAAAATAAAAATAAAGAAACTGGGAAATGAGCAGACCCCCAAAGCAGAATGGAAACAGGGTTACTAGAAGACCAGACTTAGAAGGCGGTGTTAGCCCCGGGAGCCCTTAGGACCTGTTGCTCCTGAGTCCTCCACTGTGAAGAGACTGAATCCACAAGGCTGAGGTGAAGGGCCGAGTGGACTGAAGTCTGAAGTGCAAAACAGACAAGCAAGAGCACTTCGCTGGTTTCGGTTTTAGTATGTGGGGCGTGTGTGTGTGTGTGTGTGTGTGTGTGCGCGCGCGTGCGTGCATGCGTGCGTGTGAGTGTGTGTGCGTGTGTACCAGCTGCCTGGACTCTGTGACCAGCGGGTGGCTCTACACACAAGGTCCCAGCTGTAATCCACCTGTCCGATGTGATCCCAAAACTCCCTCTAAATATAACATAGGGTGGCCTGGGTAACAATCCACTCAGGAGAAATGCAAGTTCAAGAGCAAAGACGCACACAGGGGAAGTTTAAAACAAAAACAAAAACAAAAACCTATTAGTTCACAGTGTGGCTCGGTGAATAACATTTAGCCATCTGCACGAGGCCCTGGGTCTGACGGCTGGTACAGAAGGAAAGGAAAAAAGAAATCGTGGCACATATAGAAAAATAAGGCATGCCGAGTGAGCGCTGTCAGAAGCAGCAGACAAAAGACTGTGACCCTCAGACGCTGGGACACACAAACATGTTCAAGGTGTGTTAAGAAACAAATAAGGAGCCGGGCGGTGGTGGCGCACGCCTTTAATCCCAGCACTCGGGAGGCAGAGGCAGGCGGATCTCTGTGAGTTCGAGGCTGGGCTGGACCGACAGCCTCCAAAACAATACAGAGAAACCCTGTCTCGTAAAACCAAAAAAAAGAAACAAAGAAACAAACAAGGAGCACGAACATTTGAACAAGGAGCAAGACACATAAAAGAAGCTAGGACATTTGAAAAAAAAACTGAATACATTTTTGGCAATGGGAAATAATAGAATGGAAATTAAGAAGACGCATGGGTTGTAACATCGAGCAGAAGAGAGGTGGCTGACGGGAGAATGAGCCGTGGGTCTGGAGAAGAAAGTGGCCATTTTTCTCATCCCCTCTCTGCTGCCCGCCCATGCTCAAATGAGAGCGGCCCAGATCCCCGCCCCGTAGGTGGCTACCTCAGAAAGGCCTTCACACTGCACGTGGGCTTGGATCCACTCCAGACGGTCCGAGTTCTCCTTCTCTCTCACCCCCTCGTTCACCTGGGAGCACAGCTCTTCGGCCTTTTCCAGGGCGTGCTTCAAGTGGCTGTGGTCAGGGTGGTTTTCCGGGGTGTTTTCTAGGATCTGTGGGGGGGGGTGGGGACACAAAGGACAGTGCGGATGGACCCGGCCCAGTCATCAAGGAAGCCAGAGCTTCCAAACGTGGTGCCGCCATAGCTGTGACTCGAGCGTAATAGCCAGTGCCTTGGGCTCGGTGGGGCTTACCCTGCTGCAGGAAGGCGATGGGTGGCCCTGCCCTTGAGCCTTTCAGCCCAACCTCACAGCCTTGAATGTCCCAGAACAAGCAGTGACCTGCCCTGCCAAATGCTAACTCCCAGCACGAACGCTAAACTACACACACACACACACACACACACACACACACACACACACACACACACACACACACACACGCCCCAGATCTTAGGTGGCATACGGACCGGCGCAGCCAGAAGGGACTCTTCGCAAATCTTCACTCCACTTCACAAAGAAAGAAACTCAGCCGGGTGTTGGTGGCGCACACCTTTAATCCCAGCACTCGGGAGGCAGAGGCAGGCGGATCACTGTGAGTTCGAGACCAGCCTGGTCTACCAAGTGAGTTCCAGGACAGCCTCCAAAGCCACAGGGAAACCCTGTCTCGAAAAACCAAAAAAAAAAAAAAAAAAAAGAAAGAAAGAAAGAAACTCAGCCGGAGGCCAGGGACAGGCGCCAGGCAGGCTCCCCTGCTGCACCAGCAGCTGCTCCTACTGCTCGCTCTGAGGGGACCGAGGACGAAATCGTGGTGTTGGAACTGAATAGTATCCTACTAGCCCGTGAGTGATGGTCTACTCGTGAGTACGTAGGGCAGCTTAGGTGGGCTGGGATGGTGTTACCCACCATGCGCTCATGTCCCCTAGAGAACATACACAGCCGTATGCACTTATGCACCCCAGAGATCAACTCAGAAGGTTCCCCTGAGCAAAAAAAAAAAAAGTATGTTCGGGTGGGTGGGGAACACGTGTGTGTGTTTGCTAGTGAGCGGAGGCCAGAGGGCACCCTCAGCTGTCATCCCTCAGGAGTCATCTTCCTTGTTTGTGATACAGGATCTTTCGATGGCATCCGAGGTTCACCAATTCAGTTAGGCCGGCTAGGACCCCCACCAGGGCTGGTATACGGCACCATGTCCTGCTTTTACATGGGTACTGCGGCCCCAGGCACTTCCTGACTGAGCCACCTCCCCAGCCCCAACGTACGATCTTTTGTTTCTTTTGTTTTGTTTTTAATCCTGAGCAAATCTTTCTGGCAATGGCACTGCCTTTATCAGGCTGGTGAAGAGCTGGGTGCCTTTCCAGGCGGGGACAAGCGGCAGAAATAGGATAGTTTTAAAGGGTTGCATGGTACAAATCTACTGTGTTTATTTAATCACTTCCCTTACTGAGCGTGTGTCCTGGACTGAAGTCTTCTTTGATAATGCTATGACTCTAGGTTGGAGGGCCAGCGGGCAATCCTGACACACTGAGGAGAGATCTGGCCCCTGGAAACTGAGTTGTTCTCTGACCTTCACGAGTGTGCATGGCAATGCTCCTCTCCCCCCATGCCCCCCCCAGCCACTGTCTGGCTCACTTGATCTCAAAATAAAAAACTTTAAAATAAAGTTTTATTTTGAAGCCTTGCTAGGAATCATCCCCCCTTCACCATTATAGAAACATTTAGTCTTGGGGGCTGGGCAGGTGACTCAACACTGGCTGCTCTTCCTAAGGACCTGGGTTCAATTCCCAGCATCCAATACGAAGGCTCACAAATAACAAAACAAAACAAAACAAAAACAAAACAAAATAATCTGTGACTCCAGTTGGGGGGCCTCAATGCCCTCTTCTGGTCTCTGGGGGTACTGCATGCATGTGGTACACAGGTACACATTGGGGCAAAACCCTACACAGCAAATGAAAATAAATAAATCTTTGAAAAGCTCATTTACCATAGTATCCCCATCTCTGTACCATTGTGTCAGCTCCCGGGTCTTTCTCTTAAATGCTCCGCCATGAATGAACTCAAGGACAGACGTTACTGTATGGTGTGGGGTGAAGCTGGGTCGGGCTGAGGTTACCGTGGGAGGGAGATGTGTTACACACAGCCTGGACAAAAGCATACACTTTGTGGGGGGTGGCACCCATGTCCCAGGGTAACCATGAGCACACCTGTTCCCACGGCTTGGTTTCTGAAAACTACTCTCAGATAAAGGAACCAACTTCCACCTCCCGGGGAAGCAGGCTTCGTTTCCCCCGGCCCTACGGCTCAGAGGGCAGCCGAGCCGGCCGCTCATTTCCCGGTGAGGACAGAGAAACGCTAGTTCTGTTTTCTCTGGGACTGGCTTTCTTTAAAGCCCAGGAGGAAAACTGGTGTCTGGTATCGGGAGGGGCATCAGGGAGCGGCCTCCCCGAGACAGATGGTGGGAATCGCGTTCCTCTCTCTGTTGCTCCAAACTCTACGCGGAGGCGCCGTGCCAGCCCTGGGAAAGCGTCGGGAACGGAACTCTCACCCTCTGGCTTGGAAGCCACTTGATGGCCGTCCGAAGGCTGTTTTACTAGTTCACACAGAACCATCTCTTTCCTCCCAGCGGCCAAGCAGATGGCTTCAGCAGCCGGTGGGCACGTGACTCCCACGTGACAGCCCCCAGGTGTCCTGGCTGGGAAATCCACCCCTGCCTCCAACCGCCTCTAGCTGCCTCCTGCCCCCTCCAGCCTTCCTCTGCCCGCAAAGGCACAGGCGGCCGTACTTACGTTTTTGATGATCAGCGGGTATCTCGTGACACGCTGCATTGGCTTCAGGATGAAGCTGGACAGGGGCATCCCCTTGCACCGAGGGTCCATTGCCAGTCTCTGGAAGACATTTTGTTTAATGTGCATTAAAAATCTGCAAAACCTAGTCAGTGACATTATGTTTGTCATTTATTCCATCCATTTGGATAGTAACTGATGAGCCTGGAGTTGGAAGACCCTGTCCAGCTGTCATGGTCCAGGATAAAGCCATTTACAGAGGGAGGACGGTGTGGTGGTTAGAGAGAAAATGGCCCCCAAAGGGAGTGGCACTGTTAGGAGGTGTGGCCTTGTTGGAGTAGGCGTGGCCTTGTTAGAGGAAGTGTGTCACTGTGGGGGTGGGGTTTGAGGTCTCATATGCGTTCAAGGCACACCCAGTGAGACAGACCACTTCCTGTTGCCTACAGTCAAGATGTAGGGCCCTCAACTCCCTGTCCAGCACCATATCTGCCTGCTCGGTCGCCATGGCCCACCATGATGACAATGGCCTGAACCTGTGAGAAACGAAACTACCCCAGTTAACGGTTTTCCTTTACAAGAGATTCTGTGGACTTGATGTCTGCTCATAACAATAGAAACCCTAACTAAGACAGATGGGGAGCCTCAGATGCGACTATCCACACCCTGCCTCCACACTCAGCAAACCTTCTCCGAGAGGAGAGTCTATCTTAAAACTTTCTTCCAGATGTCTGAAGACCTTTGTGATACTCCAGGGGCCCAGAAGAGCCAAAAAGACTTCTCAGTGAGAGTGAACCTCCCACCAAGGGACGAGAAGCCGGAGAGGCTGGTACAAGTGATGTATCTGCCTCCAGCACAGTCTTCAAGGCGCTCGGGCGGAGCCGGATGGATGGCAGAGCTGAGACCCAAGGACTAAGATTCCTGTCTCTGGCGGGCCGGGCCGTGTGTCTGGCTTTGGTGTTTTTCCTTTTACCACTTAAAGAAATTATTTACTATTTACATGTGTGTACACGTGTGTGTCCCCGTGTGTTTATGAATGCCTGTGTATGTTGCGCATGTGTGTACACGTGTGTGTCCCCGTGTGTTTATGTATGCCTGAGTATGTTGTGCATGTGTGCACAAGTGTGTATGTCTGTGTGTTTATGTATGCCTGAGTATGTTGTGCATGTGTGCACACGTGTGTGTCCCCGTGTGTTTATGTATGCCTGAGTATGTTGCACATGTGTGCACACGTGTGTGGGTGGGTGGACATAGGGGTCACAGGTCAACTCTGGTAGCTGGCTCTTGCCCACCTTTCTGTAGGTTCTGGGGCTGGCACTGGTATCTTCACACTTAAACAGCTCCACCCTGAACCATCTCCCCAGTCACCCAGCTCCTGCCACTTATACACACTCTGTCTCAAGAGGACAAGAGTCCTTCCACCACAAAAAGAAGCCCCTTGGCTGCTGGTGGCTAAAGATGTCTAGGGTCCAGTTTAACGCCTCACCGGGACGCCGCCATGCCGCCTCACCGCGGTGATTCAGGGAGCATAACTCCTGAGGTGAGGATGCTCCCCCCCAAAAAAAGCCAGAGACACAAAGACTTGCTGCTCGTTCAGTAAAAGACACCCGTTTATGGGGAGTCATTTAATTCTTCCTGTTTTTTCTTCCTTTTTCCTGGGAGAAGTAAATGCTGATTGGGGCCTACTTTGACTAACTGGGACCCCTGCCTCACAGCAACACCAAGGACCAGGGCTGCTAGCCTAGCGCAAGACCTGCAGGTGCCTTGGCATCACCTTCACAAGCATCCCCCAGGAGGATGTGACGCTGCAGACTGTGCTAGCCATACCGCAGGGCTGTGGTATCTCATATGGAGTCCCTGGGGGCTACGCAGAGCTCAAACCCCTGGCTTTCCATCGGAAAGCAGTTATGATGGCTGAGCTCGACTCATCTGGGGAGAAGAGAGCCTCAGTTGAGGAACTGTCTCCATCAGATTGGCCTGTGGGGCATCCTTAAAAATTGCTCATCGATGCACTCTGGACAGCACCACTGCTCAGTAGGCGGGCCTGGGCTGCCTAAGGAACGTAGCTGAACAGGAGTCTGAGAGCAAGCCGTAAGTGGCATCCCTCTAAGACCTTCGGTTTCTGCCTCCAGATCCTCGGGATGAGATCCTGTCCAGTTCCCCTCGGTGATGATGGACTATATAATCTGTAAGCCAAATATACTTTTTCCTTCCCGTTTGGTCAGAGGATTTTATCACAGCAACAGGAAGCAAGCCAGAACTGGGATCAAGGGGCTATGAGGACTCCGTGTGTTCCCTCTGCGAGAAAGCCAGAGGCCGGCAGAAAACTGGGAATGCTGGTGCTAACTGAAGGGGGCCCCTGCTTGCAGGGGCCAAGAAAATGACATGGATGAATTAGACACGCCCCTCAAAAACACCTTAAACACCCGGGGAACATACCTCGGAAGCTATTTCCAAGCTCTCAAACCCAAGAATGGCTCTCCTGTCCAAGCATAACCCCAGAGTGATAACCACACCTGCCGGTTCAATGCCATTCCCGACGTCCATCCATCCCCAGTGGCCTTCAGTGAAAAGATGCTTGTGACCCCTAGCACATCAAGAGGACACTCTGGAGAGTCTCCAGGGTCTCCCTGTAGCCCCGGCTTCCTTACTTTGACGAACTCCTTGAAGTCCGGGGCCTCGTCGGTCTTCTGCTGGATGAGGGCAGCCCCATTGAGCTGGCAGCTGCAGAAACGGATGTAGGGCTGCATGTGTGGCAGCTGGGCGCTCAGGATGTCGCCGATCATCTTCACTGGCATCTTCTCTCCGGACATCTTCTTACGGACTCTCAGCGCTCTGCACGGAAACACGGGTGGTGAGCCGTGTCTGACACACCCCACACTTGCAGGTTGCAGAGAAACGGAACGGGTGGGGGGGCACAGACCTGAGAGCCACTAAAGCATCTATTTGGAGACAAGGGACAGAGAAAGACATGAGTCTAGCACGACAGAGAGGGGTGGCCTGGGCGGGTTTCTTCAGCATGGTGGCTGCTTGCTACATCTTTCCTCTTTCTTTTGTTTTGTTTTGTTTTTTTTTCCGAGACAGGGTTTCTCTGTATTGTTTTGGAGACTGTCCTGGAACTAGCTCTGTAGACCAGGCTGACCTCGAACTCACAGAGATCCGCCTGTCTCTGCCTCCCAAGTGCTGGGATTAAAGGCGTACACCACCAACGCCCGGCTCTTTCCTCTTTCTTTAGTAACTTGGAGAGGACCCCTGTGTTGCTGTTCCAGGGCATGAGTTATGGTGAGCGTCCAAGGCTGGTTCAGTCTGGGCATTGAGCCCATTTCTTCTGAGGGAAGTTATGTCACCAGGGGAGGGAGAAACAAACTTTCAAATCCATTGCCACAAACACTATCACCCTGTTTCTCAAAGTTCGCCAAAGCCACATAAAAATGATCACGCAAAGTGTTTCTCCTGCCCATGGCTCCGTTGATGTGTCTAATTTAAAGCTGACCAAGTAACTAATCACACACACACACACACACACACACACACACACACACACACACACGAGTTCATACAGTTTCCATCCTGAAAGCTGGGGACAGCAGCTGAAGGGACAGAGGGGTGGTCTGTCTGTCCCTCCGCCTACCTTCTGTGGGCTGCGTTCAGGGCCACGGCAGCCAGGATGGCATGCCCTTCCTTCTAACTCTCAAGTTAGAAGTTACCGTATGGAAGACTCTCGACTTGTACGTGACAAGGGTAGCAATATACGCTGGGGCAAGACCACACGTGAGGCCGGGTGTTCAGCAGCCCCAACGATGATGGGGGGCGAGGGGGGGGGGGGTGGGCGGGCGGCAGGTGGGTGGTGTAGGACATGATTTCAACGCAAGGCCTGTGAATTCTTGTGGCTACTTTCACGGTCACGGGGGTGAAGCCACGAGGTGTAGGCAAGGCTAAGCAAACCCAAAGAGGCTGCACAATCTCAGTCTCCCAGCTTTGAAAGCTTCAGACCATCCGCTTTCCTTTATCCCTCTTTGTTCCTTCACCCTGAAATACTCAGGGCGGCCCAAAGCACTCTGTTCCACTGGAGGGATGGTGTGGAGTGTCCCCGACAAACTTTGCTCAAGCATTAGCCACTGGTAATTTTGGAGGCCCTGTTACAAACCGCTATGGTCTCCCTCAGCCCCTGGCATCCCCGAAAGCAGCCTCCCTGGGAGGACTAAGCAAGGACGCTTACCCTCTCCCTCCTCCGTGAATGATGGGAAAGTGGGAGAGTGTAGAGCTGGGGGGGAAGGGTCAAAGCTCACATGTTTACAGTCACTGTCTCAAGGACACTGCAGGCCCCTGGGTTCTGATGATCTGGTCCTCACGCCTTTAGAATCAAGTCGACTTAACCGGGAAGCCAGCTTGAAATCACAGCCTGGCTCACTGCCGCTAGGTTCAATTGAGAGTCCCTTTCTAGAATTTTCTACGGCATAGGCCAGACGTGTGAAGTAGTGGGTGACCCAGCGAGTCAGTGGTTGCAACCTCAGCCCTGAGTACTGAGCCCCCTGGTGATCGGCTACCTCATAGGAAGAAAGATCTGTGCACACAAGAGGCCTTGAGCTGCCGCAGGGAGAGGTCAGCGAGGAGCGCTCCATCCACAGAGCGTTCACACGCGGCTGAGGATGAATCAGTGGCTCCACCTGATGTCCACCGACCCCGTGGACAGTGACAAGAGCCCTAGCGTCTACTGAACACTCTTTCTTTCCCAGGCCCGTGATCATTGTAGCTCACAGGGTCCAGGTTGACGGAGACTGTGGATCGCTCTCCTTTCCCAGTACGGTCACAGAAAGCCCTCTAGCTCCGTGAAAGCTAGCCTGTAGGAATGAGGCTCTAGGTCAGTGCCAGCCTGACGCCTCTGTCCTGTGAACTGGGCATGTGTTGTCCTCAACAGTAGAGTCTTATTACCAAATCCTAGAGAACAACTGTGCTACAGAGTTTCGTGTCACCTGGACACGCTGGAGTCCTCTGAGAGGAGGGAGCTTCAATTGAGAAAATGCTTCTCCAACATCGAGCTGCAGCCATTTCCTTAATTAGTGACTGATGGGGAAGGGCCCAGCCTATGGGAGGTGGTGCCGCCCCTGGGCTGGTGGTCCTGGGTTCTGTAAGGAAGCAGGCTGAGCAAACCATGAGGAGCACCCTCCACAGCCTCTGCATCAGCCCCTGCCTCCAGGATCCTGCCCCGTTGGAGTTCCTGCCCTGACTTCCTTCATGATGAGCAGGGTGTGGAAGCCTGAACCAAGTAAGCCCTGTCGTCCCCAGATGCCTTGTCTGTGACTGATCTTCTGCTAAAGCAAAGGGTGAGGGGCCACCTGCCTGAGGTAGCTGCCTGGAACACGTTTAAAGGACTGTGGCTTCTGACACTGCTTCTGGGGGGGAGGCAGAACTGAGTGCAGAGACCCCACTGAGCCTGGGCACCCGCATGTGAAGGCCAGCTGTGCTGAGTCTCCTCTCTCTCTCTCTGTCTCTCTCTCTCTGTGTCTCTGTCTCTGTCTGTCTCTCTCCCTCTCTCTCTCTGTGTATGTCTCTCTCTGTGTGTATGTCTCTCTCTGTCTCTCTTTCTCTCTCTGTCTGTCTGTCTGTCTCTCTCCACTTTACTTTTGGGGACAGGATTCTCCTGTCTCTGTCCCCCAGCTCTGGTATTACAGGTACATGCTTCCATGCCTGGTTTCTATGTGGGTGTTGGGGACATCACCCTATATGTATGTTTTTAACAAAAAGCCTTGATGTCTGTTTCCAAACCATTGTCACTTCACATGCGGTGCTCGGGGGTTCCGGGATGAACAGCCCCGTCTTCCCAGGTGGCAGGCGGGCTCCCTCAGAATGGGGCGAGGGCCGGCCCCGCTCTCTGTACCATGAGCATGCTGGGGGCCGGGCTCCGGAATAGGAAGGCGTAGGCAGCGTTGTGCCGCCTGGGTGTGGCTCGAGCACTCTGACAAAGGCCCCATACTGGGAGTTTGGGATCCACTGAGGTAGCTGAGGCTTTAAGGGGCAGTGGGGTCACAGGTGCACTGCTGTTCGGGGTTCCGATGGCCTTGACTTTGATCTTAAGAAACTGAGGGAATCTTTATGGTCTAATTCAGTCATCTAAGTGTGTAGATGGGGAAACTGAGGCCCAAAGAGGCGAGGTCTAAATCCTTTAGCTCCGGCCCTGCAGCAGCCTCTGCAGACTAAACAGGTACAACGTGTAAGTGGCCTCGGGCAGCTGCCAGGACCCTCCTGAGACACTTCTTGTCTTTGGTGAGGATCCACTGACTCTCCATCTGCAGCCCAGAGCCTCAGGAGACAGCCAATCACTGCTGGGAACCCGGGTCAGAGGCCACACCCTGGGGCCCCGCCCCGAAGCACGGATCCAGCCAACAACCAGGAGCCAGAAGTGTCCCGGTTCAGGAAATCTGCCACTGTGGTCAGGGCAGGACCCTGAGTGTACGGATGGTTCACTCCCCACTGGGAGCAAGCCAGAGTGAACTTCCAGGAGACAGAGCACAGGAGGGTGGTGAACTTCCAGGAGACAGAGCACAGGAGGGTGGTGAACTTCCAGGAGACAGAGCACAGGAGGGTGGTGAACTTCCAGGAGACAGAGCACAGGGGGGTGGTGAACTTCCAGGAGACAGAGAGAGCACAGGAGGGTGGTGAATTTCCAGGAGACAGAGCACAGGAGGGTGGTGAACTTCCAGGAGACAGAGAGAGCACAGGAGGGTGGTGAATTTCCAGGAGACAGAGAGAGCACAGGAAGGTGATGGCCCAGTGAGTGACAACGAGCCAGGGTGGGAGGGGGCAGAGGGGACACAGGGTGGCATGCATGTGTGAGGGACAGACGGACCACACAGAGACGCAGGCTCACGTGCTGTGGAGGTTAGAGAGGAAAAAGGCTTACTTCAGCAGTTTGATGTTACACATAATCAGCTCCTTCCAGTTAACAAAAATCATAGCCACCTCTTTCTCTGCCAGCAGCTCAGACTCCATCAGGGGTTTCTGAAAGATCTACAGGTGCAGAAAATGAAGCCGTTCAGAAAGCAGTCAGCTCAACACACACACGCACACACACACACACACACACACACACACTCAGATTTGTTTAGCACAAGGGAGAGGACTCAGAGACTGCACCTTCTCCTGGGGGGGGCGGGGACATTTTGACGAGGGGAGCCCAGGAGAATTCTGAGGAGGAGGGGACTTGGCTCCACCAATAGGAAGCTAGGAGGCTTGTGAACCTGCACGCATGTGGGTGGGGCTGCCTCCCCTGCTCACTGTGAGGAAGGCGTCTAGGAGGACATAGGAGTTTGAGGAAGCCTGTGGAGATGTGTGGCCCAGAGGAGCCATGAGCATTCTGAGGGAAGCAGCTGCAGGGCTAGCACAGAGCCCAAAGCAGGTGGCATGGAGAAGATGATGCCACCCTCTTCCTGGGCTCTGCTAAGCAAACAGGCCTTTCCCAGGCTCTGGGCGGGCGGGCAGATAACTCATAGCTAATCACAGATCTCAGATAGGACCCGATGTGGCTTCGTCCCTTACCCACCAGGCACCTGGACACAGGCGCCTCTGAAAGTTCTTTGGGCACAGGGACAGCTCATCTTTGAAATGAACTTGGCCTGTGTGGCTGATGCTTGGGAGCACCGCTCTGCATGAGTCATTAATACGACGGTGAACCGGGCAAAGTCCACACAGGATGCCACATCTAAGTGGGTGACGCTCACACCCTACCCACTTTGACCACATATTTAATAGCAGGCAGACGTCTTGAGACAACACAATTGGGAGACCCCTGTGGGCTAGCATTCCAGCCCGGAACTCCAATAACATCAAAGAGCAGAACGCTATCCCTCCTGGATGCGCGGGTGACATCAGTTTCATACCATTGGCTAGGTTATAGGCTTACAGACCATGACAGGACTTTTCATGTTGAAGGTGACCCTCCGGCCAGGTCCACAAACCTACTTCCTGACATGGCTACTCTGACTGTGTGTGGGGTTGAGAAGCTAACGGCCTTCCTTCATCACACCGTTTCAGAGAGAGTGCCATTTCACTGGCTACCCACAAAGGCAGGCCATCCCAGACCAGCGGTCTCGTGGAGCCGTGGGAGAACATGCCTTCATGCTCAGCCATAGCAGCAGGTCTTTCTCAGGAGTAATGGTGGCACTAGAAATAACTCGAGACTTGCGGCTAAGTGTCTCTGCTCGGGAGCCAACACTGAGGGTCAGGGATGTCATATGACTTAGTGACATCAATCAGTTGGTGACTGAGAGGCAACGCCTCTGACTGGAGCCAAGAGTCCCAAGTCACAGCCCACACATGCTCCACCATTAGTCATTAGTTTGGGACCTATGTGTTCTCGGCCTTGGCCCTGGGTGAGAGCGGCCTCTCTGACTCCCAGGGTGGCCCTGTGAAAAAAGGTGACCATCTCCCCTCCTGGGTAAAACCCCTGAGGTGTTTGCTATTCAGACACCCCTCATACACCAGAGACTGTCCCAGGCCCAGAGCCAGGACATAAGCCTTCCAGCAGGAACCCCACCTGTCCCTCCCACCCCCGGCCACCCCAGTCTCCCAGGGTCCCTGTACCTCTGTGACCAGCTGCAAGTCGTTAACGTAGTTCTCCTCCGTGACAATGAGCTCGTGGATGTAGCCTTGCCGCTTCCTCTCGGTCGGGGTCAACATATCTAAGAGGTGTAAGTCTGAGCACCCTGGAAAACACAACCATTTAGGGAAACATTTAATCCAAGGCTGGGGAAGCCCTTGCGATTGTGTATGTGACTCTGTGTGTGTGTGTGTGTTGGGGGGGTGTCATGGCGTCATCAGTTCCCGGTGGGTGTAGGGACTGGAGTGACACAGTCATAAGCAGAGATCTCCGCAGACCGACGTCAGTTCTAGAAGCTTGAGAGAAAGGAAGCGCAGAGCCTTTCAGAAGGAGCAGCCCTGCTGCCCATACGGACTTGGGACTTCCTGCCCTGGAACTGTCAGACGGTTACATTCTCCGTGTCTCCAGCCACGCAGCTTGTGGCCGCACACACGCCTGGACACAAACCATGGAAGGGTTAAACGACCTGCCCACGCACCCAGCCAACGCCTGCGTGCCAGGCACTGTGCCAGGGCGCTGCATGCTGACCACTGCCTTGACGGCTTCTCTGAAGTTCCAGAATCAGTTCCACCGCACCGAGAAGGAAGCCAGGGCTCAGAAAGGTAAACTCGCCCCAGGTCCTTCCCCTCCACAGTGATTAGAGTCCAAGCCCGGAGTGGTCCAGAGGCTGCTGCGCTCTCTAAGACCCCGTTGTCCACCCCAGGCTGCAGGAGGGCAGGCTGCTGTCCTGAGGCCGGCTTTTAGAGGCTGTGGTAACTGTGCAGATGCTTTTGGTGGATCCAGACAGGACTGGGAAGACTCTCCGGGCAAGGTCACGTCGTGTAGCCGTGAAGATGAGCAGCAAGCCTCAGGCAGCGCGGCAGAGGGCTCCCACGCAGCAGTCCCGCCAGGCCTTCGTAGGGGCCACGGCTGCCGGAAGGAACAGCCCCTAAGCTGCCCTGAGACTCAGCTTGCTCTTTGGAGCTCTGATCAGTGCAGCCCATTCCAGCCTCGGCAGCACCCACTCTCGGGAGCGAGCTGGGCCCACCGTTTTATACATGCAAGCGGTCCCACACATAGACGTCTTTTTATTAGATGGTGGTGGTTATTTAATCACAGAACTTGTAAAATACATCCTCTGAGAGGTGGGTGGGGCTGAGACCCACTCACTTTCTTTTCCCGTCCTTCCTGCGACTTGCCACCAGGGGGCGCTGTGCACTTTCCAGTGAGTGTCTAAGTGTGGCCCCTCCACCACCAGCCGCCCTGGCAGAACCTGTAAACAAATGACCAGAACTTTGCCAAATAGACTTTCGGGCAAGCTCTCTGGCGAGCCTTCAGGTTTGGGGAGGAGCCTGCAATGCAGATGCTGCAAGCTTCCGGGAATAAGATATCCGTCTGGGGAAAGCGTTAGGATGAACTTCTTGGTGAACCGTTTTTTTTTTTCTGCTGCAGACATTGCCTCCTAGGATTATAGTCCTCAGTTCTGCTCCCTCCCCCGGCCAATTGCCCTTTCTGCATGCTGTGGTTTCTCTAATTGGCACAGAACAGCCCAGGATAGCCAAGACGGTGCCAGGAGACCAGCAGGAGGGAGCTATCGTTATGGTGACACTTTCCACCCTGGACTTTAGCCAGCCACTGTGGGTGGGCGAGCCAGACCTCGGAGCGGCAAGGTGAGTGTGGCTACGCAGCCCTCATTTGACTCCCAACTTGGGCCTCCGGCTCAGCCACCCACGTGACTGTCTCTTCTGTCTGCCCCTGGGCGCTGTCTTCTGGAAACATCGGTCTTGGCAATGCCTCCCAGAAGGAAGCAAGGCCTGAGTGTCCCCACAGCTGGGTGAGCGCTGGGTTACGGGAAGCTGAGAACCCCCCTCTCCCCCGCGCCAGATTTCTTTGCTCTTTAACTTCTCTTGGGGAAGTCACCTAGGAAACACTTTGAATGCCCTACTTTCGCCTGGTGTCCTAAGAGTGAGTCCAAAGACCCTGGACTCGGGCCATTTCTTGTTCAGTGGCTGAATGTGGACCCCGCATTTTCGGCCCGGCCTCTCGCAGACAGTCTCCTGGTGCTTCCAGGGCATTGCTGTCCACAGGGCTGGTAGAGCTCTTACAAGGCGGGGTTTATGTTAACTCAACCCTGTTTGGAAGTGTTTGCAGCAGTGGGCAGGCAAGGCTCACAAACATCCCTTCAGGTCGCTGTCCTCTTGGAGAGGCCTGAGGGGTCCTCTAGGCCTGCACCCCGCAAACCCGTGTGCCACATGACACACCCACACATATTTTGCACACGATTTTATTGGCTTCAAAAGCCTGTTTGCAAGCTGGGCGTGGTGGCAACACGCCTCTGATCCCAGTACTTGGAAGGCAGAGGCAGGCGGATCTCTGAGTTCAAGGCCAGCTTCCTTTACATAGTGAATTCCAGGACAGTCAAGAATACCTAGTGAGATCCTGTCTCAACGACAAAACAAAACAGACAAACCAACAAAAAAAAGTCACCAACACGTGAAGGAAAATAGCCTGTTTGTGGCCTGCAACTTGTTAGTTTTGAGATCTCCACCATGACTTTGGGACCGGCACAGGCTGGAAGCGGTACTGCAGTCCCAGGCTGAAAGTGGTACTGCCACCCCCAGGTTGAAGGTGGTACTGCACCCCCCAGGTTGAAGGTGGTACTGCCCACCCCAGGCTGAAAGTGGTACTGCAGTCCCAGGCTGAAAGTGGTACTGCCCCCCAGGTTGAAGGTGGTATCCCCCTAGGTTGAAGGCTGAACTCCCCACCCTCTCCCCCAGGTGGTACTGCCCCCTCTAAGCTAACACTACTCCCCAAGCACACCAGGTCAGGTTACTACATTACACTCTCAAGACTGAGTATATACTTGTCCTAACAAGAAAGCAATGGCTGAAATTTGGCAGGTTGGCCCAGGACTAATGTACTAAATACACAGGACAGGGAGCCCACATCACCCGCCAGTAGATCCCACTGAGAAACACAAACTACTTTCTACAAGGAAGTGTCGCAACCGGAAGATGCAAGAACGACCAAGAAACTGAAATGAGGTCCTATTGGAAGCGATGCCTGGATTCTAGAAGACCCTCTGGGTACAAGTTTAGGAGAAAAGCGGAAGGTGTTGGGACACCTGGCTCGGGTCAGCTCTGGATGCACTTGAGGGCGCCCATGCCTTGATCTGGACAGGCCAGCCTTTGTATCCACACACCTACAGCACCCAAGCCAGAGCTGAGAGCTTGGGGATACTGGCAGAGCTGGGCTGTGACCTCCAGAATCCACCCCTGCAAGTCTAACTCCAGCATTTTTGGAGACGTGGAATGGCCACGCTGACCTCTGGACCCAGAACACAATCTACGGCAAAGGCTTTGTGAAGAGGTCTGCCTCCACACTACAAAGCAATCACACTGACCTGAGACTGGATTTTAATCACTAAACTGACCCACAGGATATTGTGAAGGTTGGGTTCCAGACCCAGAGAACCACGAGAGCCTCCAAAAAGAAATCCTAAACCCCAAAATATCCTTCCTTTGAAAACTTACTATTTAGAAAAACAAGAGAATTTTAAAACCTTCAGTTTTCAAAGCAGGGCAAGTTAGAAAAGCCTTCAGGAGTTAGAAGGGTGTGGCCTTCTCTCCCTTGGGTACCAAGATACACACAGTTTACTGCCCGAAAGATTCAGGGACAAAGTATGGTAAATGATTTTCCATAGCCATGGAGCAGGGTTGAAGGGTGCCTCAAAACTAAGATTGGATCACAGCTGAAATAATACTACAAGGACTCCAAACAGTTAAAAAAGCAAAACAAAACATTAAAGCCAACAGGAAATTCCTCATGTAGGCTCCCAAGTTTATACCATTTTCTTTAATACATTTATGAAAGGGACAGGGCTGTAATGTCCTGTTGGAAGGCCCAGAGACTTGGAAAATATCTCAGCCCCCTAAGACCATCATATCCCCCTCAAGCATCACTGCTATGGCCAGTAGAATTAAGATCCTTTTTACTACAAACAATACATGGGCCCACAGATAGTGTGGAATTTCAAAGAATAGAGAAGTACTTAGCACACACACATACACACACACACACACACACAGGAAGACTCCCCTCTCTTCAGTGTGGTTTTGAAACCCAAATTAGCTCCCACATCAGGCTAATCATCGAGCTGAGCAAATAAACAGGCCTGATTTCTGTTACAAAGGAGCCCCAAAAATAGTAATTTGGTCAATAAATATTTATTAAGTTTCTAGGAAGCTGAAGGGACACAGGGGTAAGCAGATACCATCCTTGTCCTTGGGGAAACTCAGGAGCTGAGGGGAGACTCCACAGGAAATGTAAATTAAAAATAGGGTGAATGCAGGGCAATGGCGGTGCACGCCTCTAATCCCAGCACTCAGGAGGCAGACGCAGGCGGATCTCTGTGAGTTCAAGGCCAGCCTGGTCTACAGAGCCAGTGCCAGGGCAGGCTCCAAAGCTACACAGAGAAACCCTGTCTTGAGAAACAAAAACAAAACAAAAGAAGCATGCATAAAAGACTAGGGAAGGGCTGGGAGATGGCCCCGTTGATGAAGCATTTACCTTGCCTGGACCTGGGTTCGATCCTTAGAACACACATTACAAAGCCATCCATGTATGATGGAACATACTTGAAATCCCAGTACTGCGTGGGGGTGGGAGGTGGGGCACAGAAACGGGCAGATTATGGGGTTCCCTGGCTAGCCAGCCTGGCTTAGCCCTTGACAACCCTTGGGCGTCCCTGAGATCATACTGTCCAAAAATTAAGGTGGCTGGCTCGTGAGGAAAATACTTGAGGCTGGTTGCTGGGTGTCACGCACTCGTGCTCGGTGCCTGCACACGCACACGCACACTCACACGCACACGCACAAAGAGTGGGTGTAAAAACATCTAGGTAAACACAGACACCCGTGGGAGACACAGGGTGTGGGAAATGCCGTGCTATAGGGGGTTAGCGACATCAGAACGAAGCCAGAGATGCAATGAACAGGGGCCGGGAGGGCGACGCTGAAGCCTGGATGATGGTTTTCATGTCAAGGGAAAGACAGCACGGAGTGTCTAGGGACGTTCAGCCCAGATCTCCTTTCTAAGTGGGTCTTTGTCAGCCGAATATGTAAATTGGATGCCGGAGTCCTTGTCTGCCCTGCAGGAGTTGCTACACCGAACCTGCATGTGGCAAATAGGGGCTCTCCAAGACCTTAGTCTCTGCTGACCTTTGAACTACAGCTTTCCCACCCCCAGGATTTGATTATTTTGGTATTGACAAGAGAGTAGGAGCTAGTGAGAGGCCTGTGGTGAGTGAGAGGTTGAAGATGCCACCAGTGGCTTCAAAGACCCCTGTGCACTGAACCCAGGTATCCCACTCTGGCCTGTTTTAGGGAACTCACTGTGAGTTGTGTAGCTGGGTCCCTCCTGGACATGTCCATTCAGTCTCCTCACTTAGTCACAAACCCAGAAACTACAAAAAAAAAAAAAAAAAAAAGGGGGCCGGGCGTTGGTGGTGCACGCCTTTAATCCCAGCACTCGGGAGGCAGAGGCAGGCGGATCTCTGTGAGTTCCAGGCCAGCCTGGTCTACAAAGTCAGTTCCAGGACAGCCTCCAAAGCCACAGAGAAACCCTGTCTCGAAAAACCAAAAAAAAAAAAAAAAAAAAAAAAAAGGAAAAGAAAACACCACATAGTTTCCAAAATCAATTTCATCTTCTCCCAAGAAGGGCCATCTGGTATACCTGGCTTGCCAGGCAGTTTGATGAGCATGGAGAAATGGTGGAAATGGAATTCCTCCCAGGAATAGTGCATCTTCTGCTCTGCAGTGACTAGGAATGTGGCGAGCATGGAGAAATGGTGGAAATGGAATTCCTCCCAGGAGTAGTGACTAGGAATGTGGCAAGTAGCATATCATGGTGGCTTTGTGCCTGATGCTGAACTCCTGGCATGGGTACCACAGCCCTTTATAGCCTGCAGCTTTCCTTTGGTTTTTTGTTTGTTTGTTTTTTGGCTGCATTTGTGTCTCCAGGAGTGCTTTCTAGCTTTTGGAGCACTCACTTTTGGTGTACCCTATCCCACAGGATTTTAGGTTTCCTTAGCAATGGCTGTAAATAAACCCTTCAGGTATGCAAGTCTGATGAAAATGTCACTGCAGCACTGTGGGGCATACTTTTTTTATTGGGATTTTGGGAAGGAGGCAGTAGCTTTGACCAGAGAGCTCTGGGGAGATTTGGAAGAGGAGGAATGGGAGTTGGGCGTTGTTATGGTTGGCGTGTCCCTCAGTGTCCACATAAGACCCTGTGGGGAGGTGGAAGGTTCAGGGGTGACTAGGGGTGATTACGCACATGAATAAAGAAATGCTCTTATCTAAGGGCTTGGATCCCATTACAAACATGTGGCAGACATCTTGCTCTCCTTCCAGGCTTCTGCAAGGGGGTGATGCCTGCGGGAGGCTCCACCAGACGCATGCCCTGGACCTTGGACTTCTCAGACTCAAGAACTATAAAGGGGAAAAAAGGATCTATAACTTAGCCAGCCTCAGGTAAGTCTTAGTGCAGACTCCTGCACTGAGACATCGTGGACCAAGAGGATGGTGGAAGAACCAGAGCTGGGTACTTGGAGCCAGAGGAGCAGGTGTGGACAGGAGAAGATGCTGGGCGCTGGCATACAGCAGTGCTGACCTGGAACCTCCCGACACTGTCGGCTCAGTCCTCACCAACAGTCTCCTGGAGCAGCTTCTGTGACCCAGATGAGCCGGCGAGGAGACGGAGACGTGGAGAAGATAAGTAAGTCAGCAAAGCCTCGGTTAAGAAAGAGCCAATGAGGTAGGACCAGAGTCCACGTTCGTCTTTGCCTGGCTGGACAGGTGGTGTCTCTGTGTGTCCCCATGGCAAGGACACACAGACTGGGTGTCTTTAAAAATAGAAGTTTACTTTCTCACGGCTCTGGAGGCTGGAGTCGAAGGTCAGGTCAAGGTGTTGGCAAGCTTCATCTCCCCTGGGTTTACAACCACAGAACCTGCCTTTGCTGAATGGAAACCCGTGGTGTCTGTCTACACGTGGTTTCTTCTTAAAAGGACACTTGTCATATTAGAGTAGGATCCACCCTGAAGGCCTCACTGTGATGTTTAAATACATCTTTGAAGACACTAACTCTAAATTCAGTCACATCCCGGTCTCCAGGGTTAGGGCTGTCACCTATGAGCACTGAGAGACACAGCTGAGACCACATCAGAAGGGAAGCCCACTTGGGGCTTGTGGCAGAGCTAGGGGGGCTTCGGCTGTGTTTCGGATGGTCTCGGTGGCAGCTGAGTGTAGGTTGGAAGGAGGTGACAGTCCTCCAGTATAGCTGCACCCTGGAGCCACTCAAGGAGCTTGGGAACTGCCAGGTCCCTGCTGTACTCAACGCCGACTGTGTCTTAACTCTCAAGGAAGACATGTGGCCATCATTAAGGCTCTGAGCGGTTCCCAGGTCAGGCAGAGAGAACTTTCCACTCTGGAGAGAAAAGATGGTCTGAAAGCCAAGTATGGCAAGAACACTCTCTTGACAGATGGGACAGTCCAGAAAGGTGTGGCTATGCCTACTATCAGAAATGCTCCCTGTGTTCCCAGGGAGCCAACATCTTTCCTATAGCACTTCCTGTAACGTCTATGTAATGACGAGCTTGGCCTTGAAGTGCAGGCTCTCAAGGGCTGCAGCAGGGTCAAGGCAACGAGTCTTCTCCATACAGTGGCCCCTGGGGCTGGAGAGAGGGCTCTGCAGTTGAGTGTTTGCTGCCTGCATAGTAAGTCTGGTTCCTAGCACTCCCCTTCAGTGGCTCACCAACACCTGTAACTCCAGCTCCAGGGGACCCAACATGGCCTTCTGACCTCCATAGGTACCATTCTGTCACACACACACACACACACACACACACACACACACACACACTAGAAATGAATCTAAATAAAAGACCCTTGGCTGACCAGCCAACCAAAGACTCTGGAGGTTGTGTGTGTGTGGGGGTACTTCCCAACCCCAAAGCGATGGCTTCAGAAGGGCCTGGCAATACCCTGGTCCCCGACAAACCGACCCCCAGTGGAACACAGACACCTCCAACCTAAGATATTTCCTGGCCATTTCAGCACCGCAGGGTCCAACCAGGTGCTTCTGTGAGGCCAGCACACTCACAGAGGAGACTAGATACCAGTAGTAGTAAGTATGTAGACCAGTCAAGTGATTACGAAAACGAAGAATGCTTCCTGCTTTCGGGCCTTTCCATGGAAAACATCTAGGCTAGCGTCCCCAGTACAGGCTTTGCGCTGGGTACTCACCATCCACAGTGAAGAGAATGGAGAAGAAGATGGTACACTGACGGCCCAGTAGCGAAGGGGAGACTACGCTAGTAGAACAAGGGAATGAAACAAGGCAAATGCGGACTGCCACCAACACCCGACACTGCCCCCACAGTCCCCAAGAGTGAGGGCCCCTGGGAAATATGCGAGTGTGTGTGTGTGTGTGTGTGTGTGTGTGTGTGTGTGTGTGTGTGTGTGTCAATAAAGCACTGTTGGCCAATAGGGAAGCAAGATAGGTGGAACTAGGAGTCGAGGAGGACTCTGGGGAGGAGAAACACAGGGAGTCACCATGTAGCTGCCATAGATGAAAGAGGTCCAGACCCTTTCTCCAGCAAGAGAAATACTTAGATGGGTTAAATACTTAAGTCAGAGCTAGCCAGCAAGAAACAAGCAAGGCCAACAGCTTCATAATTAATACAGCGTCTTGTGTGTTATTTGGGGACTACAACGTGGCAGAGCCCAGGCGACTGGTGGGGAAAAACCAAAGTGGCTGGCAAGGAAAAGACTTCACTCAACACAAGTGTGTTAATCCGACAGTAGTTTACAACCATCAAGAGACAGAGACCCCACAGAAAGCCAGCTGGACGAGGGGGAGCACCAGGGCTGTTGTTGCTGTGTCTCTCCTGTGATGAGCCACCCCTTTAGTGGTTCTGGGGAGGAGAGAACCCAGGGTTCCATCCACGACAAGCGTTACCACCGAGCCATACCCCTGACTCGCCGCAGATTTTTAAAATTTATTTAACTTACATTTTCTTTCTTTTTAAAATAAAGTCTTGTGTATCCCAGGCTGGCCTAGAGTTCCCTATGCCTAGGGTGAACGTGAACTTCTCACCCCCCTGCACCTGCCTCCCAAACACTGAGATTACAGGTGTGCGCCACCACGCCTGCTCATGTGGTGCTGGGGACTGATTCCAGGGCTATGTGCATGCTGGGTAAATGCACTACCAACTGAGCTACATGTCCAGCCCAATTTATTTCTCCTGACAGCATTTTGTTATGTAGCCCAAACTGACCCCCTCCCCCCCAGTCATAATCCTGCCTCAGCCTTCCGAGTGCTGGGATTACAGGCACAGAGCACACGCCAGATTCTTGATGGGGATACGACAAACCCAGAGAGGCTTGGCTGGCCCTGCCCTCAAAGAGCTCAGTCTAATGAGGGGTATGAGTGTATCTAACAGTTTGCAGATACCAAAGGCTCATGTGTGCTCAGTCCCCAGGGGTGCATCTGGTCCCTGACGGGTGACTGGATCAGGAGGGAACCAGCCATTGACCATGTCACAGCCACAATCTGCTGGAGACTTAGAAGGTGACTCAGTTGGAGGAGGATGATGAGGCGCACACCTTTGACAGGGATCTGGTCCCTGGCCTCTTCCTGTTTCTAAGCCTTGATGAGGTAAGAGACCCAACCCTACAGATTCACACCTCATCAAAGGCCTACAGCCAGGGAGCAAGCTGAGCTCACTGGAGATGAGAACACTAGGTCTGCGGTCGGTCAGAGCAAGGCTTTCTGCCTTGTGAGTTCCTCGTCAGGGCCCTGTCATGGTGACAGAATGTCTAACTTACCCGGTGTCCGCATGTGTACGTGTCGGCCTTCCGGTCTCCTGGTCATTTGGTATAAAGGGACTTTGAGGTAAGGTAACACGGAGGATGGGGAGGGCGGCAGAGAGTAGGGAGGGGAAGGAGGGGGCAGGGCACGTGTTACTGGAATGTACCAGTGCCTTAAACTTGCAGCAGTCATTCCAGGAAGGGTGTGTGTAGGGTACGGGGGAAAGGAAGACTTGGGGCTGGCTAAGACCGGACAGAGCCAGGTGACCAACCTTCTGACTAGAAGGTGGCCCATGGGAGCCCTGGGGAGGAGACAGTGCCTAGGGGTCAGAATTACGAACTCTCTGAATCTGGCGTGGTTCCACACCCATGCCAACTGTCACTCCCCAACATACAGGCCCAGGATGCTGCCTGAGAGAGCAGATCTGGAGGCTCTGACTCTTATGCCTTCCAGAAAGGTTTTCAGGTTGGTGGCGTCCACTGTTAGGTTGATCTAAGTAGTGTCCCTATATTTGGCGCCATGCTCTGACTGCGGCCAGGAAGGGACATTTAGAAGCCACGACTGGTTACTTTGGGGAGGACTCCCAGGGTGTCCCCTGCACTACAGCACTGGCCTTTGGTCACTCTGTCCCGTTTCATTCACCTTGAGCTGGAATGACTCTGCTGTTCTGTCTGCGGGCCTCTCCCGACTTGTACAGGTTCAAAAGCAGGCACCACACCTGCTTGTGTTCCAATGCCTGCAGCCTCATCACCAGGCAGGGCCTGTATTCCTTGTGTGTGTGTGTGTGTGTGTGTGTGTGTGTGTGGAGGGGCAGGGAGTGGTAGGAGAGGGGAAACTGAGGCAGGACAGCCCTTTGAAGCTTTTTCTGCAGCAAGAGGGAGGGAGGAAAGGGTATTGGAAGATTTCCTCCTGTCTCTTGAGGAGGTGCTGGGGTGCGGGTTCCCTCTAGAGAGTCAGTGGGGCTGCTTACTGAGGGAAGGTGTAGCTATGTAGGGCTTCCCATGGGGCTGTGGGGTTCCAAGGCAACGCTCCAGAGGGCCAGGTTCCCTGCTTGGCTTTGCCTGCTCTGCTAGGGCTGGTCCCCTGCTCTGGCTCAGCAGAGTGGGTGCAGGGGAAGTGTGCTTCCGGGAGCCCTAAGTGTTGTGGCGCAGTTGCTCTGAGGAGCACGTCTCTACGGACAGTATGGCTACTTCTAAAAACAAAACAAAAAAATGCCGGCATGCCTAGCGGGAGCAGGGGGCAAACGTTCCATTCTTTGCTGGCAGGAGATACAAGGCCACAGACTCCACACATTCGTGACAGGTTTACTGAGGAACGCTGCATGGGCCTGCCAACAGCCCACGGCTGTGGTATTTAAAGGCCTTACACATTCCATTTTCCCTGGTAGGGCGCCCCACTGTCAGCCGCATGAGAGGCATCCTGCACCAGTGGTGTCCCGGGAGGCTGCTGGCTTGAGCATCAGTCAGCATTGTTCAAACCTGTGGGACAGATGCTTCCAAAAGGCTCCCACGCAGGTGAGCCCCTCCCCCACCCAGGGGCCTGAAGGAAGTGGATGTGGGAGTGCCCAGGGGAGCAGTCATCCTCTCTGAAGTCTGCCATCTGGGAAAGCAACCGCAGGAAGGCAAGCGGGACGCCAAGAGACACAAGATTGGTGTCCATGGCGTCCGCTGACTACGCACACATCATTTGTCCCTCCACAAACAACCCGTGTCTTATGTACCGGTGCTGAGTGCAACGAGCTTCAATAAACATGCAGGACCCCAAGGCGCCCACGCTCTAAATGACCACCCTCTAATACCTTTATTGCTACTAAAGACCGAGGGCACAGCTACCCTGATTTCCACCAGAGTCAACTATTAGATTAGATTGTATCTAAGTAGCGTTATGTGTTCAGCATCGCCGTCTTCAGGGTACGGCCAGGAATGAAAGTTTAGAGGCCACAGCTGGCCCTGCATGAGGGCATCCGGGACACGCCTGACTTTGGGAAACTGGGCTGCAGTCAAGAAGGGACTATGGCTGAGGTAAGCCGGTGTGGAGCTCGGCCACCGCCACGTGGAATTCTCGGTTCCAGAGGTAGAAGAATCAGGGAAGGGAAAGGGCCCGCTCTTATCTTCCAAAGTGACTGACAATCCTGTGCAGGTGCAGCTTGGGGGCAAGACCCCGGGACAGAAGGGAATGCTTTCCAAATGGTACAGCCAGAAGAGGGCAAGTCTGGCTAGAAGAGCGCTTTTGTTTGTTTGTTTTTTCGAGACAGGGTTTCTCTGTATTGTTTTGGAGACTGTCCTGGAACTCTCTTTGTAGACCAGGCTGGCCTTGAACTCACAGAGATCCGCCTGCCTTTGCCTCCCGAGTGCTGGGATTAAAGGCGTACGCTGCCAACGCCCGGCTTAGAAGAGCACTCTGAGGGTACCAGGTACCCCAAGGACCTCGGTGTCCTCACTGTCAAGTGAAGGGCTTGTGTCTCAGGCTCTGAGGATGTGTGTCCCTCCCCCCACACCATGGTCTTCTCTGCTTCTGTGGAACGGCCTGGCTTAGTGTGCAAACGTGACAGGGACCAAGGAATGGGTCAGAGCCGGGTGGTGGTGGCACACGCCTTTAATCCCAGCACTCTCGAGGCAGAGACAGGTGGATCTCTGTGAGTTTGAGGGCAGCCTGGTCTACAGAGAGAGTTCAGGAACCGATATGGCTACACTGAGAAACTCTTTCTCAAAAAACCAAAACCATAATAATAATAATAATAATAATAATAGTAAAAGAAAGCATCAGGGGCATGGAGTGGGGCGGGGAGGCCTCAGGAGCACAGTGTCCTCATGCCCATTGGTCACAAGGCATCCCCTGGGTCAGGGTTTGGAGAACTTGGGAGAAAGGAGTGCTCAGCCTTGGCAAATACGGCAAATGTAGCCTGCAGTATGATGAGCCAGGCAGATATGAACACTGCTACTGTCAGCCTACGTGAGTCTTCTTACGATTCTGTCTGCTGTTAGCTGTACTCTGGCCTTCCCGTTCAGCCCTATGCTAACAAGCCTCAGATGAATACATCCAAGTCACTTTCTCATGCCTACATCTGACACACACAGAGACCACGGACACCACAGAACAGCTGGCAGGTAGTACCTAGGTCCTAGACTCTCACAGGTGGTGCTTTTACAGAGCTTTGTAAACACAATAGATGCGGGTCTTAAAAAACGGTGACCATGTCTGAAAAACAAAGTCTTGGTTTTAGTAAATTCAGGCATCGTTTTTTGTTTTCAGGCCTGGGAGCTTTCAATATGAAAAACAGAACCTTCAATGAGAAGCCATAGACTGACTGAAATAAACCAGCTAGCTTTTCCTGGGCTTTCATCTAAAAAGCCTCTGGCCTTACCATTATTCTATAGATTTTTAATTTTTTTCTAAAACATTTTATGTGTGTTGGCGTTTGGCCCACATAAAAGATGTCTGTCTTTGCACCACTACCCACGAGACTGGTGCCTGTGGAGGCCAGAAGGTGTCAGATCCCCTGGGACTGGAGTTACAGACAGCTGTGAGCCACCATGTGCATGCTGGGAATCGAACCTGGGTCCTCTGGGAAAGCAGCCAGTGCATTTACTGGTGTGTGTGTGTGTGTGTGTGTGTGTGTGTGTGTGTGTGTGTGTGTGTGTGTCACTGACAGTCAATAGCTTCCAGAAAAATTCTCTTGGGAATTTTTGGGTCTAAAAAGAATATACAGATTAATCTATAATTTTGCCAAAAGTAAAGAATAGTCATTATCTCTCAGAAATGGTTTTACATTTCCAGGAAACAGAGTTGTTATCTGGGCGGGAAGCTTCCCAGATCAGGCTAGAGAGGAGACGGCCCCAGATCCAAGTCCGTAGACCTGAACTTTGGCACACACGGGTGAGATATCAGGGCAGCACTACTCTGGGGAGCTTGCACCTAAAGGGAGAGGAAACTAGGTTGACATCCTAGTTTCTCTTACGGGAGATGTGATATGTTAAGAACTGGGATTCTGGTGAATTCTACAGTTGTTCAATCTGCTCACACAATGGGCAGTTTCAAGTGCTTAAACCCACTGTGTGTCAGGAAATGATAGATTATACTGGGTTAAGCTGTATGACATTACTGTTTTAGGCATGGCATGGTGCCACCGAGTAGAGGGATGTTTGCACATGCGAGCTCACACACACACACACACACACACCAGAGTAAATGTAAAATAAAATAAAAAACCCTAAAAACAAAAATCAAACCCCAGACTTAGTACTTTGAAAGTCCTAGGGTGCTTTACTGTTTAATGCAACTTTAAAAGTAGAGACTATGGGGGATAACCAAGATGTTTTGAAAAATAAAAGACAATCGTGGTAGACTTTTTATGCTGCAGACACGTGACATGAGCTTATAAAACGTAGCTATGGGGCAACCTCAGCGGCTGTGTGGCCTCCTGGGCCAGGACAACCCAGTGAACTTTAGCCACAGTGGCCGGTAGGGTGAGGCCAGGCTTTCTCAGCTCAACACTGGTAACATCTGGGACGGGATGACTCTCTGCCATGTGAACTGCGCTCTGCAGTGCAGGATGAGCCGTACCCAGCCTTTCCCCGCAGGGTGCTGGGAGTGGTCCTCTGCCTGAGACCCGCAGGGCCAGATGGGCTCTCTGCAGCCCATGCGAACCCAAGAGATGGGAGGGAGATCCGCACTAGTCCCCAAACCCGAGAGAGGGAGCCTGAGCGAAACGTGAGGCCCCACCCGCCTTAACTGCACCCCGCCACCAACCTCAACACTGAGAACAAAGGCTGGTTAGAGTGGAGAGGTCCTGGGGAGGAGATGAGGCCTGCAGACTCCATCACGGCTCCACACGGGCTGGATGTGTGAGAGCCGGGAGGGGCCTTCCCACCTTCCCCTTTACTGATCTGACATGTGGTCCATGACAAACATTTCTCCCACCTCGTCTGGCTCCTAGGTCTCCACTTGAGTATTATGACCCAGCTCCTGGGGGGGGGGGGGGAAGGGGTGTCTCCGTGTCTGTCCTGCAGGAGCTAGGTGGCCCGCTCGTGCAACAACTCACCACACTTCTGCACAGACCTTAACACACAGCCCGTAAATATTTGTATGATCTCTCCAGAACCCGACGGGGCACTAGACACATGGTAGACTTATTACCTCTTCCCCAAGACTTTCTGCCAACTTGAACAAACCGCAACGGAGGGGCAGGGGGGGCGCGGTAAGTGGCGTTCGAGAGGACAGTGTCAATCGCGTGTCCGTCACTAGCAGCGCCATCCGTGTGTGCATGCTGGACTGCCTCTGTGAAGGCCACAGAGTGCGCATCGCTGATGTGACCCCACAGACGGAAATGTGCGAGTCTGCCTTTCCCATGTGCATTCTGGCACTCGCTAATTCCTAATTATGACACGGTTTTGAGACTGATATTTTGTGCCCTGAGCCAAATCTCACACCTGTCAATGTGCCAGCAATATAAACTAAAAACCCAACGGGGGAGTTGGGCGCTAAGCTGGACGGTAGACTCACTGCTTACACACTGACGGGGGAAGGGGTGCCGCCGCCCAGGGACTCTGTATTCACACTCAGCGCCTGCGCATCCTCGGGCCAGGGGCTCACACCTGTCTGCGTGTTGCTCTCACCACTGCAAGACTCCAACAGCAAGAACACAGAGACATTTCCATCTAACTTTTATATGAAGAATTTAATTATCTATACACATGACTAATCCAAAAGGTTGTATTACAATTGTTAAAGCCGCAGGTTTATATATTTATATATTTTACATTCATATCCAGGAAACACTGAAGCGCAGGTTAGACAAGAAGGGGCTGCCCTGCGCTTTGCACCGCGTGAGGGGAGAAGGACCATGACAAACTGCCGGTGAGGCGCCGCCCCAGGAGGGGACCCAGAGGGACACCGTCAGCTTATGACAGGACAGCTAGATGGAGCTTCAGCTTCCCCAGACCATTCGCTGTGCTGTCAGCAGTGGGCATTTTTCTTTCCTTTTTCTTTTTTATTGGGAGGTTCCAACTAATGTCTAAAGACAAACATGGCTTACTACAGCACGGTTAACACATACATGGACCAGGAGCGCCATTTCATATTAATCTGTAGAAACTCCACAGTCTAGTTAAAATGTAAACACTGGAAATTAATTGGAGGGAGACTTCTATACATTCTTTCTTGTCAAGAAAATTACTTGTTCAAAATATTCCATGAAAAGCAACTGGAATAAAACTTCATGTAACAGAGACTGCTGATCGCAACCACCTTGGCGGTGGCGTCTTACTGATTTACGGTATGAAAATACGCCAAATTAAAAGCTCAAAACAAAACACCAACCGACTAGATAAATCTGAGACCAAACGGAAACACAGGTGCTTTCTCGTGTGGCTACAAGGTCACTGTGCAAAATAAAATTAACGCAATAGATGAAAGCATTGTACACGATGATAGCGCTCGCCACGGAAGAGCTGCGTCTTCAGTACAGATGGGTTACATGCGCAACAGGTACATGTGACAGTCATAAACAACCATGACAACTTCTGTCTAGTCAGACTCAATCTACACATCTTCAAAGCGGGTATACCCGACTCCTCTGCACTCTACGGTAGGGGAGAAGCCCCAAACTACACAATTTAGTTGGTAACACTGGACAAAATGGAAAAAATACATCAAGTCTCAGATTTATGGACATTTGGAACAATTTTTAATAGCACATGCAGCATTCCTTGATAGTGGGTCTTTTTGCAAAACCAAAATAGCAAAGAAGTAATCGATTGATTTTTATTAAAAGGCTAAAATACACACTTAAAAATAATCTTAAAACTGCTGAAAGCACCTGTGTAAGGGCGGGGCTGTCAGTCTGAGTAAGCAGGAACCCACAAAAGGGGCCACCACCCTGTCTCTGCTCACAATGACTCAGACACTGCGATCCCATGCAACTAAGGTAAAATGAGGTAAACTGCTCTGCAGTGAGTTCTTCTACTCAGAAGGCAGTAGGTGATCATGCTGCAAGTCACATGACCAAGGCTGCATCTCCCATCATCCCTCTGGGCAGTGATATGGGATAGTGGGTCTCTTTGAGGACTTTCAAGCCTGAGGGGGGGATGGACAACATATGATTCCTAGAAAAAGGAGGAAAACAACACATAAGCAAAACAAAACAATGAGCAAAATTCAAGCTAGGAAAATGAGTCAGGCATGTACACAGCATGGTGCCAAAATGATTTAAAAAAAAAGAGGAAAAGAAAAAAGAAGGAAGGGTGGGAAGGGGGGCATGCTACAGAAGGAATGAAATTTAAAAACAAAAACAACCCCACGGAATAGTCTTGCATCACAGAAGGTCTTCAAAGAGACTGTTGCAAATGCAGCAGTGGTCTGGCTTCAAGTATCAGAGCAATGCTGCATGTCTTACGGGAGCCGCCGGAGAGGCGAGGGGCAGAGGCGCCGGGGCACTTACATTGCTGGCTTGGGTCCGTGTCCGTGGTCAGCTTCACATAGTTGGATGGGAAGAGTCCGACTTGCCCGCTGACCTCTCCTTTCCACCAGTCGGGGTCCTCCTTGTTGAGGACGTTGATGACCTGGCCCTTGCTGAAGGCCAGCTCGTCACTGTTCTGTGCGGTGTAGTCGTACATCCCGATCACCTGGCACACTGCAGGAGACAGGGCTGGGTGAGCGGCTGCGCAGGCGCAGCAGGCAGGCAGGCAGCAGGGCAGGCGCAGCAGGCAGGCAGGCAGCAGGGCAGGCGCAGCAGGCAGGCAGGCAGGTAGGTTCCTGGCTGGGCTTTGCCCTTCAGAATGGGGAGGAGTGAGGGGAGCAGGCCGCGAGGGGGGGGAAGAGGGGCTCCCTCGACATAGTGTGGCAGGAGAGGGAGGACCACATTTTAAGACGACGGCAAAGATTTTTACCCTGTCTTAAATGTCACATCTCCCCTTTCCCGGTTCTTGTCGGCAAGCGAACTTGATTCTGAGCGCGGTGGAAGGATTTACAGTGCTGGCTTAGAGGACTGGCTGCGACCACCCAGTAACCAGGCCACCGCACAGAGAGCCAGCGGACACAGCATCATTTTAATTTCTTCCTGTGATGTGCAAGGCTGAGCCCAGGGCCACATGCGCACTTAGAAAGTGCCTGCCCCTGAGCTTACAGCCCTGAAGCTGGCCGCTTGAGAGATGGAACGTGACTATCTCGTGGCCTTGGACCACTTCCAGATCTCAGAGAAAAGCAAGACCAGCGCTTTGAGAGGTGACTCTGCCGGATGTTCATGCCTCCAAGACGACCAGGCTCAACAGCAACTTCCCTTTTCTTTTCTCGACCCCACAGTGCGCTGACCTACGCTCACTCACTGCCTGGCATCTTCACCGCTCTTAACCAACAACCTACGGCAGCTTCAGGGCTCTCAGACTCTCCAGCTAGGAGGACAGAACCACTTCTGCAGATGTGGTTTGCGTGCAGATAGGAAAGGGTTCTGCCGAGTCTCCTGGGGATGGCAGATTCAGATGGCACCGCATCCCACGACCACCTACACAAGGCCTCAGCTCATGAGAAGAGGACAAGCTGGGGACCAGGGTTCAGCCACCACATGCATAGGTCCTGACAGTTCTCACAAGGACAGCAAGGTTAAAGCTCGCTTCGCAGGGGACTTAAAGACAGACAGCCAATCACAAGGTGATGAAGGAACAAATCCCCCACAGTCTCCACAGATGCCAGCAAGAATGGGGGCCTCAAGGCCTACGCAGAAATCTGCCTCCTGGCCGGGCATTGGTGGTGCACGCCTTTAATTCCAGCACTCGGGAGGCAGAGGCAGGCAGATCTCTGTGAGTTCGAGGCCAGCCTGGTCTACAGAGTGAGTTCTAGAACAGCCTCCAAAGCTACACAGAGAAACCCTGTCTCGAAAATAAAAAAGAAATCTGCCTCCTACCTGAGAGCTTTCAAGATCAAGGAAACAGCTGACTCACTGTCTTGGGTCAGAAAACAGGCAGGTCACCTGCAGCCCTCAGCCTGTGCCTGCCCTCTGGGAAGACACAGCGTCCCGTCCACTCAGGGGCCCTCTGTCCCCAGCAAATGTCGCGAGGGAGCTATCTGGGTCTTCTGGAGCACTACAGCATGACCATCAGACCCCATGGCTCCAGCTCTGTCTCCTGACCTATCGAGGCCCCAGCAGTTTCTCTCAGGGCTCTTTCTGTGGCCCTGCCCAGTGGCCCAAACCCCAGGGTAACAGCTGGAAGGAAATCAAGAGAATGGTGTGGCTTTAGTGCCACAGCATTCCTAACTCCTCCAAGAGTCCAGCAAGGCTCTGTGGTCCCAGCACAGGAAAGCTCCCGAGCTGCTTGGAGCTTTTGAAAAACGTCTTCCTTGCTGCAGTCGCTGCGGGCCAGAGCAGCAAGCACCAGTGCTAAGCGCGCATGACAACCACACCAGACACTGGACAAGGAACCTGATTTGGAGCGGCGCGACCCCCTTACCTGCCGGCAGCGCTGACGACTTAGGGAGCTCGGTTGGGGTGATTTTGCTTGTTCCAGGGCTTAGAAGCTTGACATAATTTGCTGGGAACCAGCCTATCTGGCGCTTTTTCCCTCGAGCCTAAGAAGAAAATAATAATGTTTTATAAAAATGAAAGTCCATCTTTCTCACACAGTCTGACTTGTAATAGTGCCCTACTGTGCAACACTCATACTGAGCGGAGACACAAACTGTCACAGAGATCAAACCCGACTGTGACATTCAAAGTGCGCAGCCATTGGTCCATAGCCTGGAATGTTTCTAAAGGGCATGATTGTGCAGATCACACATTCAGGACATTCTGTGGTGCGGGTAAGTCAGAAAACTAAGGGCTGGAGAGATGGCTCAGGATTCAGAGCCCTGGCTCTTCTAGAAGACCCAGGTTCAATTCCCAGCCCCACCTGGCAGATTACAATTGTCTGTAAATCCGGCTTTTGGGGATCTGACACCTTCTTCTGGCCTCCACGGCACCAGGCACGCAAGCGGTCCACAGATACACATTTAGGCAACACCCATACACATAAAATTAAAACTATTTTTAAAGAGATAGAAAACTAGCTAGCACTTGCTGCTAGCGTCAGGTAATGCAGGCGCTCTGGTTAATGCCGTGAGCGTTCATGTGGAGCTGATTTCGAGATGCCCAAGTTGAGCTTGAAAAGATACTTGGCTGTCCCGGGCTACAGACTAGTTGATGTTAAGCCAAGACTCACTACCACGCTTGCGTTCTTTATGTAGATGGCAGACAACGCACAGCGTCTACAGAACACAGGCGCTCAACTTGATGCTGTTTTGGAAAGCATCAGGCTCATGGATGGCAGCAGGAGTTTCACACTGTCTTAATTTCATAGCATCGTCCACATTCCTACTGCCATTCTCCCCTCTTTATTTCACAGTCTGATTTGACCCAAGATACACCTATGAGCATTTTTACGATATCAGAAAAGGCGTAAGTCATGGAGCTCATGAAGGAAGAGACTGTCCTTGTCCATTCATATTGTCAGGAAAAGAACAGCACACACACACACACACACATACACACACACACACACAGGCATGCACACTCATGAAGAAGGAGACTATCCTTGTCCATTCATATTGTCAGGAAAAGAACAGCACACACACACACACACACACACACACACACACACACACACACACACACACACAGGCATGCACACTCATGAAGAAGGAGACTATCCTTGTCCATTCATACTGTCAGGAAAAGAACAGCACACACACACATGCACTGCACACACGGATGCATGCACACAGACACATACACCTCTCCAGAAGGAAGCTCTGATACAAGTATCTGCCAGGCAGAAGTTGTAGTTCACCAGTTAAGGGTACTGGTGGCTGTTTTGAGGACCCGGGTTCAGTTCCCAGCACCCCTGTGACAGCTATCCACTGTCTGCAATTCCAGTTCAAGAGGATGGCTTCCATGGACATCAGGCACACACATGGTACACAGACATGCATGTAGGCAAAACACCCATCCACATACATGACCGTAACACCTAGCACCCAAATAAAGAGAACACCCATCCACATACATGACTGTAACACCTAGTCCCAAATAGAGAAAACACCCATCCACATACATGACTGTAACACCTAGTCCCAAATAAAGAAAACACCCATCCACATACATGACTGTAACACCTAGTCCCAAATAAAGAGAACATCCATCCACATACATGACTGTGATACCTAGTCCCAAATAGAGAAAACACCCATCCACATACATGACTGTAACACCTAGCCTCCAAATAGAGAAAACACCCATCCACATACATGACTGTAACACCTAGTCCCCAAATAAAGAGAACATCCATCCACATACATGACTGTAACACCTAGTCCCAAATAGAGAAAACACCCATCCACATACATGACTGTAACACCTAGTCCCCAAATAAAGAGAACACCCATCCACATACATGACTGTAACACCTAGTCCCAATAGAGAGAACCGTACACTATCACGCCACACCTCTGCCCTCCCACTCATGTCATTAAGGAGGAGAACCCTGGGCTGGTCCAGACCACAGGTTTCGGCTGGTCACTGGGGTCATGTCCTGGCTCAATGACTACCTCGCCCTGCACTGCAATCCGCTTTTGCTTGGCTACCCCACTGTGTACCTGACTAGTGCACTCCAGTGAGTGCCTAGTCCGTGGCTCCCGGACTCTTCTGCCCTACCGCAAGCTTTCCAGGGATAGGACACTGAACTCCTTGCCATTCTCCACTGTGTCTCCATGCTGAAAGTCTCCATGCAGGGACACATCCAGGACACACAGCACGCCACTTACTTTCCTGCGAGGCCAAAGCCATTCAACACTGCTTTGAGTGACGTGCCCGGGGTGTGAGGACTAAGGCACACACTTCTTTAAGGTGCAGAGCCAGAGACATCCCCGAGTGCGGAAACAGAGAGGTGCCTGGGGAGTCTAGATCACAGCCCAGCACTGACCAGGAAGCACTGAGAGCAGTGCCCAGCACCCGTGGTCAGCCAGAGAGAAGCGCAGTGCTGTTGGTTACCAGAGCCCGCTGGGTAAGTGAGACTGGTGAAGCCGTGAGGAATCAGAGGGGAGGAGTACAGGAGGCACAAGGCCCAGGGTGTGGCTGCCCCCGACAACTCAGGTGAGACTGGGGCGGACACTCTGCTGCAAAGGGAAGGAGAGGTGTGGCGGGGACCCACGGGAACGATGAGGGAAGGAACAGGAGTCAATGTTCTGCACAGGAGGGGACATGTGGACTGGAAGGCCAGGCAGGCAAGACACAGATGCTCAGGGACGGCTGGCTGGACTGAGCAGCCTTCTCTGTATCTATGACGGCCACATTCGAAAGCAGAGTGGGGGCCAGGACTGGGGGCATGAGCCTGCAATCCTAGCATTCGAGGCAGGAACAGAAGACTCACAAGTCCGAGCCCAGCCTGGAATACACAGTGAGACCCTGCCTCAGAAATACGTGGAGGCTGGGAGTGTACTGCATGCTTTAATCCCAGCACCGGGGAGGCACAGGCTGACAGACGCTCGCAAGTTTGAAACCAACCTAGTCTATACAGTGAGCTCCAGGCCAGGCACGGCTACGTGGAGAGACCATGTCTAGGATGAAAAACAGAGAAACGCTGCAGGTCTCGCACACAGAAAGCAGGATGGATTTCTGGGACCTGGGGTTGAATTCCTCAACAAGTACGCTGAGCCTGGCCAGGGCTCTTCGGCCGCCCACCAGACGGCTCCCTGTGTAAGTCTGTCGTCAGCTATACTACAGACTGTGGCTTTTCTTCTGGCCAGGAACGTTTCTTTCCTCACCACAGCGTGGGTCCTCCTTCCTGTCTGGGGAATGGCCCGGCAGCTGTCAGGGAGCTGCGGTAGGCCTTCTTCCTCCCTGAGGAGTCTCCCTCCCTCAGCACTCTGTGGCTGGCCCCCACCCTCCCGTCTCAGACTTATCTGTCTGTCACACCGTCCTGCTCAGAGCCACACAAAAACTGGTTAACGTGATAAGCAGGCTGTGGACAGGTCACGATGGCAGAGTCATTGTGGGCTCATCCTGCAGGGACACTGGCTTCTCACAAAGTTATCAGCTCACAAGTCCTGAGTTACCCAGGAGGCCCCATGCTAGACTCTAAGGGAGAAACACTGTGTGAATCTCTTGTATGCAAAGCCAGACAGCTGCTGGGCGCTCAGCCCCTTGGCAGGCCGAGGAGGAATGCCTATGTGGTGAGCCATGGCCCACCCTCTCCTTCATGAAGAAAGGGAGGGGCGCCAATGGAATAAAGCCAGGTGCAGCCTGCAGTCCCAGACTGGTGTTCACCGAGTGAGGAGGAGATGGCAGGCGGGGGGGGGGGGGGAGGCGTTTTCCGTGTGAGAGTCAGTGCCAGCCTCTTACGTACAGCTGTGTGCACACGTGTATGCTGGCTCCAGGATCCCCCAAGATTCCAAAACACAGGGACGCCAGGCCTCATCCTCTCCAGCAACACTGGAGCACACTCAGCTCCTGGTAAGGAGGACAGTGCACAGAGCATGTGGATGTCGTTTACCAGGATTCACCCCGGCTAAGGCATACTCCAGCTGTCCCACCATTTGTGGGTCCTCTCTACCTGGGTATCTGCGTGTCTTCTAGCCTCCCCTGGCACCCTCTCTGTCATTAGTCTCTGAACCACGATTCCCTGGCTCTCACATCAAAGCTCTCAAAAAATATGTGTGTGTGTGTGTGTGTGTGTGTGTGTGTGTGTGTGTGTGTGTGTGTGTGTGTGTGAGATCAGATCCCCGGGAGCTGAAGTTACAGGCTGTTGCTAGCTGCCCAATGTGGGTACTGGAAACCTATTTCAGGTCTTAATCACTGAGTCATCTCTCTAGTCCCTGAGTCACGGTTCTTTAACCCTGTCCTCATGTAAAGCTCCCCATAGATGTGGTGCCCTCCGGCCATCCTGACTCTCCCTGATGATACACAAGAACAGTATCATTGTGTCTGGAAGTGAGAATTAAAGGAGGCATCTGGAGTGGTGAAATGAGTTTCCACACACACTGGAAACAAAAACAATATAATGAACGGAGGATGTGATCTGCAGGGAGAGACCCGTCATTGTTAGCACATCTTAAAACCCTTCCAACGAAACACAACTTCTGTGTACCAGGCCAGGACACATGAGGGTCTCCATGCAGATCCAGATTTCACTCAAGTTCTCCCTGGCCCCTGCACTCACGATCTGAACTTGGGATGCATGGTCAGATGGTTGCCAGCTCTCAGGACCCAACAGAGACACACAGGAGCCCTCAACACACAGGCGCAGGCTCAAACAACGAGGGCTCTCTGTACTTTGCAGTGCAGCACTGTTGCTTGAGACTTGCATATTCACACTCAGACAGAGGATTTTAAACAAGCAGGGACACTAACTTGCAGTTCTCCTTCCCACCATCCACCTGGGTTCTTTTTTCGGATCAAAATCAGCTGACCAGGAGCCAGGGTGAGTTGTTCAGGACCAGTGGCCGTGTAGGAAGCAATAACCTGGGCAATTTCTGAAAAACAAGGTCAGACATTGCAGTGGACTGTCAGAGTGTGGAGAAGGCGTTCCTAAGAAGACACAGCTGTCTGCAGGTCAGCACCATGGAGACCAGCATACTGGCTGGTTCCCACTCCATGGGGGGCTCTGATCCCCGACACCTGTGACTCGGCCCTTCCCGGGGCCACCTTGCAAATGCGCCCGTCCAAGGGCTCTGCTCCTCTTTCCACTCAGCCTAGCCTTCTGTGGCCCCTCACTGTCTCATGACCTAACAGCTCCCTGCCAGCAAGCCCCACCCTATCTGTCCTACGCTTCCCGTCACAGAGCCTCCCACAGTTACTATGAGCCCAGATGAAGGGCCAAGTCCCTGTTCCTCCTGACCTGTGAATCTAAGGGATGCTCCCTCTGCATGGACACTAATAGGAGAAATTAGATTTTCCTTAGAAACCCACAGGAGCCTGGCTGCAGCTCACTACACATGGCTTAGGACTGTCTGTCACAGCTCTTATTCTAGGAGTGATCCATGAATTTCTCAGGTTTAAATCATGGAACTATGAGTTTAACCTCTTTTTATTCCAAGTTATAAGAGGAACACAGAGTTATGAGAACTTAATTAAAAATAGTAGTTCAGTATAGAACTAAAAAGAGGAAATGGTTCTATAGTTTTCCTGAACCTTAAAGATCCTATGAGAAGACGCCCAGCAGGAGCACAGCCCAGACAGGTGTAGGGGCTGCAGAACAACTGTCTCCCCCTCTACACTCCCCCGCCTGCCATCTCAATGACCTGAACCAGTAGGGAGGGAGGGAGGAAGGAAGGAAGGCAGGAAGGAAGGAAGGAAGGGAGGGAGGGAGGGAGGGAGGAAGGAAGAGAGGGAGGGAGGCAGGGAGGGAGGGAGGAAGGAAGGAAGGAAGGAAGGAAGGAGCAATGAAGAGCAATAAGACAGAAAGAGGGTTGGGGAGGCCCCCGCATCTACTGTCCTGCCCTGTGCAGGGTAGGAACAGGAGCTGTCCCTTTAACAAACCCCTATTACTCTGTCCTGCAATCTGAGGTTGGTGACAACAGGAGGGGCCTGCTTGGTGCTTCAGAAAACCCAGGAAGGCAAAGGGCTTGGAGCCCAGCTCACAGCTAGTCTGGGAGTCTGTGGGGATGAGGATGTTCCTCTGGCATGCCAAGGACGAGGTCTAGAGTCCAAGTTTTTGGTTTGGAAACAGTCCCAATTAGCGTCCTATTTGGCATCAGCAGTTTCTGTGGGCCGGTGATCTGCCCTAGCATTCTGAGGAGCCCCTGTGTCCCCGGGCAGCCTGCCTGAGCACTGCATGTGAACTATCTGGACAATGTTGAAGGGTAGACAGCTCCTAGTAACAGCAGATTCAGCCGTGTGTCCTGACTCAAATCTCCTTTCTGTGACTGCGTGAGCCCAATAGGAGATGAGCGGGCAGCCGCTAGCACAGCAGTGCCTGCTCAGACCTATAATTTCCTAAGGCTATGACAGCAAAGTAGCACCAACGACCTTGGCTGGGGAGACGGCCATACCAACCATGCCATTTCACGGCTGCTTCCTTCTGTCTCACCCTACTATTAATAGAACATGTGGTTTTGCTTAAATAAACTAAAAACTTGGCTTCTGAGGCATGACTCTCATTTTGTACCTCCAATGCTTGCCCGGGGAAAACCACCTTATTCTAAATTAATGAAACCCATCATTAGATGATGTTTGCCGCATCTCTGATGGTCACTGCTGGTACCACTGGGGCTTAGCATGCTATGGGAATGAGCAAGGCTTTCCAAACTCAACAGGATGATGTCCCCAAAGCAGCTGAGCCTGTAGCGCTGTACACATCAACTCCCGACCATCCTGCCCAGGAAAGTCTCCATTCCCCACATTTGCAGCAACAGCCACGCATACACTTCATTAACAAGGATGGGGCTACCCACACACCGTCGGGGAAGATTCCTTTATCTTTAGATTGCTGGCTGTAAGAAACAAAGGTTGGGAGCTCCTATCAAGCACACTCATTGACATTGAAACACAGGCATTGGGGTTTGTAACTTACCAGGCTTTTTTCCTAAACTCCCTGTTTTCCCAGCAGTTCCAGAGCCCTTAAAACAGAGCAAAAGGTCTCATTTGCATGCTGCAGAGTTGATCTCGCAACTTAAAAAAAAAGATGAATGATACAAACCCACCAGAGCCCTTACATCCCTCTTTCCGTTCTGGGGGAGCATGGGAGCACCTGGCAGTATGTCAGGTGACAGAGGTGAGAACAGGCACGTTAAAACAGGTGGCCTTTACTGTAAGAGCAAGCCGAGGGGCTCAGGGTCGGGCCTCACGTGCCTCGGACACACCCTTGTCCAGGGCAAACACAGCAGAAGACCCCGTGGCAGCAGGACTGTGTCCCCTCTCAGCTCACTGCACCTCTCATGGCTGGCCAGGAAGTAGTTCACATGTCAAAGCCAGGAGGCTCCTGAAGAGTCTACCACCCAGACTCACCGCAGCGGAGTGCTGACATCTCACTATATAAATTCATACTGGAATCTGGGAGGATAGACTCCAACCGCCCCCATTCACCTCTCTCTATCCAAAGAGGGGCCCGCTGTCCTGCATGGTGTTTCTACCCAGTTTCACACTGTCGTAGGAGCAAGTCTTTCCCAGCTACTGAGTGTTCCAGAAACAATGAGGGTGAATCCCTCCCGGATAGCCATGGAACTTTGGCCCAGCTGAGTCAGACAGCAGAGACCATGAGAGCCAGGACATGGGCCAGAATGCAATCTGTGTGACAAAGTGCTTTATTGTCAATTAATGCTCCCCCTTGAGTGCCTACCCTTGTAGTAAATGAAGCATTTCATGGCAGTAAAGCCAGGGCTTAATAACCCAAGCCAGTCGCCATAAAGATAGAAAGTGAGCTGTGTTTACGAGGAACACACTCGATCGTTGCTGCTGCTGTATTTCTGGTCACTAAAGTCGAATGACCACCGAAGAGGACTGCTTTGAAATAAGTTTTTACTGTAATTAATGAGTTTTAATTAATGAGCACGATTGGACACTATCAATTGTCCTGCTGTTTTTATACCCTGAGAAATCAAGTAGAGAGTGTCAAGGAAATACAAAGTGAGCTACTTCCCATACACAGGCTCAGGCTCATGGTAATCCCCCTGCTCCACACACTGCCCAGCCACAGGTCAGGGGGATCCAGCGTGTTCCCTCTGAGAAGCCACAGGCAGTGGGGGGTGGGGATGGGGGAGCTGGGGGGCCCGGAAGGGCAGTCCCCAGTCCTGTGGGTCCAGCCCTGTGTCCCCAGAGTGTGCTGTTTCCTTTTAAGTTTGTTGGAAGTTTTGCTCTCACACAGAACTTTGCACTTTTATTGTCTTTTGAATGTATCTGACTTTAAAATCTTAACTGATCCTTATTCCATAGCCAACGATTAAATAACTGACTATGGGAGTAAGAAAACGCCTCACAGGTCAGTTGGCCTTTTAAAGCCAGCACACGCCGTTCCTGTTTAAGGGCTCAGGTGCTTTTGGACAGAAAGCTATAATATATTAAAATACAATGAAGGAAATAGCTTTTACATCTTACATTTATAACGGCTTATTTCATGTTACTTAAATATGTGTCAAGGCTATACCTCCTTGTATACATCTATGGATCCATATACATATACATACACAGAAAACCTAGAGGCAAAATTTGAAGGAATAAAATAAAGATGCAAACCAAATGGTTTTGGGTTTTACCTGTCCCAAAAGGCAACCTCAGTTGAGGAGTTTTCATGTCTGGTGGCAGGAACTGATGCTTCCTAACCCTGAAACGCTATCTGCATAATCTAAGGCCATCTTGCTGGCCCGGAGAAGCATTGGCTTTTCCCTTTCTAGGTCTATGGAGTCAAACTGGCCAGCTGTCTTATGAGGGAGAAATGATTTCTCCTGGCTTCTTTCTGCCAAGTTCTGAAGAGTGGGCAGACTTACAAGAACACTCAGCATTTACAAGCCGCTCCCAATACCACAGCAAGCATAGACCCCAAACAATGGTAACTCAGTTTTTTTGAAGCACAAGGAACTGTTGCTGAGGTAAGAGGGTCAGTGGCAAGTGCATTATAGCAGCCACAGGCCCATCCTCACCAGAGTCACTGGGAACACGGGGCCTGCAGAAGAAGCCGCTGTGACTCTGTCTGGCATTTGAATGACAGTGAGGATCTTGTCCACTCACATATTCTCAATGATGCTACAGGTTCTGCTAGCTCCTCTCTCTTAGTGCCCAGGAGATGTGAAAACAACTATGGCTTTATAGTCCTTAACAACAACCACCACCCTAAGATTCACTCCTGCTGGCTTGTTTCTATGCGTCTGTTAAACAGCTGTAATTATTTACCATGAAGCTCCCTTAACTTGAACTTGGCCACGATAAAACCCCCAACCCCCAACCATTTCATTAATTTTGCCCCAACTCAAGACCACATTGTATGCAACCAGATAACGAAGGAGTCATTTCCACCTGATAAGGACAGCGGCATTGCCCAAAACCTACCAACCCCAACCTCTTGGAACTTTAGCCTTTCTACTGTGAGACAAAACACAGGTTTGAACCAGAACACCTTCATTGACACAGACAAAGGATCGCTCACTGTGAGCATCTAAAAACCAGTGGCCAAGAAGAACCAGCCAAGCATGTTTACTCAAAAACAAATTGGTTACACATAGGAGTACACTTCACACTGACCATTGGAACTGGGTGGGTGATGAAGAAAGCCCCCCTCCCCGCCCCCGCCTCAACTTAATTCTGGAGTTCTGCGTGAAGGGAGCCAGAGCTTGCCCCACAGTACCAAAGGACACTGTCAGACAGCTGCAGGACTCTAGGTGCTATTGCAATCCAGAATTCAGTAGAACCCAACACAGTGTTCCGCTGTCAAACATCAACTCCCCGCCAAGGGAACCACCACACAGGGAGAGGGAGAGGAAACAGTTAATGTGGGTTTACCTCTGCATCTTTAAGCCTCACATAGTTAGAAGGGAAGACTCCGGACTTGTCGCCCACCGTGCCCGTCCACCAGTCACCATCTTTCTTGGTAACCAAAATCAGATCCCCTTGCTGAAAGGTTAGATCTCCTTGCTCAGAACTCTCGTAAGTGTACATGGCAATAAACTCTGGAGAGATATCGAGACACGGAGAGAGCTTGATTGTTTAAAGACATCCCAGACAGCTTTGCAAAAGTAAGTTTATGATTCAGGAGGAGATCCAGTCAAGAAACAACCGGCCACAGGTTAAGACACAGCACTGTACCATCCCCGGGATCCATGGTGCCCACTGCACATACAGAGGATGTGGCGTATGCGGAGAGGGACTGCTGGGAGGATCCAGGCAAAGGAACACAAACCAAGGGCCCTGCGCATCTGACAGGACGCCAAGCCTGGTCTATGCTTTAGTTACATGCATCGCCTCTCTAAATGAAAAAGGGTTCCACTTTTAGCTCGGGTTAACATTGAGAGCGTGCCCACTTTGTGCTTTCTATGTACAGGTAGGATGTACTCACGTGCAGGCTTTTGGTGTACAAATATCTGTTATTTCAGTTTTGAGGGGGCATGTGACAGTTTTAGAAGCCTTTCAGATACAGTTCATCCTTTATGTCAATCAAACGACAGCCCTTTCACCATTTAAGTGTCCAAGTGAACACCTGAGGTTTACAGTGCCATGCATACAAAAGGTAGCGGGCTGTTTAAGGATACAGCAGGAGGTGTTTCGTTATGGCCAGACATCTGCTTGTCACTCAAGCTGCGTGAGCAGGTGCAGGCATTAATAGCAAAAGTAACATCTCCCTAACCCAAGAAAATATCCAATCATTTCTAACACGCTTGTTAGAAATTACTACTCGTGTGATTGAGTCTCAAGAAGGAAGAGCTGGCATTCTCTAGGGACTCCGTTGGAGAGGAGTGTTTGCCACAGGAGCATCTCCCTGTAACTCTAGAACTCCGCTTTGCTACGAACTGACCCTGAGGCTCAGGACAAAGTCATCGTCAAGATGGCTGGATACCAACCCTACACACTGAGTACAGAAAGAGACACATGTTTATTTCTATATTTTATCCACTCTGCCCTAGATCTTTATACATTTTTAAAAAGTAATAAAAGCCAAGCCTTTTGTAAAGCTTACTGTCAGGACAGACTGGATCGTTGCACTGTAACAAATCTTGCATGAGACCTACCCTTCAAAGCAGAGTGCGAGGTTGGCTAGCAGCTAGAACTCTGCTATAGAGAGCTCCACTGGCCATTCCCACCTATTCTGTATGCGGCTGTGTGTGGAGGTCAGATGACAAGGTGTGGAGTTGGTTCTCTCCCTCCGCAGTATGGACTTTGGGAATCACACTCAGGCTGGCAGGCTTGGCTGCTAGCCCGTTACCAGCTAAATCATCTCACTAGACCTCCCCTGGCTAATGTGAAAAGCTTTGTCCTAATGAAAACTGAAATAAGTACACAGAACCCCTAAAGTCTGAGCTAAATGGCTATCCCTAACTACAAGAGGTCTCCTTCAAATGCAGGTGACAAGTGGAGACCTGTGCTGAAGCCAGCACTGACTGCTAGACCCACAGCTGATACAAGGTCACCCAGATGTCCTTGGGAAAACAAGACTGTGACTTTGGGCCTCCATTCTGGAAACATGAAGCTCCACAGTTAACACTGAGAAACAAAAGCTCGCCCGGAGAGCGAAGCTCCCAGCGCATTCTCCCCTCACTCCATACTTCTCAGTACTCTGGACGCTGACTGGTCCCGTCTGCCCCCTTTTACCCCTTGCTCCCACCCAGCCCCTGCGGACAGGATTCTGGGCATTTTATACACTTCCCGGATTACTCAACACATAAATCACCTTCTTTGGATCCCTTTAAAATTTTGGAGTGTCCTTCACGATGTTTAAGAAACCCGGAATGAGTGCAACCCTGTCTGCAGGGGCTGCAGGGGCTGCAGGCTTCGCATGGCCTGCCCCACCCTGCACACGTCTGCGGGAAAGCCAGGCTCTACTTAAAAGAGGGGCACAGGCCTGTCCCAAACACTACCCCCATCTATCCAAATGGGTAATCTATTTCAATCTACTTCACAGCTTAAATAAGATGATGTTTAATGTATTATTAAGAGGCTTGTTAATCTGTAAATAGCCTTTCTCAGGATTTCCAACGCCAATATCCTCCTACAAGCTCTCCTGCCACGAGGCCTGCAATCTTTTCCTGGTTTTTCTAATGCCCAAACTCATTTCAAAACAGACAGACGGCTTCTAAGATGGGAATCTGCCCCTAATCTGCTGCCTAACTTTAAGAGTGAGAGTGGGCGCTGTGGCCTGCTAAGATGGACTGTTGCAGCCTCGAACATGATCGAGTGTTGCAGCCTGGAACATGCTCCTTGCACACTACTGTCTGATGAGAACACTCACTGCTCTGAGTGGCTCGACGGTAAGCAGAGCCTTGGGGACAAACAGAAAGGACATTTCCGGCCTTCATTCTCACAGCTTTATACATCTTAACTCATAACCCTGTAATAATTTCCCCCGAACAGGGTGGCGCATGCCCACTTCACAGATGAAGTTGAGGCACGACTGAAATCATGTAGTTGCTATGAGAGAGCCAGAATATGACGTCTCCCTGTCTAGTCAGACCTGTTGACATGTAATACACTTGAGTTTTGGCTGTTGTTGTTCTGTTTTGGGGAAGAGGAAGAGCTTTTAATTAGGCTGAAAGCATGTTATATCAAAAAAGAGGTTTTAGCCTTGTTCTACTAGTGCTAAAATAATTATTAAGGAAATGTGAATGTGTAACGATGATTATTCTAATAGAGTTCACATAATAATAAATATATATTCATAAAAAATAAATAATAATAGTTATGTGGAAAATTTGGAATTTTTAAAGTGGCGATAAGGTTTTATGACTATGCCTGTAAACTAAACAACCGTTATTTTGAAAAGTCTCCTTAAGAATGGACTCGTGCTCCTGGGAGTCGGAACTAGCATGAAGCCTTCATCTATGCAGCCTCTGCTGAAGCAATCATCCCAAGACCTCTGTTTTCCACTGGCAAAGTTTCTAAGGGACAACAATTTTATCACAGCGCACGAAGCACACTCTGTCATCACAGATGTGTTCCAGACACCTGTGAAAAGATCGCCACATACTTCCATCAACATCTGTAACTACAGAACCTGCTCACCGCCACACAGACGCTTAACTCGGGTGGCCCGGGCCAGCGGCTACCAGGTAATGACTGTGGTGAGCATGGAAGAGACCAGGGAGGCCTTGGTTATGTAGACTTGGGTCATTTTTAAAACTTTAAAATCATACCTCCTTCTCCAGTCTGGCATATAATATCTAGGACTATGCCATATAACACAGATCAGAGGGGAAAGCAATGAACTGTCTGTGTAATAAATACTGAGAACGAATGTTTCAGGCCTATATAACCTGGCTTGGTCATTCACACAGGGCACAGAGATCTGGCTTGGCTGGGGTGTACCCATAGCACCCACGGTGTCCTGAGAGCCTCGCTGGACTGTGCGGTCAGTTTTAAAGCAATACAGTTATGGGTGTCAATGAGACAAGGGGATCACATGGGAAGCAAGGCCATGAGTGACACATGCTCAGAACTTGACCCTCAGTGAATGCAGTGGGCTTCTCTCTGCCAGACATCGTTAGAGAAACCAGTTTGGGATGGCCAGTACCCCAGGCACTGTTTTGAAAGCACTTCACAGAGTAGTTTATGTAAAGAGCTCAGCCTCCACTTTATCTCAGAGCTCAGGAGGCAGGACAGAAATATCCGGCCTATGTAAAAGTGAATCCAGTCATTATGGTCAGTTTTCTTTTTGGTTTTTCGAGACAGGGTTTCTCTGTATTGTTTTGGAGGCTGTCCTGGAACTCGCTCTGTAGACCAGGCTGGTCTCTAACTCACAGAGATCCGCATGACTCTGCCTCCCGAGTGCTGGGATTAAAGGCGTGTGCCACCACCGCCCGGCTACTATGGTCATTTTTATGGTCATTTACGGTCTGCACCGAGTACCGTGCCCAGCCTCCTAAAGAGAGCTGACACACCCCGTCCTCACCTTCTCCAGGAACGGCTGGCTTGGCTGCCGGGGAAGCCACTCTCTTTAGGCTAGCAGGACTTTCAGTAGGGCCTGTATCGATGCTGTAAGAAGGGAAGAAGAGCATTTTAACTCTCACCTGAGAAAACCAAATGATACTGCCTTTCTCTTCGAAAGCTACAAAACAAAAACAAAACCAAAACAAAAACCCACAGCTGCAGCGGTCATAAGTAGCCGGGTTAGGACACAGTGAGAGAGAGCCCCAGAGGAGCTCACACCGCTGCTCCCCACTCTCTACACTGCACACACAAATTCAATGCCAGTCTCTTTATCACCCACTAGCAGATGCCATGGGGTATTTCTGCTGGTGGCATCCTCTTACAACTTCCCAGCTGGATTTGGACATACTTACATGGTGGAATAATCCATTACAACCTTATGAGTTCTACGCCACATGCAGACACTAATGAACAAAGCCATTCATTCATTCTTCCAATCACTTCCCCGAATGCCTTGATCCTAAGTGTCTGCACGCATTTGGCACTGTACTGGGCACCAGGCATCCAGAGTCATAATTCCCAATAGGTGTGGGATTCTTAGACTAGTCAACAAAGAACATAGCGCACAGGCTTCCCTTTGCAAAACGATGCTCAGGAGAACGGGATCCCTTTCTGTCTTACACACACACACACACACACACACACACACACACACACACACACACACACACACACACACACTTCATCCTGTAGCTCCCGCCAGTGAATCCAACCAGCACAGACAAGGATTTCTAATACCGTCTCCATCTAATAGAAGCAGACAATAATACAGTACCTTGTAGCTTTCCTGACGGGCCCTGAAATGAGTTTCACGTAAGACTTGGGGAACCAGCCCTTGTGACCTTGAACTTCTCCAAACCACCACATGTCTTGCTGTTCCAGAACGGTGATGACGTCGTTTTTGTTGAAGTTTAAGTGGTTGTCTTTCTTGGCTCTCCAGGGGTACAGGGCTTGTGCTTGTAGGCCTTCTACCTTTTCACCCTTGGGTGGGACGACATAAAGGACCTGTGGTCACACCGTGGCTTTTACTCAACCAAGACAGGTGTGCACATGACATGCACATGGCCACAAAGACACTGCCTCTGCCTGGCAGGAGAGCTGGGCGCCTCGTGGCTTCTCCCCAATTGTTCATTTTAAACAGGAGAAAAAAAAAAATCTGGCGGCCACTCCCAGAGCCCCGCCCAGCCAGCCTTACTTCTTCAGTTATATTCCATGTAACGGGGCAGACACTTCAGGAGCTGAATGGTACTTCAGTTTGGGTGGATATATGAAAAACAGGCCACACACTGGACTGTGCTTGTTTTTTTCCCATAATTCTAGACATTGTGGGACTATAAGGGTTAAGAAAACATCGCTTCTGCTCTCTCCACATACCTGGGAATCAGCATTTTATTAACCCTAAAGTGCTATAAGAATGTCCCCTAGTAACAGGAACTCGGTGTACAAGAAGAGATAGAAACAGCAAAATCCATCCGGAGGAGGGGAGTACACCACTCAAAAGTTCTCCCGCTTCTCTGTGGGACCAGAGCCTGCCTTGGGGCACCTGGGACAGATCCACAGGGAGGGGGGGGGTGAGAAGGGTTTGAGGGCTGCTGCCACAGAGGCGGGCCCAGGCCAAAGGACAGCACAGGCAAGGCCTCAAGGCGACCTGCTGAGCACTGCAAGCCGACCAGGGGAGGACTCAGCCCCCGTGCTGGGGTTAGCCTGCACTCGTGGAGGGGCGGGGCAGGAGACGAGGCTGCAAAGGCAGTGAGGCCCTTACTGTCGACCTGAAAATCCTCACGGTGACCTAAAGAACTAAGACAAGTCCCACTTCCATCATCCGAGTAGACGGAGGAGGAGTGAGCGTTAACGCACGAGGAGAGTTGGTCCAGATCCTCTGCGCTTGACCGGGGTGATTTTTATTTCTCAGTAAAGACCCCACTGGACGAAACAGGAAACTTACAACTGGTCGGTGGCTTCCATGAGTGTGTAGTGACCTCTGACCCCTGCTCTGCATGGATTCTTACACCCCCACGTCTACACATCCTTTCCTCCATTTTAGTCCCAAGAGCACTGCTCTCCCCCGGTTGCGCTCTTCTGCTAGCTGACTCAGTCCCTCTGCCCTCTCTAGTCCTCTCAGCTACGCCATGGACTTGCAGGCCAGAGTGGGAGGGAAGCTGTCTGCTCTGTGCGTTTACAAAGGTCTGGGACGTCTCCCTTGACACTCCTTCCCTGTATGTCAGGCTCTGAACCAGCCCGAGGTCAGACGAGACTGTGACACGGAGGCTGAGTCCCAGGTCTGACACTTACTGATTCTGTGACACTTGGGTAAGTGATAGATTTCTCCAAGCCTCAGTTTCCACACCTGCCAAGGAGATGGCACTCTTCTGGAGGCTGGTACGATGTTCAGAAAGGCCTGTGCACAGCCTTCGCTGCAACTGTGACAGGTCAGGAGGCTGTGGCACCGTGGTCCCTAGTCCCAAGCCGGGCAGTGCCTCTAGCGAATGGTGACTTCAGTTTCCAGGGAACTCCTGCTCTTCCGGGTCCTAGTCTCCGCAGGGCCTCTCCACTGCACAGGCCCTCACTTCCGCTGACTGACGGGGTCAGGCCATGTGATCGCTGCTCTACTCCTCGCAAACAGCAGAGTTCTCGTGACTCAACTTCCTCTTCCCTCAGCGCACTCTGGATGATGTTCCCTTTCCTTCGGTCACCAAGAGGTCGACTCTACCTATCCATGCTGGTCTCTTCTCCATCCTGAGCGTTCTCTGGTAGCACGACCACCTCCGTCCTCCCGAGTTCTAGAGCTCACTCTTGTCCCCACAGTTGTTACTCACGCTTCACGGGACCACAGCAGCTCCTTGGTCACTGAGCACTGACGGGATCTGCTTCAGTGCCGGGTGTGGGCAGGAGCAACGGACCGCGGTGCAGCCCGCTCGGGCACTTGCCGTTTTCTCCCTGAGGCCTCCACTCCCGTGGATTTCACTATGCTCGCTACATACATCACGGCTCGCACCCTCCTGCTCCTTGCGGAGCCACGTTCCGCCAGTGCGCCAGACAGCGAGAGTCGGGTGCCTGACTCCCACCACCTGGCACTGGACTCTTCTCTCCTCCCTCATCTGGCTCAGTTCTTTCCCTCTGGCCCAACCCTGCTCTGTTTTCCGTTTCCGTGGCTTGGACAAGGAGACTCAGCAGGGCCTAGACTTCCACGCAAGCCCTCGAGAGCACAGCAGCTTCGCAGCTCTGGTCTTCTTGGACACCGCTCCCCTATGGGTCTGGCCCGCGTCTCCTCCAATTTAAGCGTCTCCAGGACAGAAAACCCCCGCAATCTCCAGGGGCCTCCCAGGTGGGCACTGGCTGTGTGACTGACCCCATTCTTTCATGGTTACTACAGTAACCTAAAGGGGAAGGTTACGAAAACCCCCATGCTTTCAGAAACACTGTGCCTCAGCAGGGCCTCCCATTGGCCTGAAGTTGAGCTGCCTTTTTCAGTAGGGACCAAGGGGTTAGGCAGCCAAATGGGCTGACTCAGTTTTCGTTACGCACACCCTGACTCTATGCATGGCAGTTTCGATACCTTTTTAATGACCAGCATTGCAGCTCTGATGCCGCTTTTTCTTTCAGTGAAGCTTCTCAGACACAGGCAGAACAGTTTGCACCCTTGGAACACTGAGGTTTACACTAAGTCTCGGGGTTCTGAACTAGGTCCAGGCAGCCAGCCCGGCTCATAGGGGGAGCCTGCACCGCCGGCACTGCTGGTGTAAAGACACTAGTTGCAGAGTACTCTCAGTCTGCACGCCCTCCCCCGCTGCCCCTACCTGGCCCAGGACGGGAGATGGGGAGGAGCCGGTGACTGTGGCTGGTGTAAAGGCGGATCTCTGCCTTAACTGGCCAGCGCCGGGTACTGTGAGAGAAGGCTGAGCTGCCCAGGCATCCCAGGTATCCGCTTCTGGTTTCTCACTCGTGCTGGCGGGCCACCTACAAGGAGAAGCGCAGGTCACCAGCAGTAAGCACCTGTCTAGTGTCCTGACATTAGGACACCCACCCCCACAAGGAGGGCACCCTCGGAACAGAAACTGACGATATTTATGCCAGCCTCTCTAGTTGAGGAGACAGGACGATAAAGAATGCTGGGCTCAGGCTTGGCTCCGCTACACACACTAACAGCGTCCCTGCAGGCCTTCTCTAGAACACCTGACAGTCTGGGTTCGCTGTGAGGGTCGCCTGGAAACACCCACAAGTGCTGAGATGTCTGTGACGGCCGCAGCTGAGTAAGAAGGGGGTAAGCGCCGCACACGGAGACACTGCAGCTCGGCAGCCAGGAAGTCTCAGCCCGTGTGTCCCACAGCAAACGCCTGGATGCCGCAGTAACCACAAGAGGCAGCACACCTAGAAGGCTAGGTGTCCTATCTCAGGACAGTCCCAGTTTTGTGCTTTTAAGGTGAGCTCACGTGTTTGCGAGTAGAGCTGAATGTGATGTGCTGTTTATATCTTTATCAGACCTATAAGCCAATTTGAAAATCAAAACAGCCCCCACCCACCCACCTCAGACTGTCCATCTTGATGCTTTAGTTTGGAAAGATGCGTTTGTGGACATCGGGAGACTCGTACACCCCAGAGCTCTTAAGGGAGAGGCAGTGAACTAGCTCACAGAAGAAAACCACCACCACCACCACCACCACCACCACCATGATATTAGAGTTGGGACTAGAGCTGCCTCGCACGCAGAAAGCCCCAGAACCCGGTCCCCAGCACCACACACGGCAGGCGTGGTAGAGCACTTGGGAGGTGGAGGCCTTGGTAGATGCTCAAGATCATGTGATGGGCTTGAGGTTAGTTCTGGCTATTTGAGACCCTGCCTCAACAAACAACCACGGTACCAATCTATATCTTAACTGGAGCTTCGTTTTGCAAAGTCAAGAGCTTTTCAAGCAAGACCAAACAGCAGGGCTGGTTTGGCTTAGGGACAGCAGGGCTGGTTTGGCTTAGGGGCAGGCCAGCAGAAGGCTGCTTCTTAAGCAGGGTGCTGAGGGCATTCTTCAGCACCGTCAACCTTTATCTCCCAATGTGCGTGAGGAAACCTGTGATTCTTCCTGTCACCACTCTCCTTGTCCTCTGTTTGTTCCATCTGAGCCTCCCCTAAAAATATGCCTTGGCTTCAGGGTTGTGTCTTCTAAAAGGCTACTCAGCTTGAAAAGAGACGTAAAGCCCTTCCTTCTCGGACTGGCTGCACATTAGCTGGGGATGCCTTTGGATAACTGCACACGGAGGCCGTGCACCTACAAAAGGAGGTCTAGGCTTCACCTATCATTTGAAACCTCTGCTTCCATGCTGTTTGCCGAATGCTACTTCCTGATGACAGGGGCATCTCCCCTTCTCTACACTGCCCGTTTGCTCGAGGTTAGCAACAGCAGAAATTGTCCACAGAAACTGCCTTCTGTCTTACTCCAAGCCACCTGACTGCTTGCAGTTTTTGTTCCCTGCTAACAAAATCATGTCATTTCCCAGCCTGCAGGAAATAACTGAAAACTGCTGACTGACACAACCGTCAGCACAGATTACTAGGAAGTTGCATTTCTTCCTCCAAAATGAAAGACACAGATAAATATAGACGGCTTTCTTTTGTACCCTGGTAAACTGCCGTTTGGCAATGGTATTATTAAATCTAGTTTGGCAGTCATGGACCTCAACTTGTCAGTAGGCCAGCCAGAGGAAGGGGTCATTAACGAGTGCTGTCTCCCTTTCAAAGATGAACAACTCGAGACTCTACAAGCCAGAAGAAGGAAAAGAGGGGCTGGAGAGATGGCTCAGCAGTTAAGGGCACTGACTGCTCTTCCAGAGGACCTGGGGTCAAATCCCAGCACGCATATGTAACAACACTGTACCTCCAAGATCTGACACTCACACAAATGAACTTGCAGGCAAAACACTAATGTGTATAAAATAAAAGTAAATAATAATTTTTTTAAAAGAAGGAAAAGACGACTAAGTTTGGATATCAAACCTGTCAAAGACAGCACATTAACACGTACGTGGAACTGAAGTCTGCCCAGTTGTTGGGGGTTGTAGAGGGCTCGGAAGAGGTCCCTGGCAGGGGAGCAGGGGTCTCACGCAGAGCCGGTTTGGGGGCAGGGGCAGATGTGAGGCCGGTCACTGGTTTGGCTGGAGTGGGAACCTCATCCTCTGGAATCTTCTCTGCATAGTTTGCAGGGAACCATCCCGTCTTCCCTTTTAACTCCCCGCCAAGCCATCCTGGCTCTCCAGTGTGGCTTTCATCCACCTGTGGGGAGTCACAGCGTTTCAATGAGAAGCCATCAAGCCCTGAACACACCAAACATTCCACCACAACAAAGCCACAAGCCTCTGCCCGTGACTGACACACAGCATAGACGGGTCTTCCTTTACGTCTCGGTGTCTACAAAAGTGGCAAGCATGTTCTTACTTTGCCCCTTCTCCCTGCATCCCTGAGTTCCTAATGACTGCTGAGGTAAAGTGCCTCGGGTCCTTGGACACTCTGAATTGTGAACCCATCTGACAGGCTTTATCACTCAGGAAGTCACGCACTCATGAAAAACAATTTGACTCGGGTTGATTATTTCAAGCAAACAGTACAAGCAACATAAAGGTTAGCATTCTTAAAAATTCCGCTAACTGAGCTCTTTTCCTTTCTTTAGCACAAGGACAAGGAGGATAAAAACAAACGACAGCTGTGGCTGGTTCTGCTGGGCAGCAAAGCTGATCCACGGGTTTAGCTGCTCCACAGCTCCATGGACGGGGAATGGAGGCGCTGGTTTCATTGACAGCTGTCGTCAGTTCCGGCGAGACTGTCATTTCCCTTCGTACAAACTAAACTTTAAGACAGCACAAAGAATAGAGCCTTTTGTTTGTAAATTTCAGGGGGTTCATCTACCATGCCAAATGCTTGTGCTGAACCTCAGTTCTGCCCAAAGGGCCCTCCCACACCCCACAGCTGCCTCACTAGCTTCTGAGCAGTGGGGATAGCTCTGCAGGACACGCTGACTCCATACCATGTTCTCATAGCTGGACTTTGGTCCTGCTACCTAGTTGATGTAGTTCACTCAAAACAAACTACGATTCTCTGCTCTGGGGTCCTGTCTGGGACCCTGGTCCTTGCCAGGCCGTTTCCTACAGGGGCCCATTTGATATCTGATTACTGTTTGCCTGGAATTCTCACTGCTGCAAACGCCGACTGCTCTATCTCACCGTGACGCAGGATCTACTGTCACCGTCTATTTAACAAGCCTTGGGAGGTTATAAGGAAAGAGATCAGAAGTTCAGAGGCAGCATCTGACCCTAAGGAAAGGTCTATGCCAGAACCAACTGAGAAACCACACCCTGTCTGCCACCCTCAAGGACAGAGACCACACTGCACCTCTCAAGCATCTAAAGAAGCTGGAGGCGGGACCCTGAGCTCAGGTTCATCTTCATCACCAAGAACTCCCCTCTCCATGGCAATGATTATTCAGCATGGACTTCACTTTCAAATGGGGAAACTCAACTACCCTCAACAACAGCGCATAGCCTCAGGACCGTGAACTTACTCTCACGGGATCTCCTTATTTTAACGACTACAGTTAAGGTCCAGAGGAGGCAACAAGAATTCATTCTTTTTTTTTTGGTTTTATGAGACCGGGTTTCTCTGTATTGTTTTGGAGGCTGTCGGTCCAGCCCAGCCTTGAACTCACAGAGATCCGCCTGCCTCTGCCTCCCGAGTGCTGGGATTAAAGGCGTGTGCCACCACCGCCCGGCTCCGGAATTCATTCTTAATACTTAGCCACTTGGAACAAAACACAAGGGTCAACATGAAAGAGAGATATTTCTTCCTGGATTTGGAAAACTTTGCCCAAAATGCCAGTCCAATTTTAGAAAAATGTGAGACTACGACAGACCAAGAGGTTACGTGCATAAACTTTGTAACCATGGCCAACTCACCCAGTGGTGGCTTCTTCGAAGGATTCTCCTTCTATTTAATGAACAAGTTTAATCTTAATATAATTTCTCTAACCAGGTCTATCCTATTAATCTGTTTCTTTGAGAGTAACTGACAGAGCATCATGGGATTGAAACACAGGCCCCAGATTCTACTTACATTTCTGGGACTTGGGCTCAGGGTCAGTCTACAGCACTAACTATTCACTGCATACCGCACCGGCTGGACTTGCAGCCAGATGAGCACAGTGGTCAGTTTGGATTTGAATCTCTATGCTACCCCCTCCGTCCGCTCCCCAATCTTCTTCATCCTGCTATTCCCACCCCTGATTCAACCTTTCCACCACCATCATCCCCACACTCCCCAAGCAATACTTTCATATCACCCATGTTCTACTAGCCCCTTCCCTCAAGGCACCCTTCCCGGATTCTGCAGTTACTCCAAGTTAGATAGACAAAGCTGAAGGTTCCAAGCTAGGGCCCACACGCAGCACCCGGGCTCCTGTGCCTGGGGTGCCTTACTCAACGCAATTTCCCCAGGTTCTACCTGTTTAACTATGATCTTCCTGACTCCACTGCCCATATGTCCCACACCGTCACTATCCATTCATCAGCTGACGGACACCTAGGATCATTCCATGGCTCTCATGAACAGTACAGCAATGAACATGGATGACCTTAGCATCTCTGCAGAGCAGGACAGAATATGTACATATATGTCCAAGAATGATATAGCTGATCATACAGTCAGTCCAGGGATAGATATAGTTGATCATACAGTCAGTCCTGTGCATATGTGCCCAGGAATGCTACAGGTGGACCACACAGTCAATACTGTGCATATATGTCCAGGAATGCTACAGGTGGACCATACAGTCAATACTGTGCATATGTGTCCAGGAATGCTACAGCTGAACTATACAGTCAATACTGTGCATATGTGCCCAGGAATGGTATAGCTGAGCTATACAGAGGCTCTATTTCTAGCTTTATTGTTATTATTATTTTATTTTAAATTTTGTGCATGGGTATCTTGCCTACTAGTATAAGGATATCAAATGTTTCTTCTTTTTTTCAATATAATTTATTTAAATTTATTTTATGTGCATTGGTATGAAGTTGTCAGGTCCCCTGGAAATGTAGTTACAGACAGTTATGACCTGGCAGGTGGGTGCTGGGAACTGAACCTGGGTCCTCTGGAAGAGCAGTTAGTGCTCTTAACCACTGAGCCATCTCTCCAGCCAGTCAAAAGTCTTTTTGAAGGCAAGAATTCTTCCTTTAGCACAACTAAGCAAGCCTGCCGTGATAGCACACGAGAGGCTGTAGATAACATGCAAATGCATGAGCCCAGTCCCAGTAAAACTTTATTTGAAGCACAGAATTTGTCAGATCCAGCCCATGCCTGTAACTGGATGTTTATACCAGTCTCCTAGTGATGTTCAGACCAGCTGTGAAGTTAGCTGAGCTCAGGTGTTAGATTTTGGAAATCTAAAGAAAATGGAAGAAAATGCTTTTTATATTGTTTTTCCTTCACAAGCAGAAAAAGAGTGCAGATTCTTGCTACTGAGGAATGAGGGCCTGAGTGTGGATCCCCAGAAGCCATATAAAAGCCAGGAGCGGTGGTGCATGCCTCCAGTCCCCGAGCTGGGGAGGAGACGGGCAAGGGCAGTTTCAGCACAGGGTGACTAGGTAGCTGGTAACCGTGAAAGAAGCCCTTGGACTTTGGATTGTTTTCTAGAAACGACTTAGGATTAGTTCTGACAGGCAAAGGGTTGGGGCTAGATCACAGTTGCTGAAACTCAGTCCCAAACGAAGGGACCGCAGAGAATTCTGAAATGTGTGTTTGGTTGAACGCTGCCAGAACGTCTAGGGGCTAAGCAAGGGAGAGTGATTCAAAGGGGGGGAGGAAGGAAAGAAAATAGAAAGACAGAAAGAAGGAAGGAAAGACAGAGCGAGAATGTATTTATGTATCTAAGAGTGCTGGGTGTGAGCCGGGCGCTGGTGGTGCACGCCTTTAATCCCAGCACTGGGGTGGGGGTGGGTGCAGTGGGATCTCTGTGAGTTCAAGGCCAGCCTGTTCTACGGAGTGAGTTCCAGGACAGCCTCCAAACCAATACAGAGGAACTCTGTCTGGAAAAACAAAACAACAAAAAAGTGCTGGGTGTGTGGAGGGGTGCACCGCAGGGGTGGGGTGAAGAGGACATGTGAAAGTTAGAGGACAGCGTGTGGAGCTGATTCTCTCGTTCCACATTCCCAGGAAGGAACAGGTCAGGGTCAGACTTGCATGGCAAGCTCCTTTCCACACTAACCACCCTGCCTGCCAGCACACTCGCTCTTTGGAAATCCCTCGAGAAATTCCGACACACCTGATGCTACTCCCATCTTGGCACCAGCATCCAATGTTCAGCTGGTATTCGTTCCTCAGATAAATTTTAACAAAAACAGTAGCGAGTAAAATTCTTCACACGCACGCACGCACGCACGCACCAAGCATGGCGACCTCCATCAGAACAGAGACCTTTTCTGATGAGCAGCCTCAGCTGGAGGAGCCCCAAGCACATCACTCACACGGGTCCCTTTCCTCTCTGGGTTGCTGGGCTATTGGACAGTCACAGGGAACCACATCACAGACTGGGTTCATCTGTTTCTCATGCCTTTTCCAAGAAAGGGTTTAAATGTTCGAATGGCAGCCATCATCTTGTATTTCTTTATACAATCAAACCTTCGGAATATGACAACACACAAGATGGCACATCAAATTATTAGCAATGAAAAAGCAGTTTAGGAGCAAACTGGTCTCAAAGCAAAGAAATTCTAAGAACAAGGTACTTTTAAGAACCCTCCACCACCATCACCAACCTGACGACTAAAGCGTAAGCCTACTGCTTTTCAGAGAAGTCTTGAGAAATCTGAGAAACTGATGGTCAAGATGCTGACTAAAACAAAAGTGAGCCCTGGATTATGCAATGGCAAGAGACTGACAAGTTATATGTCAGTCTCTTATTTTCATGCTCATGTTTCTCAGGAGGCGGAGGCAGCTATACAGCCTGAGCCCCCGAGACCCATGAGACCCTGTGACGAGGAAGTGAGGAAGGAAATGATCGTTATTCTAATCTTCTCTTTTAAAACGTTTCAAATGTTTAATTGTACGTCTAATCTAGCTGGCACTCCTGGTGTTAGGTGCGACCCTGGCAAGCAGGGAGCCTGCAGACTGGGTCCAGCAAACAGAAGCCAGCACACAAACCCTCACAGTTTACACGTTTCCTTAAAGCACAACCCTACAGTATGGATCCCGACATGTTTTTATTGCCACGACATCCAAAGACCCGCTCACTTACACAGAATGAAAGCGACTTAAAGAACGAGACACGAGCGAGGGGCAGACTTCCTGACGGGAGGCACTTACCCTTTCCCTTTTAACCTCCACCAGGAAAGCAAAGGGTTAAAAGCAAGGCAAAAGATGTTTAATGAAATGCCGAACATCTAAACTCTATTCATTCAATCAAAGTAGGGTTAGCTAGCCAACTCCAGGAAAAAGAATCAGAGTCAGTGTTGGTGCTGCAGGGACGGCAGGCTCCCCCCACTAAGGCAATAGTTTCTAGGTAAAATACAGATCACTGTTTAATACCCTAGTATGATGAACACGCATGTCTCAAGTCTTAACTTTGGGGTACTTGTAAGTGAGTCAGGAAATCCAAGCTGCTGTTTAGAAGATAGCTTAGATCAACCAAGGTGCTTTACTCTTAAAGTTAGTTCTTACAATGTTACAAGTCTAAGACAGTGTTGGGTTGTTAATATATGCAAAGAGCATAAACTGCAACAAAGCAAAACTGAACACTTTGTTAACTGTCTAAACAGTAAAGCAGACACTCTGTATTTGATTGACCACTTAAACAGTAACTTTCTAAACCGTAATGCAGACACTCTGTATTTGATTGATCACTTAAACAGTAACTTTCTAAACAGTAATGCAGACACTCTGTATTTGATTGACCACTTAAATAGTAACTTTCTAAACAGTAAAGCAGACACTCTGTATTTGACTGATTACTTTGCAGAGGCTGTGAAGGAGTCTGCATTTGTGACTACTCCTTATAGGCTCTGCGTAGCATGCATAGTTGAGCCTTACACACCATCAGGCAGTTATAGGATTGACAATATGCTAAGTGTGCAATCCAAACATTGCTTGGTTTAAAGTGCTGTAAGACACACTTTTGAAACAAGACTCCCACTCTGATCGCAAGGCAGGAGTGCTGAGCTTCTGCCCTGAAGACCCCAACCCTGTACCCCGGATTTCACGCTGGTTGGAGATGTCCCCATTGTGCAACAAGTGCAAAAGGAGCAGAGATGTTGACCTCTGCTGCCACCTTTCTTACCATGACGACATCTCCTGGCTGGATGGTGATTTCATCGTGACTTCTGGATTCAAAGGGATACAACGCCCGGTAATACACCACTTTTACATTCTCCTGGGCAGAGATTGTAAGCGGACCTTTCTCTGTTCAGGAAGAGGAGGGGCACGTTACAGGAATCACTGACATTATAGAGTAAATACTCCCGCCTATTCAAGGAATTCTGGAAACACACACTGAATGCTAACGGGGAACAGAATCTGACAGGGGCAGCTAAGAACACCGAGAGTTCATCAGCGAACAAGTCCCCAGAACTGTGTGTGGTGGGCGAGGCAGCTGGGAGAACCTCTCCCCTCTCTCTCTCTCTCTCCCCCGCCTCTCTCTGCATCTCGGCCTGGGCCCAGCAATGCACATCTGTAAGTCATCCCAGGCTGTGCTCCCACCCGGGGCGTTGCTAGGGGAGACAGATGGCAGATCAGATTGCTGGAGAGAGAGCTTTCTTGCAGGGGAAGAGGAAGAGGGACACAGCTATCCACAGAAACAGGTAAACGCTGGTCTTTGGGGGCACTTAACAAGATCACATAACCCCAGTGCTGACTTTACACAATGCCCTGATGACTCTGGGGAACTCAGTCTTATTCCGCACTCCTGGGTAACCGGTAAACCCCAGGGTGAACACAAATGAAAATAATTTAGATTTTAAATCAAATGAAAACAAAAATTGAGATATGTTCAGGCCTGGCACACTCTTGGATTTTGGTTAGCAGTTAATTACAGCTCTCTGATGTTTTCTACACACTAGCTACAAGTAACTGGACACCCATAGAGGCTGAAAAGCAGTTGTGTAGCCTCCATCTGTGTGAGATGCAAAGATGCCCAGTGACACAAAGGAAAGTCAGTTCATACTGGGGGGCCGGGGAGGTGGAGGAACTCCACTGGCCCCTGGGGTTAAAGGAAGGTGCGTTCCGCTTCAGACCACAGAAAGCCCACCAGAAGGGAAGTGTACTCTTGATCCCCTACATGCCCAGTCCAGGTCCTTCCTCCAACTCCAGTATCTCAGGCAGGGGCGGCTCCTGACCCAGCGCCACACCCACCCACCGTGTGGTCAGGCAACAAGCAAATGGTCTAGGAGATGGTGCCAAGGTATTTGTTGCTTTCTGGATGCGGTCAAGGATTTTGAAAATATATTTTAGTTTGTACCTGATATTATCTATGAGATAGCCTTTATTTTATTTATTTTTATATGTATTTATTATGTATACTGTGTTCTGCCTGCATGTCTGCCTGCAGGGCAGAAGGGGGCACCAGATCTCATTATGGATGGTTGTGAGCTACCATGTGGTTGCTGGGAATTGAACTCAGGACCTTGGGAAGAGCAGCCACAGCTCTTAACTGCTGAGCCATCTCTCCAGCCCCTGAGATAGCTTTCATTAATTAACTTTCCCTAAACAAGTTTAGGCTAGTCTTTTACTTATTTATTTATTCATTAATTCATTTTAAAGAGGAAAATTGTATTGAAAGAGCAAAAAGCCGGGCGTTGGTGGCGCACGCCTTTAATCCCAGCACTCGGGAGGCAGAGGCAGGCGGATCTCTGTGAGTTCGAGGCCATCCTGGTCTACAAAGCGAGTTCCAGGACAGCCTCCAAAACAATACAGGGAAACCCTGTCTTGAAATACCAAAAAAGAGCAAAAAAACCAGACTCACACTTTCAAATAGCAGAAAACCCAGTGCAGACAAAAAAGTTGACACAACTTAGCAATTTCAGGGGAAAATAACAAACTAGAGAAACAGTAAGCGATTTTTGCAAAATGGGTCAAGTTCAGCACTTGTAAGGGACATACTAATAGGGTTTGATAATGGAATTCATGCCACTTGGATCAGGTGTGTAGCGGGTTCCTGGATGTTAGTTTAGTGAGGCTACTTGACCACACCTGGGAGTAAAGAGCTACAGTATCCCAAGAATAGACATCTCATGGATATTAATGCAAACAAGCCGGGAGTGGTGGCGCCTCCTTTAAACCCAGCACTCAGGAGGCAGAGGCAGGCGGACCTCTGAGAGTCTGAGGCCAGCATGGTCTACAGAGCGAGCACCTGTCTCAAAAGCACGGCACTCAAGATGGATCACGATTAGACACGGGCGTCGCTCAGGGCTCTGGGAGAGATGGCACTGTACGCTACGTGCACCATCTTTGGAGGTGACTCTGACAGGGCCTGCCCAGTGCATCCCACAGAGCCCCAGCCCCTCCTTTACCTGTGGCAGACCAGGGTGCCTGGACAGCTGGCTTCGCTGGGTCTTGGTGTGGCTGGAAAAGCCGACCCAGCTTGTCCTGCACGTCCGGCTTGGCCCTCTCTTCGCTCTCCTTCTTTCTGACGCTGTCCTCTCTTTTCAGCTTGTCCTCCTCGTGGGGCTTCCGGGGCCTCGCATGCTCCTCCTGTGGCGCATGCTCTGGCCACTGTTTGTCCCTTTCCTGAACTCGTCTGCCAACAAAGATGCTTGGTCACAGCACAGAAGCAATCCTGACTCAACAGTCCTGCCCCCCGCTTGTCATCAAAAAGCCCCCCTTAGTCAGAGAGTTGCTAAGCATCAAGGGGGCGCTGCTCTTCACACAGATAGCGGCCTCTGACTGAGCAAAATGGAATCACACGATTTAAAAAAAGAACACAAAGAAATTTGAATTTGTGATGTCTTTCATAAAGGGGCTATAAGACCAAGAAAGAAGTACATTGCAATCTGACTACAAAAACCAAGACCCCAGACGAGCCGCAGAACACAGCCAGACATAAACTTCATGGAAATAGAAAACATCCGTCATACTGCAGATAGACACGGCCTAGGTGAGTGCATCACTATGAGATTCTTCCAGCTCCCTCCAGGCAGGAGGCACCACATGGACAGGCTTGGACAAGCATGCACGCTGTTTCCAAGCCTGAGGGTGAAACAGAGATTAACTGTCATCTGGGGCTGGCAAGAGGCTCACTGGTTAAGAGCTCCGCTGTTCTTGCAGAGGACTTGGGTGTGGTTCCCAGCAGTCTCGTGGCGGCTACAACTACCTGAGACTTCAGAGTCACAGGCTCCAATGCCCTCTCCTGGCCTCTGAGAGTACTGCACGTACACAGTGCACACCGATACATTCAGGCAAAAAACGCAATACACATAAAATGTCTTTTAAAAAGCATGGAAAGGCCTGGTGTGGTGGTGCACACCCTTAATCCCAGCACTCTGGAGGCAGAAGCAGGTGAGTTTCTGTGAATTTGAGGCCAGTGAGTTCCATGACAGCCAGCGGTGGCGAATCCTCGCCTTTTGTGCTCAGGTTTAATTTGCAGTTGTGAAAAGAAGAAAGGGAGGGGCCTGAGAGACCCGATCCTAGCCTGGCTGGAGGAGCTGTGCAGCTGCAGGCTCAGGGGCTTGGCTTTCAAATGTGCACTTTGACTCACTGTTATTAGGGCTGTGAACTGGAGCCCATTCTGGTCATTGGGATGCAAATGAGCAACCAAGTGTCAAGTTCCCTGTCTATGTCCACTATGTCCACAGGAGAGCACGGAGAACTAACGAAAACCTTACACACGCAAAGATTCATGTACACACACACACACACACACACACACACACACACACGCACGCACGCACGCACACACGCATACACACGGTGACTGTTTGGAGTCTCCAGAGACGGTGGGTCCGCAGCCCCCGGAGAGACTCACCTCTGAGCCTCTTCCTTCTGCTTCTCTAACTCCAGGCTCTTCCGCTCCTGCTCTTTCTGTCTCAGCCGCTCTGCCTCGATGGACTTGTGCTTCTGCAGCTGCTGCTTGCTGTGTGTGTCTCTTAGCTCCTAGGAGGGACAGCACAGTTTATGGAAGACCTGAGCAGGTGCACACGAGCTGTTGGTCACCATGCGACCGCTCACAGCGCAAAGCCCCGGATGCTGGCGGATGACTTTTCAGGGTGGACAAACGTTCCCTTAGAAATTGAAATCACTACATTTCGACATGACCGATTACCAGTCATTGTCCCAGATTACATCCCAGCAGGCCACAACACACTATGTCACTTACCTTCGGGGCTGGGGATTGAACCTGGGACTTGCACACACTATGCAAGTGGTTTACTACTGAGCCACACCCCCCACCCTTCCCTCACTCCCACCCCAGGATCTGTTTGTAAAGGACTTTGCTTGTGAGGGCAGCAGGGGAGCCGCACTAGGGAAGACTCAACAGTACCGGAGAGCAACTAGTTTAATGATAACGGTGATTTACAGATAAAACTATAGTTATTATGATAACTAATCCATATCAAACTGCCCTAGCTTTGAAAATACCCTCGACACTTCCCACATAACCACTGTTAAAAACTCTTTAATCCCCGGGCCCTTGGGAGGCAGAGGCAGGTGGCTCTTTCCAGGCCAGCCTGGTCTATAGAGTTCCAGGATAGTCAGAGCCACACAGAGAAACCCTGTCTTGAAAAACCAAAACCAGCACCAAAGAAACAAATAAAAAAACCAAAACCCTCAGCTCTTTCTTACCATAGACTGAATGATTTGTGAGCGCGTTGCTATGTGACCTCCCCCCCCAACACCCTGCGGGGGGCTATTCCTCTTCTAATCACATCTATTGGAGAGCCTCTATCCTTACAAAATCCACGTGTGAAGCTGCCACCTACCCCACACCAAACCAGCAGCTTCTTTCAAAGTGAACAATTACAATTTGATAGTGATCTCTTGGGATCTGATATCCTCATGCAATAGCAACCCCAAGGAATGACCACAATTTCCCGCCAGCCTAGGGAAAACCAAACAAATGGTGTGATGGAGCACTCGAGATGAGAAGTACTTAAAATAGGAAAAGCCATGTCAGGCGGGGGCGTGGTTAGGTGGCACCACATCTGCCAAGCATACACAAAGCCCCTGGGCTCCGTCACCCCCGAGAGGGAGGTAACAGTGAGACAGGGACAGGTGGAAAGGGGCCCTGGGAGGGGTGGGGGGTGGAGAACCGGGCAGGACAGGCGTGGAGAGCTTGGCTGGATGCAGCTTGGGCTATCTCTCAAGGCAGCAGCCCAAGGCATATGGCTGTTGGGATAAGGATACTTGGGGCAGGGGCTTAGCTAAGCAGGGGACAGAGGCATCAGAGAATGGTCACTGGGAAGTAACAATGGAGCCCCACTCTAAGTGAAGTTGTGATGGAAGAGAGTCAACTCTCAGGGGGAAAAAGAATTCCATTTCTCTTTACTTTCCTGACTGGAATACCATGGGGTGTTGCCACCTCAGAGCATTAAGTCAAAACCTCAGCCCCACTGGCATCCACAGTAATCTGTAATGAAAACCGATGACCCCTCATAACACGAATGGATAAGCTGGTCACTGACTTAGAGCTGGTATTTCTAAGACAAGCAGAAGAGGTCAAGCCGTCTAAGCACTCTTGGCTAAAGTTAAATGTCACCACATCTGTGGGAGTGACACTAAGGCAATCTCTAGTGTCCCAAGGAAGGACCAGGATCCAAAGTCAGGACACATAGTCAGAGACTGTCTACTCAATCACTGGTCTAAAGCAGAGACCTTGTCAGAAAGATTTACATTATATTCTATTTCAAAATGTGATCATCAGCAGTCTCCTCATTTTCTGCCATGCTACGAGAAGAAGGGAAAAATTAGTCTGATGTTCAGGAAATTGACTGCATTATCTTATTTATTTGCAGTGTATGCACATAAGGTTAGGAAGACATGTGGGTATGAGTGTGTGTGTGTTTGAGTGTGTGCGTGTGTATGAGTGAGTGTGTGTGTGTGGGGGCACACGGAGACCAGAGTCTTTCCTTGGGTGTCAGTCCTATAGAGCTGACCACCTTGGTTTTTAAATAATCTTACTTGATGTGCATGCCTTTAGCCTGCATGTATGTCTGCACATTATGTACATACATGCCTGGTGCCCAATGGAGGCCAGGAGAGAGCAAGGGATCCCCTGGAACTGGGGTTAGAAAGGGTTTTGAGACATCTTGCGAGAGGCAGTTCCTCTGGAAGAGCAGTGACTATTAAGCACTTAGCCGGCTCTCTATCCCCGTCTATCCTGTGTGTTAAGACAGTGCTGTCTCTCACTGAAGATGGCTGAGCAGTGGTCTCACTGAGCTTTCCATGTGGGTGCCGGGGACTGAGCTCGGGTCTTTGGGCTTGTGTGTCTTCCTGCTTACGTAGTAAGCGCTTTACTGAGTCATCTTTTCATTCCCTAGTCATGCACTCTAAAAATAATAGCTCTTTCCGGAAATGGTGGCACATGTCTTCAATCCTAGCATTCAGAAGGCAGAGGCAGGCAGATCTCTGTGAGTTCAAAGCCAGCTTGGTCTACAGAGCGAGTTCCAGGACAGCCAGGGACATACAGAGAAACCCTGTCTCGAAAAACCAAACAATAATCAATTCTTACTTCATTAAACCTTATGAGGAAAACATTCAAAATATTTAACAACAGGTATTGTGAAACCAGGATGGACACTGGCCATGATGTCCCAATGTATCTGACAGACACTGTGCACAAATTAAGACATTTCATTGTCCCAAGGAATCATCCACATCTCCCTTCTCTATAGAACTCAAGGAATCAGGTTGAGGTTGGAAGTCAGTTAATGAGCAAACCAGTCCAGAAAGACAGAAACAGCTAGAGAAGCGTTAGCAAGTGGCACAAAATTTAGAAGCAACAAGTAGTGGTTTAGAGAACCAACAGGAAACAACCACACCAGTGAGACAGTTTGAATAACCAAGTTCAGGGCATCAGCCACGCCATAAACTCAGAATCGCATTTCTTTTTAAAGACAACTGCATCACAGTTCAGGCTGGACTAAGAACTATCAAAAGCAGGTTGCAGCCTCCAGTGCCCCTAAGGGAACAGAGCTTATAGGAGCCATAAAGTAACAGATGTCAAAGCAGGTTAACCGGAGGCTTGTGCGGCTCACGATCCAGACTGGAAAACGGTAGAGTTTCTACGATCCACTTCATGCAAGTCAAACGCCGCTGAGACACACAACCCACCGGAAGGAAGCTGAGGTGAGCCGAGCAGGCTAGGCTTGACAGTCTGATCATTTTCCCATTTGGAGTTGAAGTTTCAGATGGTATGAACCACTAAAGTAGAGCACTCCTAATTCTAAGGCAGCGGCTCCCAACCATTCCAGCACTGCTGTGGTGATCTCCGACCATAACATTTTTTTCGTTGCTACTTCATAACTGTAATTTCGCTACTGTTAGGAATCGTAATGTAGACATCTGATATGCAGATGGTCTTAGGAGGCCTCTGTGAAAGGGTCATTCAACCTCAGGGTCAAGACCCACAGGCTGAGAACCAGTGTTCTAATATACACAGTACCTAGCCAGACTACGCACTAAGAAGTAGTGACTGGCCTTCCTTTCTCACCATGACGAAGCCGGGGAGGAACACCAGGAACTTTTAACTCACAGGGCGGGAGTCTGGCTCTCTCACTCTCAACACTCCAGGAGACTAGAGTCAATGCACTCATTTCCAAGTGCCCTTTTCATCCTTGCAGGGGAAAATTAGGGCAGCAAACATGGAATTGAGTTGCTAATTTATCAGTTTTTCCTGAAGCGACCCTCAAAATCTCTTATAAAATGTATGCGCCCCGCCAGGCGGTGGTGGTGTAGGCCTTTAATCCCAGCACTCGGGAGGCAGAGGCAGGCGGATCTCTGTGAGTTCGAGGCCAGGCTGGACTGATAGCCTCCAAAACAATATAGAGAAACCCTGTCTCATAAACCCCCCCTCAAAAAAAAGTATGCGCCCCTTAACACACTTCTCCACTTCAAAGTGAAAAAGAAATTACAAGGCATCACCAGGCAGTATCTTACTTGTAGCTTTTTTTTCAAACTAACTTCTTTCTAAAACTAGTCACTACAATTGCACATCTTGTGGTTAAACACCTATGATATTGTTGAGTGTGTAACTTCATTGGTTTTTCTTAAATTAGTTTGATCCAAGGGTATGAAGTGCTTTACAGTTGACAATTAATATCTTCTAATCTGGTATAAGCCCCACACCATGGTGTTGAGGACTGAAGCCAGGCCCTTGTGCATCCTATAAAAGCATCCTACCACATGGTTGCATTTCTAGGACTGGGGGTGGGTGGAGGCAGGGTCTCATGTGGCCTCAAATTCACTATGTACTTGGGTATGATCTTGGATTCCCAGATGGTGGGAGCATGCCACCCCACCTGGTTTCTACTCCACTTAATGAACAAGAAATCATTAAATAGGAATTCCAGAACCACTAGTTAGAGTTTACCACAAATAACTGTATGACAGTTATAGAATTACAAAACATATAGGATATGAATAAAAATTATGAGATTAAGAAAATTACTACAGGATAAATGACTGTCTATACTGGCTGGGCTAGCCCTGAACTCCTGGTACGTGCCCTCTACCATCAAATTGATGAGCATCTGAGAAACAGGCACATGCCAATACTTATGGCTGAAAATAGTTTTTTTTTTGGTTATTGCTGTTTGTTTTTGAGACAGGGTCTATGTAGCCCTACCTGGCACCCAACTCTGAGATCCCTCTGCTTCTGCCTCCTACATTCTACAATTAAAGGTGTGTGACAACATGCATGCCTAAAATGGTATTTTATGAAAGTACCATGAGCAGAATTCTAAAGATAAAGGGCTATGCATCTTAACAGAGTCCTCGAAAAAGCCCTGGCCCTGTGAAGGCTGTCAAATTGCATGCATATTTGGGGTGCATGGGGGGGCACTCTTCCGACAGAGAAGGCTCAACACCTTTATCAGTCTCTGATCAAAAACAGATTATAAACCATAATTTAAAAATTGGCAAAGGTTTACCTTGTATTAAAAATAAAATAAAAATTAACTTGCTTTTACTTTTCTTCCCTAGGCCCAAATGAATTCTTTTCTCTGAATAATTAAGATTTCTGAGTCATAAAACATCTTTGGACATCCTATGGCATGCAGCCAAAGTAATTCAAAAGCAGAATGTTTTACAAATTGAATATCCATGAAGACTATTTTTCCATTGGCAGAAACGGCTCAGTTTCGAGTTCACAGAAGAAGGTTGTTCTAAGGCCGTGCCAAGGGGCACAGAGTCACTGGTCACTGTGACAGCTTCTCCTTTACTAGGTCTTACTGTTACTTAAATAACAATTGTACAGGGTTCTTCTCCATAGAGATGATTTTGCACAAATGCCCGTATTGGAGAAAAGTGAGCTGGCAACAGAGGCTGAGAGACCAGAACCCAATCTAGATATCTAACTTTTCAGAATTATTTTGCTTTTTATTTGTGCCTTAAGCTGTCCTTTAGAGACAAGAGGCAAAAACATACTTTTGACTACTAACTGGATATTCCTGAACTTGACACCACAAAACTAAACAGTTGTATTACTATTAAGTTAATCTCATAGGAGACTAATCTGGGCAGCAAGGTGCGAAATTCCAGGAACTTGTTTTATTTGCACTTTTAACATCTGTCTATCTACTCCATCCATCCATCCATCTGTCTCTGCACTGTCTGTCTGTCATGAATATGTATATGGTGGTCAGAGGATACTTTTGGGAGTTGGTTTTCTGCTCCTATCACGTGGGTTCCAGGGACTGCTTTCTTATGGCAGCAACGTTGGCTATTGAACCTGCCAGGGCCGCAGAGCACTGACTTGACAGTTCCTCTGACCATCGCACGCCCAGACACTGATCTTTAAAGTTCCAACAAACGCCTTCGGAGTCTTGAATTTCAGGCCTGTCAAATCCAGGAATCACCAGCTCAGCTCAGCTCAGCTCAGAAGCCCACACTGCCCTCTACAAACAAAAGCCAAGTCTATGGCTTGGGGCACAGAGGGTGAGCCACAGCCTTGCTCAAGCTACCGCTGGGCTATCCCTGACCTGCACCTCTGGACAGTCACTGGGATGCACAAACACGACCGGGGTAAGGCATCTCTATTTAGATGCCCGGGAAGAAGCCTTTCGTGCAAGCAAAGGAGGAACCTGGATCCCAGGCCAGCAGAATAAAATGTAAAGGTCAAGCATCTGAGAATGTGTTATGCCAATTTACCAATAATTCGTTTATTTTGCAGTGGAGATTGAACCCATGCCCTCTGGCATGCTGGGCAAATGCTTTATCACCGAGCGATTGCTTCATAGTCCTAATAGTACTCTGGTTCCAATACAAAACAAAGGTCTGCTAATCTGTCTACTGCAAGACACTCTTTACTATAAAGACGTGGGAATTTCCACAGTGCTTATCAGATAGAATAGATATGTAATTCTTCCTTAAGTAAATTAGGAAGAACCCTCAGAGGAAGAATGAATCTGAAGTAGACATTCTAGAGGAACAAATTAATTATGTGATTATGTTATTTGTTTGTAAAAATTATAAACATCCTTAGTCTTTACTTCTCTGTCATAAAACTAAATACATTCTTACCCACAGATGTGCGGTCTTACACATAGTGCTAAACAAGGGTCTGATCATCCCCTCTTGGGGCCTACAAAGTCAAACAAGGTGTGAGCGCTTGTGAAGGCAGAGCCTCACTTGTGAGTGAGCCGTTTGACACGGAGTTAGCATCCTACACAATTCCCTTTGAAGCTCTGCTAGTAGCCCAGGCAGTGAACTGCTTCATCTGTCTGCTTGTGAGTGCACAACCTTCACGGACATGAACTGCATCTGCTAAGGTCTCATTTGCTGTCCGGCTCTCTTGAGAAAGGAAGGTTGAAAGAGAGAGAGTACAGCAGATGCAGGCACAGCAAGCTGGATGCCGCATGCCTGGGCACCGGCACATGGCGTCTCTCTGGGCAAGACAGAAGTAAATCTTACTCTGTTTGGCCACAGGCTGGGGAAGCACTGAGGAACTCAAAGAAATGCTAGGATCAGGCAGAGGACCCTTCTGGTCTAATCCCAACAAGAAATTACGGTTGCTAATGAACATGTGCTCTGAAGTCGGGAAAAGCGCTTTGTGTGTCTCCCGGTGTGGCCCAAACGAAGAGCAGCAGGAGACCACAAAGAGGCGAAATGCTAACTGAGCCCCTCTGTGGTCTCAACAAAAGTACTAATCTTTTGGTTTCTCAAGCTTTCAGAGGAATCCCAGCAACAAACCTCAGACATGTTACAATGTAACGCTTTCACCTCACCGGCAGGTAGACGGTAAACTGCAAACCACACAGCTTTGCTTTGCTTTGCCATGTGAACTTTACAGCTAATAAAAAGGCAGAAAGAAAGGCTGTAAGTTTAAAATAAGCATATTTGGGAAAGAGCCAGTGTGGGGGGAAACTAAAATTAGCCTTTGAGAACCTCTGATACTACAGGCATTGCAGATTAAGCACTAATTAGTCAGTCACAAGAGCAACTCAACCCTCTGAAGGTGTTCTCTTGAGCAAGGGCAACAGCTGTGACCGACAACATCATTTCATCCACAGATCTAAGCATTAGTCAAAAGCCTTTGCCTAGAGAAACTTGTCTTAGGTCAGACTTCTAAAGATGTAATCAACATTAAGGCAAAAAAGCTGTGCTCTTTCGAAGAGGCTGACTAATACTCAGTGGTTTACATTTCCAGGGACTTCTTGAAAACATCGTAAAACTGTTTCAAGAGTTAAATTCTTTTTGCTTAAAACAGTGGTAAGTTACACAGGAGCAAACGTGAGCATTTTTATTGTACTTGTGGACAGAGAACTCAGAGATGCACCTCCAATACTGACATGGCACACATACTTTCATATGCTCAACTACAGAACACACACACACACACACACACACACACACACACACACACGCTAAACATGAAACTACTGTGAAGAAAAACACCAAGTTGGCTAAACAGTACTCCCTGAGGGTGAGCACTTTCCTGGAATTGTACAATTGAAAAAGTTCATTACCCAATACTGCAAGAACTGCACAAATATTTTAACTTGGACGTCTAGACAATCTGGCATGGACTCTCAATCCTGAGGGCAACAACAACAACAAAAAAATTTCAAATACGCTTCCTAATTTAAAATTCTCTTTTAGTAGTAAAGGATTTTTTTTCTTAGTATTAGAAGCTAAATAGCCCATACAAAGTAAAGTATTAGGAATTTTAAAGTAGAAAATTAAAGCAAGTTATTTTTTGGGGAAAAAGGCAACATCCCCGTTTCTGGTAAGAACATAAAATCTACCTAAATCTAAATTAATATATAAAATTATTATAAGAAATGGGTTTTTCCAACCTGGTTTTATTTTGAGTTAACTTTTTTTTTTTTTTTTTTTTTTTTTGGTTTTTCGAGACAGGGTTTCTCTGCATTGTTTTGGAGGCTGTCGGTCCAGCCTGGCCGCGAACTCACAGAGATCCGCCTGCCTCTGCCTCCCAAGTGCTGGGATTAAAGGCGTGTGCCACCACCGCCCGGCTTGAGTTAACTTTTTATTTTATCTTTTGGCTTTTTTCGAGGAAGGGTCTCATTGTGTAGCTCTGGGTGTCTTGAAACTCACTCTGTAGACCAGACTGGCTTTGAACTCACAGAGATCTCCCTGCCTCAGCCTCTGAGTTCTGGGACTAAAGATGTGTGCCACCACACCCAACCTGAGTCTACATTATTAAGACAATAAATCACCACACGAGAACTTTTTTGTTACTGTGCACTGTGACAAAGTCACCTACAGCCACACCTGAGACAACAGCAATGACCCCACTAAACAATGAAGTTAGAGGCATTAAAAATGAGTGTGACAAAGCAGGTCTACAGTCAAGCACGACATTAAAGGAATGGCAGGAAATCTCAGTTTTAAACAAAAGCATCTGAATACTCAAAGCGCACATGGGGCCTTACTTTTGAGCATGGCACGGCTGTAAACAGGCAGAAGGAAAGAAGACATTGGTAAAACTATGGTGTGGGGCAGGGCAGGCACATGGTCCCACCCTACAGAAGTCACTACAGCATGCACAGTACGGAGGCCTGCTCATGGACTAGTGCAGTTAAGTGTGCCTGGGATTCAGTGTCATCTCGTTGTTGTGGGGTGGGGTGCGCATGCACGCGCGCGCGCGCGCGCACACACACAGCAGTCACCTTCAGTTGGTTGTTGAAGACGTCGATCTCCTGTAGCTTTGACCTGGTCTCTCTTTCCACCTCGTCCAGCTGCTCTCGAAGCTGCTGCCGGGTCAGCTCTTTGGCTTCCAAGGCTCTTTTGAGGGTAAGAAGCGAATCTCCTATTTCAGAAGGGCACACAAGACAGAACTTTGGGTAGCGGTAAGAACGTGTTCAACCTTTGTCATTAGAGGGAACCCGCTGACTAAAAGGCAGAGGGGTGGGAGCGGAGGAACACCACTCAGTGGTGAGACAGACGCACGGCACGCTCGGAGTCTGAGATTAATTAATCAACGCCAGCAACCAGGAAAAGGTTTTAACGTTAAGAAGAGAACACCTTGCAGTACTCGGGAAGCTAAGGCAGGCGGAGCTCTGACTTTGAGGCGACCCTGGTTTACACAGTGAGACCCCGTCTCAAAACAAGTATAAACAAGTAAGACACTTACTATGCAAACTGTTCTGCTGGACTTGTTTTAATTGGTCATTGAGTATCTGTTTTTCTGGAATAAGTCTTCCAAGCATTTGCTGAGATTCCTAGGAGAGAGGGGGGAACAGCAATGAGTAACTGAGCCCCAGAAAGTCAGCACCAGTGTTCTCCCAGACATTCCCAATCCCGTGCCGAATCTGTTACGCATTTAACTGCCATTCTCACCAAGGAATTAACTAGAGGCCAAGTGCGGTTCCCTAGGAGGAAGTAAAGACAGATACAGCTCCCTCGGTTCTGCTTACAAGGTTGATGACACACTGGACGCTTTTTTTTTTTTTTTTTGGTTTTACGAGACAGGGTTTCTCTGTATTGTTTTGGAGGCTATCGGTCCAGCCCGGCCTAGAACTCACAGAGATCCGCCTGCCTCTGCCCTCCCGAGTGCTGGGATTAAAGGCGTGGGCCACCACCGCCCGGCCACACTGGACACTTAAAAGCTTCAGCAAATGTAGCTCAAGTAGGTCTGAGGGAAACCCAGGATCTCTTGACTGCAGAGCTCAGGACAATGCTGTTAACGAGGTGGTCACCCACCACTCTGTCCGGAGTGTTCTATTCACTAGCACTGTGCTGAGGCTTACTGCATACCTCAAGTTGGCCACAGAACCCAGAAAGGCATTTGTCACAACTAGAGTTCTAGATGTCACCCATGTTTTTCCATCACACAGGAATTTTAAACATGAGCGTCCTGAACCAACCTCTTTTTTTCTTTTTAAAACTGGCAAAAGAAAAAAGCTAAAACCACACTGTATAAGGAAGGCTATTTAGAGTTTTGACGGGTAAAATGCCAAGCACAGTATTTGTTTAAGCTCAGTTGAAATGATCTTGTAGTAAACTGGAAGCCTTGCTGATTTACTTGACATTTATTTTTACCTTAGGGAGGAAAATGTCTCTTGTTGTGAGGAAAAAACAAAAACAAAAAAGCCTTACTTAAGGATTTCCCACAGAGGCCAAGAGCCAAGCTCTTTGAACCTACCTGCAGACACACGCCAGCGTCTGCAGAGTGGGCCGTGTGCTGGGTCTGCACGGTAGGAGGCTAACTCAATGAAGGTGTTGAGGGCCGTGAGTGAGTGACCCACTGCGAGACTTTCACAAAACAAAATACACAGCAGACCGTCTCCCAGGAAGCAAAGCCCACACAGTTGATCCTTTACTTATTCTCCCTCAGGCAAGGCGTCTTACCAACCCACCTCCAAAGTTCATTTCCTGAGCCAAGATGAAGAAGCATCGAGAGGAACCCAGCTCCAAAGGCTGACGCTGTTTCACTCTTGCAGACAACGTTTGAAAGTGCACAGTCCGGGCTGGACATGGCTCAGGGGTTAAGATGGCCCAGCGCTGTTTGTGCAGAAGACCCAAGCTGTCCTAGTTAGGGTTTCTATTGCCGCCAAGAGACACCTTATAAAGGAAGCATTTAATTGGGGTGGCAGCTTACAGTTTAGAGGTTTACTCTATTATCGTCATGATAGGAAAGGAGTTCTACACCTTGATCTGCAGGCAGCAGGAGGAAGACTTGTGCCTCACTGGGTGCAGCTTGAGCATATGAGACCTCAAAGCCCGCCTCCACAGTGACACGCTTGCTCCAACAAGACCACACCTCCCAATAGTGCCATTCTCTATGGGCTAAACACTCACACACGAGTCTATGGGCCATTCTTTTTTTTTTTTTCAAGACAGAGTTTCTCTGTGGCTTTGGAGGCTGTCCTGGAACTCGCTCTTGTAGTCCAGGCTGGCCTCGAACTCGCAGAGATCTGCCTGCCTCTGCCTCCCGAGTGCTGGGATCAAAGGCAAGTGCTACCACACCCGGCAGGTGGGTCTTATTCAAACCAGCACACCAGCCCTCAGCCTGTGACTCCAGCTCTAGGGAGTTCTGTACTTCTGGCCTCCATGGGCACTGCTTTCATGGGCACAGACCCACACGGACACTCAGACGTGCCCTGTTTGTTAATCTCTTAAAAAACGTGTGCACACCAGCACTAAGCCGCCAGGGCTGACTGCAGAGCGAAGGTGACGGTGCATGCGGGGACAAAGGAAGCCGCTCTTGCTGCCTTGTGTGCCCGTCTTCCTCAACGCCGTCAGTTGCGCAAGGCCTGCGTTTACTGGCAAGCGGACACTTCTGGGTTTGGTAGCAAAGGTCTTCCACCATAAAACATTCAGTCAAAGTGCTGGCGTACTGAGCAGGTGGCCTTTGCCCTGGATATCTTTGGGTAACATTTTATGGTTTCTCTGTATGACTTAATAGAAGAAGCTACGAGGGCAGGGTGAGGTGGTGCACACTCTTGACCCCAGCGCTAGGCAGAGGCAAGTGGACCTCTGTGAGCTCATGGACAACCAGCGCTACAGAGGGAGGCACCCACCTAAAAACAAACAAACAAAGGCAAATAAATGAATAAACAAAAGAAGCTTCAATACAGAAAAATATACTTCAAAAAAAAAGTGATTGCTTTAAAAAAAAATACTTGAAAACAGTTTCTGGCCATCAACTTCTCATATTGGTTGCTTTACAAGATCATGGCCCCGAATCTCAACCTGGTGACTACTTCCAAGTACACAAAACAGCAACTGGCAGAACTGGCAGACAGGAAACACACACACAAACACACTGTGAGGGAGACTGCCCCTCTTAGGAAGGGCACAACTCACGAGTGTTTGCCTAGTGTGCACTCGCAAGGCCCTGTGTTGGAGCCCAGCACTGTCACAAACTCAGTAAGGAAGTTGGAACTCTAGTAGGAGTCAACTTGCTCTAACTGGCTTGTGGGACACACTACCAAACTGACACAAAGTATTTGTACTTTTCAGGTCTACTTGGGATATTCACTAAGATTATATACTTGGTCCAAAGTCTCAATATAGTTAAAAAGTACTAAATTCGCATAAAATATTCTTTCAGATCATAACAAAAGGAAACAAGAAACAAATAAGATAAGGACTTACAGACCAAGTAGTGTACATTCACCCAGCCCATCAGAGAAATGGCAAAAGAGATAAATGAAAACATAATGTCTAAAACCCCATGCTATATAGCCATGTCTGTGGCAAGGGCATTTGTAAGTCAAAATACTTATATCAGACATAAATCAAAGCCTAAATTAAATTATCTAAGCTTCCTCTTAGTAAATCTAGGGAAAAAAAATTAAATCAAACCCCAGATAAGTACACGGAAAGGAAACAAGAGCTTAAGTTGATGGGGTAAGACAAAAAACATCAAGAGAAAAATCAATATAGAAAAGAGCTTGTATGAAAAATATCAATAAAGCTGGGTGGTGGCACATGCCTTTGAACCCAGCACTCAGGGGGCTGAGGCAGGGGGATTCCTGAGTTCCAGGCCAGCCTGGTCTAGAAAGGGAGTTCCAGGCCAGCCAAGGCGACACAGAGAAACCCTGTTTCAAAAACAAACAAAAAAAGAACAAGAAAAAAACTCAATAAAACCAATAAGCTTCCAGCTAGGTTGATGAAGCAAGTCACATGAAGCGGGGGAGAGGGCACGGGGGGGGGGGGGACGACACAGACGGATGGGAGAGTGAGGGAGGGTGAAGAAGCCACCATTGGGGATGGTGACATGCAATGGCTGCCATGAGGAAAGGAGGAGGGACTCTGAAAACATTTTTATGAATATCTATTTGATCATTTAGATAATTGAACAGATTAATTAAAGGACACACTTTCAACAAGGCTCAAGAGTAACAGAAAATTTCAATAGCTTTATTATTTACTGAATACAATTTTCTTTATTTTTGTTGTTGTTACTGTTTTTTTTTTTTTTTTAGTGGGGATGTTTGTTTTTCTGAGACAGGGTTTCTCTGTATATCATCCCTGACTGTCCTAGAACTCATTCTGTACACCAGGCTGGCCTTGAACTTACAGAGACCTGCCTGTCTTTGCTTCCCCAGTGCTGGGACTAAAGGTATGTGCCACCACTGCCTGGGGAAAAGGAAAATCTTACAGATTTAACACTTGCACAGTAAAAACTAAAAAATATGCCGGGCGTTGGTGGCGCACGCCTTTAATCCCAGCACTCGGGAGGTAGAGGCAGGCGGATCTCTGTGAGTTCGAGACCAGCCTGGACTACCAAGCGAGTTCCAGGACAGCCTCCAAAGCCACAGAGAAACCCTGTCTCGAAAAAACAAAAAACAAACAAACAAACAAAAAAACCACTAAAAAATATTACTGAAAAGCCGGGCGTTGGTGATGCACACCTTTAATCCCAGCACTTGGGAGGCAGAGGCAGGTGGATCTCTGTGAGTTCGAGGCCAGCCTGATCTACAAGAGCTAGTTCCAGGACAGCCTCCAAAGCCACAGAGAAACCCTGTCTCGAAAAACCAAAAAAAGAAAAAAAAAAAAAAAGGTAATGACACAGACTGAGGCCATGCAGTTCGATATTGTTAAGATGACAAATCTTTTCAGATTAGCGTATAAACGCAATGAAATTCTAACAAAATTCTAAGATTTAAAAAAATTAAACAAAACCTAACAAACTGTTCCTACAATTTATTTAGAAATGTAAAGAGCTAAGACTAGGAAAAGAAGGGAGAGGGAGACTAGTAGCAAATCCACACTACTTATTGCCGTAACTGTCAACAGCCTGGGAGAAAGGACGGTCAGAGCAAGGGACACAAGACAGACAGAACAGCCCTCTACAAGAATATTCAGTGAACTCGGAGTGGCTACCAAGGAACGCCAAAGGGAGAGTTCAAGAAATGACGCTGAGTTCTATCTATGTTGTGTGCAAATAGATCAATCCTAACCTTTATCGCAACCTGCATGTAATAATAAACTTGAGACGGATTTGGCCCAAACCATAAGAAGTCCTCAAAGGAAGCACTGAGGATGGTTATCTCACTAGAGTCAACGATTCTTAGAACCAGAGGGAAATTTCCCAAACGGAACCTTATCAAATGTAAAACATCTGCCCGGTAGAAAAACAACACAAAAATGGTGAGCAAGAGGGGCGTGTAGGCAAGTGCCTATGACGGAAAGAGAGCAGCGGCGCCTCAAGCGATTGCCAGAGGTGAGAAGCTGGACGTCCACAGAGAGTTTCAGACTAGTCAGGGATACAAGGTAAGATCTTGTCTCAAAAACCGACCAAACAACACACAACAAACAAAAAGTGAGTGAAAGCTGGGGGCAGAATGGTTGAAAATATCATATTTCTGCAAAACAACTTATCTGACAAATTGCTTCCTGGTTAAAAAAATGCAAGGAGCTCACCAGTCTTCAATTCAATAAAAATGGACAAAAGATCTGTTAAAACGCTTCAACAAAACGCACAAAGACTCATGCCAATTTCATCCCCAATGGCACACAATAGCAGCAGAATGCACAGAGACACAAAGTAAAGACACAGTGTTGCATCCCAGTGATACAGTAACCAATGCCGGTGTCCTGAGGATCGGCCACCCACACACATGCTGGTCACAACCACACCCCTACATGCTGGTCACACACCACACACACATGCTGGTCACACACCACACACACATGCTGGTCACACACCACACCCACACATGCTGGTCACACACCACACCTACATGCTGGTCACACACCACACACCTACATGCTGGTCACACACCACACACACACACATGCTGGTCACACACCACACCTACATGCTGGTCACACACCACACACACATGCTGGTCACACACCACACACACACACACATGCTGGTCACACACCACACCCACACATGCTGGTCACACACCACACCCACACATGCTGGTCACACACCACACCTACATGCTGGTCACACACCACACACCTACATGCTGGTCACACACCACACACACACACATGCTGGTCACACACCACCCACACATGCTGGTCACACACCACCCACACATGCTGGTCACACACCACACCTACATGCTGGTCACACACCACACCCCTACATGCTGGTCACAACCACACCCACACATGCTGGTCACACACCACACCTACATGCTGGTCACACACCACACACCTACATGCTGGTCACACACCACACACACATGCTGGTCACACACCACACCCCTACATGCTGGTCACAACCACACCCCTACATGCTGGTCACACACCACACCTACATGCTGGTCACACACCACACCCCTACATGCTGGTCGGGAAGAAAACGCATGAAACTCATGGTGAAGAGCAAAGCACACTGAAAAATCTGCCCAAGAGCAAGACACATTTCCACGAGGCTCACACACAAACTCTCACTGCACTTTCACTCATGAGAAACCCCAAACTGGGGCCAGCATGATGGCCTGGTGGGTAGACTTGTCAAGCCAGACAAGCTGAACCCACACGGTAGAAGAAGAGTGTTATACCCATAAGCTGTCTTTCCCATCTACATGGTCCCCCCCACAAACATAATAAATAAAAATGTTTTAAATTCCACGACTGGGTAAATAGTGGGATGTTGCCGAGAGATTAAAGAGGAAGTTACTTATTCACTCAGTGGGAGCCAATCCCCTAGCCGGCATGCTGGGGGAAGGCGCCTGACTGGGAAGCATTGCAAAGGACAGACAAGTTACAGATACCATCAGCATTCGCTGATGCCCCTACAGCTCACCCTTTGATAGGAGGGCAAGTGATGGCGACATCACAGATTTGGAAAGGCAGAAGTGCTAACAGCACTCCACTGTGTGCCCACCTGATCACCTACATGGTCATTCCACTAATCAGTATTATCAAAGTAAAGCCAGTGCCCCACCAATGACCTTTGCGACCCGACGTCCACCTGCCCTGCCCAGCGGTCCTGGTGCTGTCACTCTGTAACTGGCCTCCCGCACACCGGGTGACCTCAGGACAGGCACCGCTCCTGCCTGCCCTGACCTTTTAGCTCATCGCCAGTTTCAGATCGTCCTTGAATGTCATCCTCACAGAAGCCCATCCAGAAGACCTGAATTAAGTTAAAGTTTTTCCTACTCCCAAGGTTCCTCCTCGACTTCCCCACTCATCCTGGTTGAGCATTCCTGATGTGAAACCTGACGTCTGAACTCTACACTCTGAGATGCTTAAAGGAAGGCAAGAAGCCTCGAGTGGGAAATTCAGCACCTGGCCTGACAGCTACAATGCAGACGCACTACAAATACCACAAAGTTATTTTCAGGTCCACATAAAAGGCATATATGCAACATAAAGTTTATGTCTACACTGGGTTCCTTTCCCTAAGATACTCAGTATGTAAATATTTTAAAGTCAAGGAAGGAAGGAAGGAAGGAAGGAAGGAAGGAAGGAAGGAAGGAAGGAAGGAAGGAAGGAAGGAAGGAAGGAAGGAAGGAAAAGAAAACCTGGATCTTAAACAGCTCTGGTCCTAAGCGCACTGGAGAGAGAAACTCAGGCTTTACACACTTAAGTGCTTAGTGACTCTCACCCCGACAGAGAACATTGTCTTGGTTGTTCGCTTGGACACCAGTTGTCAGGCAAGGGCCTAAGCTATCTGTTTCCTCCTTGTCCCGAGGTCCTGACGTACGGTGGACGCGGACCACCCGTTGAATAAGCAAACGAACTGAGATACGGGCAGGGACTCACCTGTAACTGCTGCTGTAAGTGGGTGATTTCGGCGATTCTCAGCTCTCTAGACTTGTTTGTGCTCTCAATTTCCTGCCTTTGGGTTGTCAGGCGACATCTGATGTCTTGAAGTTTCCCTTCTAGCTGGTGCTTCTTGTCATTCTTCAATGAAGGAGAGACAGCAGGGGTGAGTGAGATACCTGATGTCCCAGCGTGCACAGGGATGGACCAAAGGAATGCCGCACTCACCAGGGCTTCTAGTTCAAACTCCAGGGTCTTCCTCCTGGCCTTCAGGACGACAATGCCCTCCTGTTCTCTGTTCCTCTGGCTCAGGAGCTCTTGTCTCCGGTTCCGTTCCCATTCAAGTTGCCGCTGCCGTTCAAGTTCCCGTTTTGCAGCCTGTAGTTGCAGACAGCTTATTAAATTCTTAATTCTAACACCATGCAATGTTTCTTAACAAAAATGTCCAGTAAACCCTCCTTCTAAAGGTGACACATCATACGTTCTCAGAGCTCACACTGACACCGGCTCTGAGTATGTGAGTCATGCGACAACAGTAAGAGGTGACAGAGCCTTTCACACAGGAGTGCTTCTTGCCTCCCAGAAAGCAGGGACTATGTAACTGTGTCATCTTGGTTTACAGGCCCAATGAGGAAGGGAACTTTTCTTATTTAACAAAATCAAACTAAATCCTCAAGGACAAAAACAAATGTGACTTTCTCCTGATGAAGGAAAATTACTACATGTAAGTGGAATGTTCCTTGTCCAGATGACGACAGCGACCAGAAAGTGTTTCTGATTCCTGAGGTGTCTGCAGGGCTTCACTGGTTAACGGCCTCTAATATGGAAATCCCAAACATAACTTTTTGAGTGGACTTTTGGATTTAGAAGCATTTCAGACTCAGATCCTCACATCAGGGACACTCTAAGCATAGCTCAAGTTTTAGAAGCCTGTGACTCCCACCTCCCCAATCTTCCTTCCTAATCATAGCAGCTACAGTTTCAATCTGTCAAGCTAGTATACACTGACCGCTAGGCAGGGACACATGGCCGTATGGCTGTCCCTCACTTAGCAAGCTCGAAGCTATACTGCAACACCCTGGGGACACACAGAGCATAGGGTCACTGTGTATCTCCAGGGACCAGGGACATCTGCCCAGCACTGCTACGTCCAATCCCCGGCACCAGATGCACGGACATAAAACCCTGTTAGTAGCTGTATATATTTGCCGGGACACAAGCTGCTAACGGCTGCATACTTTTTCTAAAGCAGTAACTAGAGGATGAAACCAAGGCATTTTAAAATAAGGAAACACCTGTCCTTACATTCTATTCCCATGGGAGAACGGCAGCGCTGCTTCTTTGCAATATACTCAGACAAGGGCAGATAAGGAGCTGATTCCCCTATCCAGGCCTAGCACCAGATCCGCCACTTCGACGGAAGACAGTCGTGTGTTAGCGGTTCCCGGGCACGTCATGGAAAGTTCTGGGATAGGTGGGTGGTGGTGGCTGAGCAGATCTAGGCACACTAAAGCTCTCACCTCTCGCCTCTCGATCTCCTTCCTCCTGTCCTCCTCCCTCTGCCGCTCCAGCTCCCGCTGCTTCTCCAGCTGCTTCTCCAGCTCCAGCTGCCTTTTGCGCTCCTGCTCCTGGCGCTCCCGCTCTTTCCGCTCCTGCTCCGCGCGCTCCAGCTGAGCCAAGCGCTCCTGCTCTTTGCGCTGCTGCTCCAAGAGGGCTTGCCTGCGTTTCTCCAGCTCCAGGTTGCCACGTTCAAAATTCTCCCGCTTCTTATCTTCAAATGTTACTTTGAAACAACAGCAAAAACAGCGATGATGAACAAAACTGTCATTTGTAAGGAAAAACTCAGATGCAGCAGCAAACCCAGACCTGCCCAAGGTCCTTATGATGCCCTAGACAAGGGGGAAGAATGTAAAGCTAAAATATTCTGCCAATGTCCTTTCCTGTTTAAGACCATAAACGAATGTTTACTGCCAACAGAAAGACACAACCAGGAATTCTTGTGTTTATTTGACAATGACACCTCAAATGTGAATCAGTCCACTTGACTCTGGCTCACTCCATGGAGACGCGCTTCTCACAGCTGTTCTCTGTCTTGGTCAAGCACACGTAGGCTGGAGCAGGCACACAGACTCTCCACTTGCTCAAGGAGTGTCTGGAGTGCTGCTTCAGTGGGTCATTTCTTTCCTTTCTTTTTTCCCTTTGACTTTTTGAGACAGGGTTTCTCTGTGTAGCTCTGGCTGTCCTGGAACTCACTTTGTAGACCAGGCTGTCCTTAAACTCACAGAGATCCTGCCTCCTGAGTGCTGGGATTAAAGGCACGCGCCGCCACACCTGTGATTAAGTCTTAATCGGGCCCTGTCAGTGGTTCATTTCTACGGGTGCCTTAAATATTAACAGGTATGAAGACATGCTTGCCTGAAATCCCAGCATGCACAGCACTCAGGCAGGAAGGCTGCTGTGAGATCCAGGCCAGTTTGGGCCACATACAAAGACTCTTATGTCTCAGAAAACAAACCCCCACCCCAAAACTAATATAGTATTCCTGAGAGTATAATCACAGTCATATTTAATCTTTTCTCCTGTACTTAACACAGCCTAGCTTGTAGATCATTTACAGTAAGTATCTTACCACTAAACATAATTGAAAAGCGATTTAAGCAGCCGGAAGAGCGAGTGCCCCAGTCGATCAATAACTGGGGAGCACTGAAAATGCGGCCCAGTGACACGAGCAAAGCAGTGAAGACAAAGACTCATTAATAATTCCCACTGCTCCTTACTATCATCATCATCATCTCATTAATAATTCAGAGCCATCTCATTTCAGATAACTCAGTAGCACGGTAGACCTGCCATTGAAAAGGAGGGTTATTGAAAATCAGTTCGCATTAAAATGAAAATGCGTTCCTTCTGTTTATAAGTCCCCGGTTCTCCTAGACCACCAAGATAAAATACCAAGAGGTGATTGGGGTTTCTACTGCGGCACTGTTGACACACCAAGAAGCCACCGTAACACTAAAATTGAGTGCTCTTTATTCTGTGAGTGGCATTTATGGAAGTTATTTTCTTTTTTCTGTTTTATTTTCCCCAGACAGGATTTCTCTGTGTAGCCCTGGCTGTCCTAGAACTAGCTCTGTAGACCAGGCTGGCCTCAAACTCACAGAGATCTGCCTGCCTCTGCCTCCCAAGTGCTGGGATTAAAAGTGTGCGCTGCCAGAGCCCACCCGGCTATGTTTATAGAAGTTTTCTTTTGCAGTAGGCAATCACTTTCAATTGGACAACTGGATAAAGCTGCATTAGCAGGGTACACAACGCTCTTGTTTTTCAAAAACGATTCCAAAGCTGTCTCCTCCTGCCTATGGGTGGCTGAAGAAGGGGCAGAGCGCCAGAAACTACGTCATCTTCATCTCTGCCGTCATTAGCTCATCAGCTGCGGCCCTCACCAGGCAGCTTCTTCTCTAACTGCTGCTCATCCTCTGATGCCGGCTCCTCAGGCAGCCTCTGATCCACAGACGAAGAGCTTATGATGGACATCCCACTGCCGGATCGCACCCTTCTGCAGGAAGAAAGGAAGGGCGTCATGTAAGGGCACGGGCAGGAAGGCTGACGAGAGCACACCGTGGAGCAGCTTTTAGTGAAGGTGAGAAAAAGCCAAGACTTGGGTTTCTCTACTGATAAAGTTTTATAAATGGGCATTTAAATGTCATCAGATTCCAAGTGCCATGGGTGCTCAGAACGTTGGTGCTAGAGATGTAGCTCAGGGGCGGCACATGCTTGTATGTGCAAGGTCCTGGGTTTGATCCTCAGCACTCTCCAAAACCAATAAAATATTTAAAATTGCCACAAGTTACAGCAACCCACGAGGGCAGGATTTTAACCACAGTAAGTAAGTGTTGGTGGCTATTACCATTACTACCCTTGGAAGTAATTCTCAGCTTCCCCAAGGAAGGCAGCAGGGCAGTTAACTGGGACCAACAAACACCTTTCTTCTAGAAACTCTATTTTAGTGTCCCCCCAATATATTTACCATTCTGAAAACAAGCTGTCCCATTTATTAATAAGTGTCACATTAAACCCTCAACTTTATTTATTTATTTTTTAAACAATCTCTCATCTGGGTGTGGTGGCACAGACTTACAGAATTTAAACCTAGAGTTTGGAAGGCAGGTGGATCTCTGAGTTCAAGGCCAGCCTGGTCTACAGAGCCAGTTCTAGGACAGCCAAGGCTGCAGAGTGAGATCCTGTCTCAAAAAAACAAAAAACCCAAACCTCTCATCCTTTTTATGCTTTCTCTTAAGCATCATCTTCGAATACTCAGCTTCCCCACATGGATCCCTGGAGCGGAGAGGGTTCCTGGTTGCCACCTTCCACCCGTGCAGTTCCCTGTCCCTTCCAGTGCCACACAAAGCAGACACTGATGGCTCTGCAGCTCCTCATTCTAGAGGGACTGTGCCCAAGTCTCTCCAGAAACCTGAAACTCCGGATATAAATCTATTTGTCTTTTATTAAGCAAATGGAACATTCTGGGATGGTGTGTTCACACACTACAGGTGCGGGTGTGATGACAGTCCCAGCGAGCTTCCCCTGACCAGATGTTGTGGGCACTCTTGACATCTCTACTGAGTCTGTTTCAGTCCAGGATAATCTTTAAAAGCTACCTTCCTGATTATAAGTTCTACATTGCCATCATTCTTGTTACCTCTTGAATGTGCTTGATTGGCAGGTGTCACCTCTGATTTCCTACATGCCTACTCATTCCGGTTCTCTCTTACCTCGAGAGTAGTTTCTGGTGAGCTCTGGTACGATGGGCACCAAGGCAAACCACCCAGGTCTCTGACTTGGTGCTTTTACTATATTATACAGACTATGTAAGCGCTCAGGAGGCCGGAACAGGGCCAGGCTCACCACTGAGCTAAGCTAAAGCCTCTGCTTTCAGGGAGAGTTCCTCTTCACGCCAGGAAAAGTGTGGGATCCATGCAAACTTTGCAGAGTGACGTGCTGCTTACCTGAAGGACGGAGGGATGCACTCTGGAGGCAGGACAGGCGGCAGTGGCTGACCAGACATGGCAACATCGATTAGGTGCATAGCCAGGATAAACTCTTCCGCTGTGAGTTTTCCATCTTGATCAATGTCAGAAAGATTCCTAATTCAACAGAAAATTCATGCAATCCAGTTCAGGAGAACGCATGCTTCTTACTGTTCACCAGCGATTTGCAAATTCTATTTTCATACTCTGATCCTAGGCCAACAGAATCTTTCTCTGTGCCAGCTTGTAGAACAAGTACTATTTCAGACTATTGGAAGGATAAAAAAATAATCCATACAGTTGGCATTGTCTTTAGCATCCAACAAACACTAATTATGATTTATCCTGATCCTCTTCAATCCTTGGAAGCCATTTAAAATACACAACACTCCAATTCTTGTAATGCTAGACAAAGGACTGATAAAGGGCGGCATAGCAAATTATTTCATGGTCTGTAAGATGCACAAGCCCTGTTACACCAAATTGTACTCTTGATGAGAGCCCATAGGCAATATGTAAATGAACGCGCCCACACGCAACATTAAAGCCGTGTACAACAACGGGTGACAGTCAGATCCCACCAATTGGCCATCCTCCATCTATGGACTGACCTCCGTAGCCTCCGGTCCCCCTCTAGGGTAGTGGGCATTCCTCCCCCCTCCTTCTAGCAATCTAGTCACCAGCAGGCTTAAGATGCACCTGTCCAAACAGCTAGTTACAGCACACAGACAGCAAAAGGAGACCTGAGAGCATGCATTTACTCGCAAGAAGGTCAACGGCACAAATGCCACGTTACAAGTCTGCCTTTGCTAATGACAACCAATGGAGAAACTGCCTTCCTCTTTCTGAAATGTCTTCAGGCTGCTACCGCTAAGGTATGATTTCCACAGGTAATAGAGGCCCTCTGTAGAGGGCGGTCATATGCATACCTGACAAAAACAGTCAGCTACATACCACCAATGCAGTGTAAGGAGCCAGGACCACCTGGATGCCCACGCTTCCTGCTGCTCAGCTCTGCTCCCTGCTGGGCCCCGTGGGCCTGTTCTCTGTCCTGCTTCCCTCCTTCAGATGACACACCCACCCTGGTCACCTTCTTCATATGTTACACTCTGAGCTACTCTAACTAGGTAAATCAGACTAAAAGGCAGCTAAAACTCTTGTTTTCCCCCATAAACTGGCTAAATAAGGGCCACAAAAATGAAAGTAGGTTTTTAGTGTGAAGAAGGAAAATCAACACTCTAATAGAGAAACAACCCTGAAATGTCTTAGGAAGTAAGTCATCAATGAGAAGCATAAGGAGTATGAGAGCAGCCTAATAAACGTCAATCAAGCTCCACGAACGTCCCGGCTTCCATCTGTTCACAGGGCCCCGGATTACTGGCTGCACACTGACTTCAAGAGGTCTGACTGCGCCACAGGTAGGAGATACTAGCTAGTGTAGACCCTGCTGCACAGCAGAGGGGAAGTGGGGAGGGCGCAGGAGGGTGCTAGCACTTGGCGCCCTCCTGAGAGGCCGTATCAGTTCCTGCTAAGACTTGCGCGTAAGAAGCCGACACCAGGTCTGCTTTCCAGGTAGCTATCCCCAAAAGGCAAGCTTGGGGTGGGGCAACACTCATCAAGAACTATTAAAAGTCATCATGCACCAACGGGGACATTTTGCCTCCCGAAGAGTAAGTATATTGCAACATCTCTAATGTAGTCTTTCCCCCAAGAGCAAAAATGACTCCAGAACCAGGTTAAGTGGTTTATACCAGGGGTGATGTGGCCCCTCAAGAGACACATGCTAACATCTGGAGACTTCTGGGCTGTCAGGACTGTGGCTGGGGGTCATGGCTACCAGCACCGGTCGGGTATCTCATGAGTAGAGGCTACAGATATGATAATGCACCAGGCAGCCCCAAGTGCCACAGTGGCAGACCTGAAAAGCCTCGCTCTAGGTCTTTGTCATTTCCCAGGAAATACAAAAAAACAAATTAAGCACCTCAAGAGGGATCCAACAAAGTCAAGCCATTAGGAAACTACTCAATAAACCACTTCATTTATTTCAGGAAGACTTGGGAAACAAATGGAGAACAAGAATGGGTAATAGAGAGGTTAAAGAGGATTTTAAATATGTCAATTAATGAGCGGAAGAGCTGGCTCTGTGGTTAAGAGAACTTGCTGCTTTCACAGAGGACCCAGGTTTGGTTTCCAGCACACAGAGTGGGGTTCCCCACCTTCTCTAACCCGACCTCTTCTGACCTCCAAGGGCACCAGGCATGCACACGGTAACAGAGACATTGTGTAGGCAAAACACACATATACATAAAATAGTCTTTAAAAGAAATTCAAACTGACCAATGAAATACCACACAGGTTTGTTTCACTCCTTTGAACAATTAAAAGTATACAAACCATTAGCAGATATAAGGCATCTGATGACTAGCTTGTTAATTTGATATGGGTGACTAATTTGGTAAATTGCTGGAACTATGGTTAAAGTTAAAGAAGTAAGTTTAAATATTATAGTTAAAAACAATAAGAGGCTTGGCTTGAGGTCATGGGGAAAAAGGAACCCAACCTTGGGTTAAGAGTTGTTAGGCTATCTTGAGTTCTTGGGGCTCACTGTGCTAATATCCCTGTCCTTGTAGTAAGAGTGGTGATTATCACCGCCTACTAAAAATCATGCACACTCCCAAGTAAGGATGTGAGCCTAAAACCCCAAGGAAGAACCACCCTGAGTCAGTTTCTACTCCATACAAACCCAGGAACTTGTACTTCCTTACCATATTGAAGCCAGCTGAGCCTGGGGTAAACTTGATTGCATAAGAATAGTTCTTGCCTGGGGACCTAACCAGAAAGCAGAGAAAAGACGTGAGGATGAATCATCGAACATTCCCTGCACTCTACAGAGTGCAGAGCCTGCATACAGGTTGCAAGCAATCTCGAGCAATCACAACACCGCACTCAGCTCGCGCTGCTATCCAGGAACTTTGTGACAAAAGGGAGGAACAGAGAAGCACAGGTGACCAGCGAGGAGTGAGTACATGAAAGACTAGGGTCTGCCCTCTCAGCCAGATTCCCTCCTTTTGTTTGGGGTTTTATTTACAAACTGAGGCATGGTAACTATAAACTGGACATCTGCTGCTGCAGCTGCCACCTGCTGATTTCACCATGATCGTCGTGAACACAGCCATGGGGGCGTCGGAAGCTCTGAGAGGAAGACTAGGCCTTAACTGCACCCTTCTCATGACATCACCACACAGACCTCCCACACCAGCCAGCACAGAAGCTACTAGAACTCAGGCTTTTCTTTCCCAATCAGCTTTCTGTTATTAAGATAATGATAGTTATCTTCATTTCTGGCACAAAATAGCTTTAGCCATGTGATAAAAAAGGTAGGCAAATATTTCATGTTTCCAGCAATGTCTCAAAGTTGTGGTCACAGGAATACCCATGGACCAAGAAATGGAAAGCCACAGCAATGACATGGTAGATTCCTTGCTCGTGTGTAAACTTCAGACTTCCATTATTTAGTTTCCAGATGTCTCCTTATTGTGAAACACAGAGCGGGTGTGTTCTTTCACAGCCAGGAGCCGAGGTCATGAGTTCCAGCTCAGTGATTTCCCAAAATGAAGGAGACTCTGTTGAGGGGAGGCAGCTCCGCGCTCAGGGGCTTGCTCATTTCCAGGGCCCCATAAGCATGTCTGTGACCCTGCAAAGTACTCAGCAGGTGACAGTTGCCATTTCTATTACTGGCAATATTTTAACTTTTATTTACATATAACATATTGGCAGAAAAGAATTCATTAATGCACACATGTAAACACATACAATGCACACATTCTTAGATACCATTTTATTTTTATTTATTGGGGGGGAGGGGCTCAGGACAGGGTTCCTCTGTGTAGCCCTGGCTGTCCTGGAACTCGTTCTGGAGACCAGGCTCACCTTGAACTCAGAGATCTGCCTGCCTTTGCCACCACCTGGCAGAATTAATTTTCTCTCTCCCTCCCTCCCTCCTTAAGTTTATGGAGGCAAGGTTTCTCTGTGTAGCCCTGGCTGTCATGGAACTCGTTATGTAGACCAGGCTGGGCTAAAAAAAAAAAAAAAAAAATCACAAGAGACCTGCCTCTGAGGCCTGACTCTAGACAATGAAGTGAGTCCACACCTCCTTTTAAAGCCTGGGATAACATATGTATTATATTATGTGAGAAGCCAGCTGCATCAATTAAATTACCAGGATATTTACGGGGTACATAAAGGCATTCTAAAGATGTACTACCTAGTATCCTGACACAGAATCTCTAAGCCAATTCACAATGGAATACTAAGAATTAGTTCAGGGATGGAGAGATGTCTCAGAGGTTAAGAGCACAGACTGCTCTTCCAAAGGTCCTGAGTTCAATTCCCAGCAACCACATGGTGGCTCACAACCATCCATAATGAGATCTGGTGCCCTCTTCTGGCGTGCAGGCATAAATGGAGGCAGGATGTTGTGTTCATAATAAATAAATAAATCTTGGGAGGCAGAGGCAGGCGGATCTCTATGAGTTCGAGGCCAGTCTGGTCTCCACAGCGAGTTCCAGGACAGCCTCCAAAACAATGCAGAGAAACCCAGTTTCGAAAAACCAAAAAAAAAAAAAAAAAAAAAAAAAAAAGAAGTTCAGAACAAATACCAACAATGTTCCAAAGAACTATTGAGTGTGTACGGAGTGCTGTGTCAAACATACCCACTCAAAATACACTACGGAATATTTCTTCAGTGTCTGCACAGGCTAGTGTGGCTTCTTTGCTTGTTTGTTTTTTCAAGACAGGGTTTCTCTGTGCAACATTCCTAACTGTCCTGGAACTTGGTAACAGAGACAAGGAAAACCCTTCTTAGAAGTAAGGAAAGTGGAAACATTTGGATGGTACTTTTTCACTTAGCATCTAGAAACAGCCTGGATCTAAAGCAATGGTTGCATTTCACTAAACTTTTGTTTGTAAATACCTGTTAAGTGTCCGCTCATAGTTTTGTCATGGCTATTGAACAACTGCCTGTATTTCAGTCTGGACGACTGAGGCACCGCCCATTCTGCTGCTGGAGGGGCGCTGTGGGGAAAGAGGAAGGAGACACAGTGTGAGAAACTCGGCTCGCTGCGGCCCAAGAAATTGTCTAGAGCCTCGGGTCGGCATTGTCTTCCCCCTGTGGTGTTGGGGTCAAGCCTAGGGCCCCTGTAGTAGGCAAAGGCCCTGCCACTCGGCTACACTGGAAGTGCTCCCACATTTCTTAAGTCACAAACATCTTTCCAAAGAGGAAGTCAGGGGCCGGAGAGACGGCTCAGCAGTTAGGAGAACCCTTATCATGCAGCTCACACTGCCTGCGACCCGGCTCAGGGGCTCCAACATTCCCTTCTAGTCTCTGCGGGCATACGCACACACATGGCACATGTTCGCACGCACGCGCGCACACACACACACACACACACAAACTAAATTAATTGGTTTTTTTAGATATAAAGAAAAACAACAGATCAAATGACTATTACATATTCTACATATAATTTAATGACCTGAACATTCCAGTAATATATACCAGGAACTGAGGCACTATATTCTGCCCAGGTTTTCCTAAGGATTCAGGAATTTCTGGCAATTGCCCTTTAAAAAGTACACTGCAAAATACTTATCTTTCTACCACAAAATATGGCTCATTTCTCTTTTGTTTTTACATCTATTTATCTATTTGAGGTGTGTGTACACGTGTGTGTATGTGAGTGGAGGCCAGGGGACATGCAGAAATTGCTTTTCTCTGTCCACCCTGTGGGCCCTGGGAATTGAGCCCAGGTCCTCAGGCTTGGAGGTAAGAACTCTTACTGACTGGGCCATCTTGCAGTCCCTAGGCCCACTTCTTAATGAAGGGAATTATTTCCTGCTGGGAGGTTTAAATTCCTAGCAAATGGAAAGCCTCCCAGAAAGGAAACAGGATATGTCCAGGGTTCTGGCAAATCAGTGGAACAGTCATGGACGAGGCTCCACTTTCTTGACTGTAATCCAACACTGACGCCTCCTTTACAACAATGACCTGAAGAAACCCTGCTAACAGTGAGTCTGGGCAAGACACTCCTTCCACAGATGCCACAGCCCACACAAGTATCACACCGACACACACAGTTTGTTAAGAGTCCATGACCAAGTTAGATAATTTAAACACGATGGAGACAGAAAGGGAGGCATTCCCCGTGAAGGGCAGACGACAAGTAAGGCTCCATGTGTAATCTCCTTCATGCTTACAGAGATTTTAACCACACACGAAGTCCTGGTTATTACTCATTAACGTGTGGTGTCCATGTTCTTACACGGACTATGCAAAGGTCTCAGGAGTCAGCTGTTCAAAACTGAGAAGTAACAACGGCACCACCTCTAATTCCTCAAGTTTCTTAGGGAAAACACTTACCACAGTGGACCCTGCAGTGAGTACTTCCGAGATACTTCTCTCATTTTGTCTAGTGTGTTTCTGATGCCAACTCCAGCCTATTTACTAAAGGTGACTAACTAGCTCGCTCCTGCACTGCAGAGATAAAAGTGCCCCACACAGACGCTCGCCCACATCATACTTATCAAGCTTTCTACCACATTCCTGAGAGTCTAGGCAAACTAAAAATTCAAGGAGCCTGTTACTTAAAAGATAACATAGCAAAAAGGTCACAACTTCAAGTTGTTGAAAAGATCGCCACCCACGTGGAAAGCCCAACTATCTAAAAGCATTAATATTTGCCAACCATCAATAATACTCATCCAAATGTTATAAAGCAATTTCAGGACAGAATTTTAAATCATGCAAAAGTTAAAAACACATCAAACTTCAGCCTGAGATAGGGAGGAAGTTTAATATGATAATGAGCTTAAATCTCTGCCTTGGGGGAATTAAGAGGTGGTAAAAGAAACATAGTAATATGGAGCCATGGTTGGCAACACATGAGCGATGAGGTTGTACATATTCTCAACGCTGAGCCACACAGACAATCATCAGTACTAGTCTGAATAACTCATTTCACTATATTAACACTGGTGTTCACTACTGCTCTACTCCTAAGTCAGACACACTGTAAGATTATGACAGTATGAAAAGCAAGTCCAACTTTGCTTCAAATCTCATAAAAAATTAATCAACTTTTAAATGATTAACACAAGATCATTAACTGATTTCCTAGCTCCCCAGGGCCTGTTCTAGTCCAACCAATTCTATTTCTTCTCCCGTGCTTGTCATGAACACGGTTCCTCAACGGCGCCGGGTGAGCTCTCTACTGCTAAGTAGCACATCCGACCTGCACTACCGCATTTTGTTAAAAAAAAAAAAACAAAAGATAACGGGCAGGTTCTTGATTAGTCGTCTCTGCAGTAAATAAATGATAAATTCTAATAGCATCATATAAAATTTAGAAGACATCACTAGCATTCCATAAAAATTAAACGAGGTAACAATACGGGATGGGCTCTGAAGAGATGGCTGGGTGGCCTGAAGCACTTGCTGCTGCTCTTGTTGTGGAGGGTGCAGTTCTGATTTCCAGTACCCAGGAAGGTTCAGAACCACCTACGGTTCCAGAGGATCCAACACACTCTGCTGACCTCTGTGGGCACCAGGCACGTGATACACATACACACATACATACATGCAGGCAAAACATGAAACCCATAAAATAAACCTTAAAAAACTTAAGATGAATAAAATTCATTTAAAGAGAATTAAATAATGCTGTAATTAACTTTTCCACTAAAAACAAGCAGTCTTACCTGGCTACATCAAATGATTGTGCCTTCTGTAATTTAGTGTTTAATTGTGACCCTGGACCAGATCTGCTGAAGGAAGAACTCTTTGGCAATGTGGCTGCTGTAAAAATAAAAGAGTAATTTTAAGACTATAAAAACAAGAATTTTTCCTCATCTAAAGCAGTGACAAGCCCCCTTTGTCTCCAGCCTGGAGTCACAGCTGCTCATCCTTTACTCTGTCTCCTGTCTGGGTTACTTGTCCTGCTGAGAGCCCCCGGCTGAGGTGCCATGCTGACATCCAGAGAACTCTGCTCTCCACTAAACACCTCGTGTATCATGTGGCCCAGGTGCTGGTCCAAGTCAGTCAAGTAAGAGCTCAACTATACATAAGACGGCATTTTCTTACCATCAGAGTAGCAGCCAAGAAGTCACAGGCTGCCCAGTCTTGGCCAGATAACTGATGCCAGGGAGGGGCAGATTTGTGTGTTGTTCTCATGTGACCTGATGAAACCCTCACCACACCCTCCCTGCTTCCACCCTGCCTCGTGTCTTGTAACCCTTGTCGGAGCACAGCAGACAGGACAGCGTGTGGATTCACTGTTCCACTGGGACAGCTGCATGAGCTAGGTCAGCCGCTATCACACCTGCAGGCACTCACAGAAAGAACCACACAGGGCTCAACTAAGAGAAGCTCAGGCCATTCTGTGTTTTGTCTCACACACCTACGTTAAGTGCAGGTCAGCTCAGGTGCAGCAATAATGACACGGACATAATGGTAAAACTTATGCTGTTTACGCTACTGAATTTCCTCAGATATACACAAACAGCTTTATAAAAGACTTCCAATGTGCTACAAATTCATTATGATTCGTTAGACCATCTATATCTGCAGCTGATGCTTTCTTTTAATTGTACAAAAAAGACTTTGAATAAAGACTCAAAATGAAATTAAACCAAGAACAAAAATAACTAAATGCTTTCCTACAATTAAACAAGCGTTTAATATTGTGAGCTTAATATATTTGGCCTTTTAATTGACTTTCTTCCCCTTTCTGCCCTGTTCATTCTACTTGTTCAAAAATCCACAACGCTCACCGTGGAGCTCTATTCAGAGGTCGGGCTTGTGTATTAGCTATTCACAGAAGTTAGGGAACAGAAGTGACTGATACAGGAAAACACAGAATGTTCAGATACTGCTTGGTCTCTGTTGCCCTTAGCAGGCCCTTGGAAGGAAATCGTGCTCTTAGCTTTCACTGTTGGGCCCCTCTTTGTCTACAGAGGTACCCAAGCTCAGCAATGACATTCCCTTTCCTTGTACTCTTAGCATGTGCCATGTCATGTGCTGGCAGGAAATGACCATCAAATAGTAGAATTACAGTCCCTTTCTCTGTAACAAAGTATCGCTTAGATAGAGCTAGAAAGGAACTAGACAGCAAAAGGCAAGCAGTGGCGGTGGTCTCCTGAAGGCACGTACCAGCGGGAGCAAACGCAGGCAGAGGCTGGAGGACGGGAGGCGTCCCGTTGGCCAGGGGAGGCCCCGCTGCTGGAGGAACAGAAGATACTAAGGGTGGAGACATTCCGACAACTGGGATGGAGGCCATCGGCACTGGGGCAACAGCTGTAAGTGGTGGCATGCTAGCAATTCCTCCTATACCTAGAAGAAAAAGAGCCCAGCAAACTCAGCAACGTTTAACCCAGCACTGGTGGAGAAGAACACCTTGTCCCAGATGCAGTATCCCCACACGGAACAGCTACAGGGCTGAGAGCACAGCTTGCTGTAAAGTGCTTGCTTGGCTTGCACACACAACTCTGGCTTCAACGCTCAGCACTGCACAAAGAAATTCTTTAAGTTTAAACACACACACCCTCAGGTTAAACGGGTGGAGAACACAAAAATTTGTGTTAAGAAGCACAAGTTCTCGGCCGGGCGGTGGTGGTGCATACCTTTAATCCCAGCACTCCGGAGGCAGAGGCAGGTGGATCTCTGTGAGTTCGAGGCCAGGCTGGACCCACAGCCTCCAAAACAACACAGAGAAACCCTGTCTCGTAAAACCAGAAAAAAAAAAAAAAAAAAAAAAGAAGCGCAAGTTCTCTTACTCATGTGACCCACTTGTAAGTCTTAACAGTGTCCTCTATAACCCACACTATTCTTTTAGGGAACAACAATGAATGGGTCAGTAAGGAAAGCATCGGGGTCAGAGAGGTAGCTCAGTTGGCAGAGAGTTTCTAGTATGCAGGAGGCCTCGGACTCAATCCCCAGCACCACACAAGCCATTTGTGGGAGCACATGTTTATAATCCCAGAACTCCAGAGAACTGTGACTTCTGATCCACACAAGCCATTTGTGGGAGCACATGTTCATAATCCCAGAACTCCAGAGAACTGCGACTTCTGATCCACACAGCTGTAAACTGAAGGTCACCCTCAGCTACACAGAGTTTGAGGCTAGCCTGGATTACAGAAGACCGTTTTTAAAACAATACGAACAGTAATGGCAATAGATTTAAGGGCAACAAATATACTGTATAGACTTTGGGTCTGATTAATTTGTGTGATGTTTTTATTTACTTGCAAGTTCTTAAAAATAACAAAACTACCAAAAAATTTAAGAAGGAAAAAAAATAAGGGAGCCAAAAATGAAGAAGAGTAACAAATCAGTCACCTATCTTTCTCTCCAATATACACTAATCAGTCGTCTGCCTTCCTCTCCAATACATACTATACCTAATCAGTCATCTGCATTCCTCTCCAATATATATTTCATATAGTATATATACTTCATGAGAGAAGTGTTCATGAGAGCAGTGTCTCTATAAATGTGTCCAAACCAACAGAAGAAGGGCACTGGGGTTAAACAAGTGTGCTTGCCTTTATGTTTATCTCCACTTTAACTGTCATGGTTCCCCAAGGTAAAACAGTCTCGTAAAGTGTAGGCAAGAGAGGTGGCCCGTGCCTATAATCCTGGCACCGGGCAGTAGAAGCAGGAGCACCAGGCGTTCAGGCACAGCCTGAGCACATGAGACGCTGCTTTACAAACACATTATCTAAGTGTCTATCACTACCTAACTTGGTACTGAAGATCAAAGGGCACCTTCTGGGCAATGCAGTCTCTTCAGGTTGGCTGTTACTGTGGTGGTGGGGGGAGGGGTGGAGCAACTAGGTGGGGGTGGGGGATCCCAGAGCCTCTGTATAACAGCCCTGGCTGTCCTGGAACTCGATTTGTAGACCAGTAAACTCACAGAGATCCGCCTGCCTCTGCCTCCTGAGTGCTGGGATTAAAGGCGTGTGCTGCCACCACCCAAACTCAGATATTTTCTTTTTCCCAAGAAATTCTGGTTCCGTACAGCAGGAAATGCTATGTCCACAATCTGGGGTTGCCACGGTTACTGGGAATCAACCGTTGTTGTGGCCCTTTCCGTGGAGAGGAGAAAGGTGGGTGGTAGACGAGTAGACAGATGGATGGGTAAGTGAACCGACGAGACAACAGAATAGACTGGAGACGGGCGTGCTCCCTGACACTTACGAGCTGGTCAAGGTTGTCTGTGCTTCCTCTAAAATCACTTTTCCGGGACATTAAAACCCTTGTCACTGTGTCCCTGAGAACCCTGACCATGTCACTCATTTCTCCTTTGCACCAATGCACTGCTATCGACATCGGAAACGGATCCATTCCCTTACAGACCACGTGCCTTCTTTTTCTGCATGCTCAAATACTATTTAAAGTAGAATCTAACTTAGGGTTGGTCCTTTCAGGTCAGTGATATCAGACACATCTTTCAAACCTTCCATCTCAAAATAACGGTCCTGAAGTCATCTCACAGTTTGCTTTGTTCCCGGTGGGATAGTCTTCATGAATTCCTATCCAACTTTTAAACAATTTCAGTGTCTGTCAGTTCGTTTTTTATATCTACTGCTTCATTTTCTTCTAATTTTAAAAAAGGTTTTTATTTCTCTTTAGAGTAGTATTTCTGAAGCTGCTTCTGGCTTCGCCTTTGCTTCTAGAACAAAGGTTTGCTGTCCGTTCTTTGCTGATCCATGCTGCCTCTCTTCTGGGATGCTTAAATCCCGGTTTAGGTTGGAGTACTGTATGATGCCCACAGAATCCCGTGGCCTGTTACAACTGGTGGTGCCACCGTCCGCAGGGGTGGAAAAGCTCAGCTGTACCATGTTTCTCTAACAACAGGCTGGTGCAGCATGACCAGCTCAAACCCTTCTGGATCTGCATGGAGAACCGCCTTTTGGGATTTCTGGTCCATGCCCTCTCCACCCCTCACTCTCTTCGGCTTTTCCTCCCTTGTCCCTTGTTCTGCTCACTCTCATTTACCTGACCTTGGGATGGGCTTGCTCCCAGAAAGGGTCTAGGTGACCTGGGGCTCTGGTTTGCCTGTTCCCAGTTTTTTGTTTGTTTTGTTTTGTATTTTGTGTGTGTGTGGTGCCAGGGAGTAAACCCAGAAGCCCATACAAGAGATGAATCAGTTGGAGCAGGAGGCTGTGGACACCCGACTGCCCCAGATCTTCCAGGCTTTCGGCAGGCCCTGCGCACAGGTACTCGGGCTTTCAGACGCACCGTGCTCCCATTGGCTGGGTCTAGTTTCTTATGAATGTCTATCAGTTACCTTGTTGCTTCTCTTTCTCAATTACATCAGGTTGACCACTTTCTTCCTTCTGCGCTGTGACAGACTTACTGCTTTCTATCTTGCTTGCATTCTTTTTTTTTTTTAACCTTTTCATGTGTATGCTGTGTGGAAAGTGTGTAGAGGCAAAAAGTTGACTTTGAGTGTCTTCGAGAATAATTATCCATTGCCCCGAGGCAGGGTAGCTTGTTTCAGCAGGGGCTGGCTTGCCAGGTCCCGCCTCTCCCTCCGTGTGCTGGGATTACAGTTGCCAGAGCACTTTCTAAAGTGGGTTCTGGGCTATGCAGCCTCCTACTCTCACGCTCACTAAACTACGGCCTCCCCTTACATCTCCTTTGTCTAATGGTGACCACACTGCTGCACGTTTTAAAGGGCCCTCGCAGACCTTAAGAAGGTGGAGCATGATCTAGAGTCAGATGCCAGCTCTGGGGACAATATGTTCCAGATGAACCTGGACTACCAACTAAGATCCTTTCTCAAAAAATGTGACAAATTTATTGCCCCTAGATGACAGGACAGTAATTTTCACATTCAATTCTTTTTGCATTCTTCAATTGGTACCCATTACTTCTACAATGAGGAAACATTCCACGTCAATATAAAATCTGCTTCAGGTGAGACGTGTGGTAAAGTGTTGATGGTGGGTGTTCTGTAAACCAGTCCTCTGGATATAACTTGTCCCCGGGTTGGAAATTCTTTCCCTTTGTTGTACTTCAGCACCTATAAACATCGTATTGTTTTCCCAAGTGAAGAGCTGCACTTGCAGCTTAGTAATAAAACATACGGTTAGCATGCTCAAGGTGCTGGTTGTATAAGTTACACTAACTGTGCTAAAACAACAGTATAAGTCTTTCAAGATTTTCAAGAGGTTGACAATGGCAAACTTCCAAAACACCCCATCTCTAGAACTACAGATTCTTCATCTTTAAAAAAGAAACTTTGTAAGTGATACTGAGAAAGAAAATCTTAAGTAATGTCAAAATTGTTACTAAAAAGACTACACAAAACCAGTTAACATAAAAAAAATCCTACCAACTGGAAAAGCATGGTGCAAGTCTCCAAATGTTAGGTTCTTCTTATGTCAGAGTTCTTCCATGCTGGCCTTGAATTTGCAACCCTGTCTGAGCCTCCAGAAGCTGGTCCTGCAAGCCTGTGTCCCAACTCATTTATTGCTGTAGGCCCAGGGCAGAGCTGAGAGAGAACACCTGCCTCAGGCACCAAGATCCAGGGGCAGCTACTCCCCAGCAGACAAGCCAATAAAAGCAAAACAACCCAACGGCAAAGACTACCCTCTTCCAATCAAGTGAGTACACTCTGTTGAGACAGGGTCTCTTGTGTAGCTTCAGATGGCCTCTGCCTGCTGGGATTGTTGGCTAAGGAATGACTGTCTAGGTAAGCGTGTCTACTGGAGGCTGGGCCTGGATGCTATCACTGTCTATGATGATTATTCTCACTCTTGGAATTCTCTCGCACCATTGGCCCTTCCCTCTCTATTCAGTGCTGGGGTGTCTCAGCTGACTGTCACGCCACCTCCCCGTGGTCAAGCCCTCTTCTAGGCCCCATGCAGACACCGCAAACACTCACGTGGGAAAGGTCACCGAGAGGCCCACAGGTCAAGTCCAATCATCCCTTTCCTCCTCTTTCCTGCCTCATCATTCAGGAGCTCCCTCAGCTCTCCTTGAAGCAGTCCTGGCTACAGTGAGCATTTCCTCCTCAGTCTTCATCTGCAGTGCCTTCCCTCTCTGTAGCTGTGAATGCTGCTCACACGATGCTGACCCCGCACATCCTCACTGCACCTAAGACACTGCACCTCCCTAGCCCACCTACCTCCCGGAGGAAGACGCGACGACAGGCCTGTTTTACTCCCCTCCTAAACAAAGCACACAGGGCTGACACGAGCTAGCTAGTGTCACCGTCCACATTTAGAGCATTACTCCCACAGAGCTGAGGAACACAAGAAATACTAGAAATACCGGTCAAGATTGGCTCTTTGTGTAAACGTGATGGACATCTGTACTTTCAACTTCTCCTCCGCCCTTGAGGCTTATTTATCTTTCTGAAGTCAGCAGTGAAAATGTTTATGTGATGAGAGCCAGGTGAGAAGACCCAGGCAGAGGCTGGCAATGCAAGGATCCCTCGGTAGCAGTGCAAGCTATATGAATGTAAGACACCAAGCACTGAGCCCAGAAATGCCTCAAAAAGAACAGCGATGTTGACAAAAACGGAAAATCACAGTGGAAAACAAGGAAACAAATTAAATAACAAAGAAGGAACTGCACACGGTTTAGGGGAAAAAGAAAAAAATGGAGCCATTATTGTTCAATGTTTCCTTTCTCTACACTGTAGTCTCGTTTGGAAGAATCCAGGAGAAAACCAAACATGCATTAGTGTTTTAACACATAAGTCCTGAAGGGAAATTTGCTGCATGTACCTTCACGGATTCAGTGCAAAGTTCACTGCACAGGCTAGCCAACTACAGACTAAGCACTACAAACGCAGAGGCTCTCGGGTCTGACGTGTGCTATTACGGCACTGTTCACTTGTGCTCCTCCTGGTCTTTGCTCGTGTGTAGCTTTGTGGCTTTTCACAGACCCTTGTCCTACCAGCCTAAAGATCTCCCCAAGTTCATACCTTCCTCTTAGAGAACCTGCCTTGTAGCCAGAGGTCCCCAAAAGGAAGACAACATATAGTAGTATGCTTTGAATTTGTAATGTTGCTCATAGGCTGTTCTGATTGCTCGCTAGTGCTATGCTGAGAGGTTTTTGACTCTTTAGGTGCCAGAAGGCACTATTCAAGTTTCCAAAGATAGAAAGTCCCGACAGTCCTACCTACCTATGACACCCACAAACCACAACAATGACAAGTATTGGCACTGTGCACTAAGGACGCAGTCATGGCACACACACTGGTGATAACCAACAACTCCCTCAGTGGATTTAAGACCCGCTCAGCACGAGGGAAACCAGGCTGGCACCGGAAATGTAGCCAATGGCTGTGGACCAGTGAAGTCATGGCTCTTGGAGAAGGGCCTCCAACTGCCCCCTTGACTAGATAAGCATAATGCCTAATTACATTCTAAATGCCTATCCCCATGCCCTCAGATAAGCGTAGTCTCCCCCTCATCAAGGAAACGTCTCTCTGCGAGAGAGGGCGACCATTGCAGACAACTGCAGCCCATCAAGCGCAGGGTGAGGAGCGGAGTCCCAACAGACCCATCCACCATACAGCTCCACTATACAGACCCGTCCACCATACAGACCCATCCACTATACAGACCCGTCCACCATACAGACCCATCCACTATACAGACCCGTCCACCATACAGACCCATCCACTATACAGACCCGTCCACCATACAGCTCCACTATACAGACCCATCCACCATACAGCTCCACTATACAGACCCATCCACCATACAGCTCCACTATACAGGCCCATCCACTATACAGCTCCACTATACAGACCCATCCACCATACAGCTCCACTATACAGACCCATCCACTATACAGACCCGTCCACCATACAGCTCCACTATACAGACCCATCCACTATACAGCTCCAGGACCTAAGGCCCAGGGATCATTGCAAAGAGACAAGGGAAAAACTGTAACAGAGGGTCAGGGAGTTTGCCGTGCAGGTGTCTACAGGAAGTGTCAGGAGCGACACCCATGAACTCTCACCACCGTCACCGCCTACACAGGAGCTGGACAATAACAACAGACATGCTGAAGTGGAAGGCTGGGCAGGGGGCAGGAGTCCAACCCTACATAAGGAACTATAGGCAACTAAGGAATGCAGAGAGTAGGAGGAATCATCTTTCCCAGGGAGGACTATCCCAATTGGTTAGTCAGTGGTTAGCCCTCAAAACATACATGTAGGTGACATACAGACTGAGCAGGTTGTATTTACATATTTAGGAATATGTACACACACACACACACACAAACAATTAATGAAAAAAGAGGCTGTGAATTTGAAAGAGAGCAAGGAGGGGCATGTGAGAGTGTCTGGAGGGAGGAAAGGAGTCACTCAAAAAAATTTAAAAATTGGGGGGGATTTTAAAAATTAAATAGAAAAAAAAAAGACAGATATCACAATCCAAAGTAACTATCACATACAAGGAGAAACAAAGACTCTGAAAAGCCACAGGACAGCCCGGAGCCAGGGCTGCGCGGCAGTGGGCAGACATGCTCCTTACACCGGACTGAACCTCTTCCCTCGTGACGGCCTTCCCCCTTGCAGTCAGTGTGGACAGCGTTATCTTTCACTATTTCTGGGGGGGGGATATCCATTCTTAACAACGTACAATAAAAGACAGGAACCAACTCATTCGGGGACTTACCAAATGCTGGTGCGCTAGAGATAGCAACGGGCTGCTGTTTCATGACGGGGGGAAGCGCGGAGGGGAGCTGGTACCCTTGTAGCTTCAGCTTGATGAGCTTCATGGCGATGGAGAACTCCACTTGATCCATCCTTCCGTCGTTATTCATGTCAGCCAGCGCCCTGCAAAGCAGCAGCACACACTCAGGACGACTGGGACGACAAAAGATGCTTTCTCCACGCCCCTTCCTCAGACACAGACAGAGTAAGGGGCTCCTGCACCCCAGCAGAGAGAGAACAGGAAAAAGTGAACCATCTTTACCAAGCCTCACGGGCTGGATAGAAAAGCCAGCGCACTTTACGGGGCTATATGGTATCTTGCACTGGTATTCTCTACCCACAGAGACACTGAGGAACTCTCAGTCTGAATTTGAAGACTTCTTACTTTTTAAGAGATTTCATTTAATTAAAAAAATGTTCTAAAATTAGATAGGGGTAGACACAATTCTATGACAATTCCACAAACTACCGAAGTGCGCAGTGTAATTTCAAAAGATACATTTGTTACATGATTGTGTTAAAATCAAAAGTTATTAAAGTGGGATGTGGGAATAGTGTTATTTCTAGCGATGCTAAGCTAAATTCCCCTTGGTCTGTGGTGCTCTACGTCCATGGGAGATGGCATGGCATGCTAGCTACTCTGGGACACTACTACCTGTGAAAGCGCTTCACCTGAGCTGACTTTAGAACCCTGCCCGCACACTAACTGGTGGAGCTGTGGTTTTACCACACACTAACTGGTGGAGCTGTGGTCAGGAGCGTGCTTGCTATTTCAAAAGGATCCTCAAGCATCCACGGCCCAAGTGTCATTTGTAACGAGTTTTCAAAGAGTTTTCTCTCATGGAAAAGGAAGCAAATGACTGTGCAAGGTTCAGATTTGCGACAGAAGTCACGGCGCCCCACCCAACGGTGCACCCTCGTGACAACACGGAAAGCCCCTCTTGGACTTCACTTCTTTTTCCCACAACAAAAAGCGTAGCCTGCAGTAAAAAGTAAAGCTCTCTGAAAACGATGCAGACTGCAGAGCTGGCAGCTGCTTTGGAAAATAAAGATCACCAGGCAGGGAGGAGCTCGATGGCAGTTGGGACAGCAGCTGGGGTCCTGCGGCCGCGACCCTCACAGACCGCAGGTCTCTCTGCTCCGCTTTCCTTAGCTTCCCGCTCGCTGGACTGAGTGCTCTGCAAACTGCTTGCTCTTGGGTTACACTTCTTGTCATTCTAGAAGCACGCACTACGTATAGCACAGTAACTATTAAACTGCAAATAGGTGAGTTCTAAATTTTTAGTCTACTGATTTTGTGTGGATCTTCATTGTGTAGATATTACACACAAGGTATTTATCAGCTTTTATGTTTTCAGTCTTTAATTTGTTTTGTTATATCTTAATCTTTAACCTAAATGTAATTCAGTGGGGTGAGACGGTGTTATTCCATGATCAAACCACATTTCTTTCAAGACACATACCGAACTTTCTATCAACACTGACAAACCCCCATTTGCTACTCATTGAACTAAAATACAGGCTGTTGTGCTCTTGTGGTTCTTATGACGTCAGTGTGGCTTGATCTGGTGTCAGGAGCTCAATGGCTCTATGGCATGCTCTGCCTTTCCTTTTTCAGGAAATTGTTTTCGGTACTGGGGAGGGCTAAGCTGACCAAGAGCTTGCGGTATAAGGACCCAGATGCCCAGCGTACGTAAAAGGTATGCGTGCTTGTAAATAGAAAAGGGATGGTGGTGCACACTTGTAATTCTCTTGCAGGGAAGTGGAGGCAGACAATTCTGAGGAACCTGATACCCTCTTCTGGACTCCAAGAGCATCCACACACACATATGGCCTATTCTCACACCAACATACACACACATACACATACATAAAATACCAAGAGGGACGCTTCGTAAGGAATAGCACGCAAAGTTTACCTCTGGCTTCCACCCAGACATATGCACCTCCCCACACACACATACATTTGTTTTCTCCCGTATTAGATATACACAGTAGTTTGCTCAGAAAGGAAAATAATACTCATGTCTTTGAATTTCTTCCATTTCCTTTAATAAGACAGTATTTTCTTCCTATACCACACTTTCTTCATGCAACTCATGAAATTCTATTGATATAGTCTATGAAATCTTATCATTTTTCCCAGACTTGTAAGTAGCATATTTCCCTAGATCTCTACTTTTTAGGTGCTTATTTTAAAGTCAGGTGTATTGCCACTGACCTGTAATCCCAGCACTCGGGAAACACGCAGGAGGATCAAGTGTGGTGATGTTTTGTTTATGACCTAACAAATAAAGCTTGCCTGAAGATCGGAGTGCAGAGCTAGCCACAGAGACCAGGCAGTGGAGGCACACACCTTTAATCCCAGCACTCTGGAGGCAGTGGCAGGTAGATCTCTGTGAGTTCAAGGACACCCTTGTCTACAGGACATTGATCCAGTATAAAAGAGAAACAGTCAAGTGGTGGTGGCTCACACCACTAATCTCAGTACTTGGAGTCACACACCTTTAATTCCAGCACTAGAGAGCACACAAGGGACTCGTGGGCGGAGATAGGAATATAAGGCAGGGCAGTCAGTCTGAGGACGCATTCAAAGGACAGGATCGCTCCTTTGGTCTGAGCACTGGTAGAGGTGAGACTGCCGCTCTGCTTCTCTGATCCTTCAGCCTTCACCCTGATAGCGGACTCGGAGTTTATTATTAAGACCAAAGAGAATTTGTGCTACAATCAAGAGATCCAGGTCATCTTTGCTACGTCAAAAATTCAAGACCAACCAAGGCTTTATTGACTCAAACACACAAATTCTTAATAGTCATCTATACTATATTTAATTACCTTATGTGACATATACCTAAATTTCTGAGTATAACACTAGTACCTACGTAGCAAAACAATTTCTACCAATCTCTAGCACAGGTCTTTTCATCTGTTAAGACACTACTGGATGCATTTGCATTTAGTTCTGAGTTTAGAGAAATGGATTTAGTACTTCACTGGTTAGGATTCCTAGCAGTGATTTTTGCTAAATAATTTACTTGCTTTGAAGAAAGGGCTGCAGATAGCTCAGGCTAGCCTGAAACTCACTACATAGAGAATGTTCATAAACTCCTGTTCCTTCAGTCCCAAGCGTGAGTATTACAGACTGGAAAGTGTCACATGGTGGGTTTTTAAATTCATTAACTAGTTATTGGTACTTTTATTGCCTTTATGCTGTACAAGAGCTCTGCTTCTGAGCTTTCGGCATAGTTACCAGATGAACAGGCTCTTGTGTTTTGTTTAGCTTTGTTTTTCAAGGCTTACTCCACATCTGCCCAGCTGATGATGAGCATCCTTCATCTGCTGATGCTGACAGAACTGAGGGATTCTCAGTGAATGCCGTGCCTCTGGGTTAAACTCGAGCAGGTCCAAGTGTTGTAAAAGTCACACACTGTGAATCAAAGTCTACTCGCTTGGGTTTGCATCTATATTCATGACAGGACGCGGAGGCGCTGTTTTTACTCTATTAAAGCTTTTGGGTTTAAAAGATACCAATAAGGTGACAATCTTTCCTTTCCCTGCAAAGTATTTTTTAGCATGCTCAGCTGTTATAAGTGTCTTACAGGGGAGAAAGGATCCACTCACAGCAATGTGCATACCTTATTTACGTTTAAATAAAGAACCAAGCAGACACCCACCCTACAGCACTCCTCCTGAAAAAACAAAGTTGGTGTAAACAAGAAAGATTCGATCTGAGATTCAGGGGTTAAGGGAGAGAAGGCTTTTAAATATGATTCTAATTAGAACTATTTATTGCTTCTAAGCCCCTTTCAGTGCACTTCCTTGGGCAAAGAGAAAGAAACCAGTAAGGCACTCAGCACAGTTCTAACATCTGGTTGAATGTCTGTCTAGTCTACAGTTCTCAAAAAGACCCTTTTCCTCAGTTAACAGAACTTGACTATTGAAACTCCCTAGTGAAGAGAACTCAAGGGACGTTCTGGAAATACAGCTATTCTGCAAAGCTCAGCCCTCTACCTTTTTCCTCCTGGCACCCAACACAACAGAATCCAGCTGCTTTCCTAGGACGGAGCTATCATTCCAGGGCACAAGGCGGCTGGCAGGAAGAACATGCATTGGCTCTCCTTTTCATACTCAACTGTAGTTGCTTCTCCAATGAACTTTGTACCGATTCCTCCCAAAGTAAGTCTGGACAATACTGACACCACATTGTAACACTTCAGAAGTAAAAGTGCATGCTAAACCCAGCAAGCAACTGCTGCACCCTGATTCCGGAAAGGGACTTGGAAGTCGGAGATTAGCCGTGTATCAGAGGTGGAGACAGGTTGAGGACAAAGCAGAGAGATGCTGGATACCCAGTGTGGTGATTGGGTGACAGCATGTCGCCCATGGTCTCTGGCATTTGAATGCTTGCTTCCAGATGGCAGCCTGGCTGAGGGAGTGTCACTGGGGGTGGGCTTTGAGGGTTCAAAGACTCCTCTCTGTGGTCTGTTTCCTGCTTATGCCTGGTGCTGGCTGTCAGACGTCCCCACTGTGACCGTGATGGGCTCTTGTGTGTATTGTCAGCATGAGACACACCCTTGCTTTGTAAGTTGCCTTGTCATGGTGTTTTTAGTTCTGTTATTACACCAAGAGTATACTTTCCTTATTTGATTTATACAAATAAAATGAATCATACACCTCTCTCACACACTGTTGGTGGGAATCATTTACTAGAACAAGCGACTGCGTGCTTAGGAGCTGGGTGGATCTTCAACAGCATAAAAGCCTGTGCTGAGAGTTGTTCATCACAGAAGTACGTTATCACTAATTACAACACACACACACACAGGAAGCAGCCTAAATATGGAAACACGGGACACTGGATAAAGAGAGGCACTACAGCAAGCCTGATACCATGAGCTGTGGAGATGAGAAGAAAATGAGTGGTAAGTAGTTTCCAGGATATATTAAGTGAGAAAAGCAAAAGATAAAAGTAGGGATGCCGGGCGTTGGTGGCGCACGCCTTTAATCCCAGCACTCGGCAGGCAGAGGCAGGTGGATCTCTGTGAGTTCGAGGCCAGCTTGGTCTACAGAGCGAGTTCCAGGACAGCCTCCAAAGCAATACAGAGAAACCCTGTCTTGAAAAACCAAAAAAAAAAAAAAAAAAAAAAAAAAGTGGGCTTATAGCCTACCCTTAATATAAGAGGAAATAAACTACATATAAACATAAAACATTCTGTGTTCTGTGCCTGCCTTTTAGCACAATAGTAAATAATGAAAATTAGTAACAAGAAATTGTAATGTAATTGGGAATGTGGAATGAAGAGCAGACTGGGAGAAGTTCCCAGTCTACCCTTGCATTCACTGTTAACGGAGCCGCGGAGTTCTTCAGGGGGTCACACACACACACACACACACACACACACGCACACTCACATACACACACACTCACACACACACCACACACACACTCACACCACACACACACACTCACATACACACACACCACTCATCACACACACTCACATACACACCACTCATCACTCACACACACACACACTCACACCACACACACACACTCACATACACACACACCACTCATCACACACACACACATACACACCACTCATCACTCACACACACACACACCACTCATCACACACACTCACATACACACCACTCATCACTCACACACACACACACTCACACCACACACACACACTCACATACACACACACCACTCATCACACACACTCACATACACACCACTCATCACTCACACACACACACACTCACACCACACACACACACTCACATACATACACACCACTCATCACACACACACACACACACGCCGCAGGCCATTCATCTGCCACCTGGTGCCCACTAAACTAAAAGTAAGGCCAAGCAATAACGGGAAGAAATTAAACCATTCTGGTCACTCATTCTTGAAAAAACAGAACAGCTATGGATGTGCCTGCTACCTGTAAGCAGTAGGGAAAAGACAGGCAAGGTCTCTCTCTTCTTGTTGAGAGCACGTCAGACAAGACTAAGGGAAGGGCAAAGCCCTCTGTCCAGCATGCTCAAGGCCCTGGGATGGAGACACACAGTGACAAGTGAGGAGGGAAACACATTCAAAGTGCACCTCTTTGCAGGACGACTAGACAGTAAGCGGCTCTGCGGGCTCCACGCCTGCAGAAAGGAGAAGCACTAACACAGTGGTCCTGCGGCAGCTGAGGAACACAGGGTCGGCTTGGGGAACAGACAGTGCGGAAGAGCGAGCAGAGACAAGCGCTGACAGGAGGAGAAACAGCAAAAGCAAAAGCAGGAGTACGCTGGACGTGGACAGTCAGTGATGGCTTTGGGCTTTAGTCTCAATGGAGAGTTTTAGTAACTGCATGACTATCTGCGCGCGCGCGCGTGTGTGTGTGTGTGTGTGTGTGTGTCATGTGCACGCCTGCTGCTCTGTCTCAGAGGTCAGAGGATCTGGAGTTACAGTCACGAACCACCACGCGGGTTCTCTGGAAGAGCGGCAAGTGCTCTTAACCACTGAGCCTTCCTCTAGCCCCTTAATGGAGAATTTTAAATGTCTGTTTCCAGAGGGGCAGGGGTTCATTTAGCCCAGGCTAGCTTTGAATACAAGCATGCGCCATCACGTCCAGTGTGATTTACTTTCTAAAGACAGATGTGCTTTATTTTTAACTGTGTGTGCACAAGCACCAGCATCCTTGGAGGCCAGAGGTGTCAGATTCCTAGAGTTACAGGCACTTGTGAACAGCCCAATGTGGGGGCTAACCCTGAACCTCAGGCCCTCTGCAGCCTCTCTAACCCTGCTAAGATGATGGGCTGAGAGGAGCAAGCTGCCTTTGAGTCCTGGTTCCAACACCCATTTACTTGGTAGCTCACAGTGGTACTCAAGCTCTTCAGCCCTCAGTTTTAAAACCTGTCACGAAGGACAGCTTTTCCAATTTCACATGCTTGCGTTTCCCATGGGCGATCCCTGTGGCGCGATCTGAGGAAGTAGAGAGTTCTGTACCGGTAGCGGCTCACTGTCCTGTCTCCCATCTCTCAGATGTTCTTGGTTGGGAAGAGAGTTCTGCATCCCTACTGGCTCGCTGGCCTATCTTCTGTCTCCCTGAGGTTCTTGGTTGCAGAGCTAAGGAGCAGACTATCTCAGAAGCCGTTGTGGTGGTCTGTGGAAACTGTATTCTAGTTAACTAGTTCCTGGACTCTTGAACTATAACCTGTTCAGACTTGGGGACTGCTTTCCTCCCCAGCAGGGCTTCCAGTGAAGACTATGAATGGGGAAAGCTGAATTCTCTGAAGGAGTTAGATTACAACAATGGCTGAGGATGACACAGCTTCCTAGAAACTGTCCTCCCAGGAAGGAGGGGGAGGAAACTGGCAGATACTACTTTGGAAACTAGAATGTTTAGAATTATTTCCACCTGGCCTTGGTGTTAGGCAGAAGAGGACAGACAGAGCCTTGTAGTCTCTGCTTCTTAGGAGGCCGAGAACGGGAGGCTAAAGTTCAGAGCTACTGTGGGCAACTTAAGCAAGACTACATCAAAATAAAAGACATTTTTTCTTTTTAGTTTTTCAAGACAGTGTTTTTCTGTGTAGTCCTGTTTGTCCTGAAACTCACTCTGCAGACCAGGCAGGCCTTGAACTCAGAGATCCCCCTGCCTCTGCCTCCGTGGTGCTAGGATTAAAGGCGTGTGCCACCACGGTGGGGATGGGTACAAAGGGATACAATTCAACATGAGTACTTGGGCAGCATGCCTCCAAGGTGCTTGGTTCAGTCCCCAGTAACGAAGGTTTTGCTATTTTGTGTGCTCTCATCCCTGACTGGGGGCTCCACACTGTAGCTCACACTGGCCATGATCCCCAGGTCTTCCCTCAGTGTCAGGGCTACAGCCCTGTGCTAGCGTGCCTGGTGGAAAGATGCCTCATGGACGAAACGTCACAAGTTGGCTGTATCATCAGGTACACAAGTTAGGAAGGAGCCCTGGGAAGCAGGTTCTAGAGACAACCAGAAAGGAGCCTGTAACAATCCACACAGCTGCCACACATGTGCATACCAATTCTGACGCACAGCTGAGTGGACACAGCTCCTGTGCCTGCATGCCAGGACTTCTGCACACATGCTCTCCCCCGCCCCACCCCCCAGCCTTTTGCTAAGCAGCACTTGCACCGTGGAAGCAAGCTCACCATGGAAAGAAGGGACAGACTGGCTGCCAAAATGCTGACAACCAGGAAAAAGGATGGCAGACAACCAAATACAGCACGGGACTCTGGCATTACTGCTTTTCAATCTAAATACATCTGATACAACTGTGTGTGTGTGTGTGTGTGTGTGTGTGTGTGTGTGTGTGTGTGTGAGTGAGTGTGTGAGTGAGTGTGTGAGTGTGTGTGTGTGAGTGTGTGTGTGTGTGTGTGTGTGTGTGTGTGTGTGTGTGTGTGTTCCAGTAATTAGCTGGAAAGCAGAGCTGTGTGGAATATACAGTCTCTGACACTAAGACTACCTACCTTTCTGGGTTCTGTTCTGATGGCCTACGATATACCATATACACACATTAAATCCTTCATGTATAGTTTTTCTGCTAATCCACTCAACATTAATAAAAGAAAATACAAACCTGTCAATTACCTAGATTACAAACAGATTAAAAAAAAAAAAAGGCAAATATATGTTCCCAATAGCAGAGACAGAAAGTGCTACATCTGGGGCTACGGAAGTCCGTGTCTTTATTTATGCCAAGTGTTCTCCATACAACAACAGACTCTGAGTTACAGTCCTGGTAAACAGAGCCAGAGGCTTTCTTACAGATCAGCAGAATTCAGCATTGTTCCCCAGAGTTGGGAGCCTGGAACCCAACTCTATCCGACAGCCTGTTTCACTCCTGCTCTTGCGCAAACTCCGGTCTGTGACAGAGTCAGTGCTTACTTTGCGCTGGCTACTCATCGCCCTGTATGAAGCACCAGTTATTTCTAACTGCTGATTCTCAGGGAGTGAAAGACAAGGAGTGATCCATTAGAAAGGGAGCATTCGAATAAATGTGAGCAATATGCACGAAGCCAGAGCAACCAGTGGGAAACTACCCAAATCCAGACGTTTCAGTTGCAACTGAATCTTTGTGCACAGCACTACGATTCAGATGGTGGCCCTTTGCAAAAGTAGTCTCTGGTAGGAAGTGACAGGGTGCTCCAGGCTAGACCCTGCATGCTCCTTCTATATAAGAAACCGTGGTTCCAAATAAATAGAGCATGACAGAGTTTTGTTTTACATTATGCTTGCACAAGATTCCAACTTACCATATTTGTGCTAATACAGGCTGAGGTAACCCAGATTGAAAAAAGAAGTTCCTTGCTTGATCACCTGTAAAGTAAGTGGGAAAAGTTTCAGGAAAAACAGCAGCAGCAGCTGACGGAAATCCTCTTACAGTAACACCACAAGATTATTTAGCAGGTGGTTACCCTCTGAAACCAATGTCCCCAGGGGAAGGCCTGAGGTCTGTAAAAATTAATCTATAGCAAACACCTGACTCAACACTTGACAAGACCTGAGCCTTTGCTGGGATAGATAGATCATTCACCTGAGGCTGTGGCTAAACCAATGAGCTACCCAAAACCGCCCCCAGCATGATGCAACTGAGAGGCGCTGGAGATGTCAGGAGGCGGGCCAGTGAAAAGTCTTAGGTCAGAGCCAATCAGTCCTGAGCTGAAGCAGTGAGCCACTAGAACCTGTCTGTTTTCAGCCCTGATTTACAGGACATTTTGTTACAATCAGGGAGTGGCACATGCTAAGCACACACAGAGGACTCCTTGGTCAACAACTCTATAGAAAGCTTCTCCCCTGAACGCTGGAACTCTTGGTACTAACACAGAACAGGCAACAGTAAAAAAAAGTCCTGTCAGTCAACTGGAGATGGATCATAAAACAAATATAAAAACACCTCCCAGCAAACCCAGGTTCCCACTTCCTGCAGTGAACTCCTGAATGGTGACCAAATAGATGAGGTCACAGAAAGGGAGGGAAAGGACTTTAAAAGACAGCAATAAGATCCTTAGAATGTGTTTTGATGTCTGCAGTTTGAAGTCAGGATCAGAACTTAAGGTTCAGGGCACACAACTGACCCTATTAAAGAATGCAGTCCTCTGCCTATAGCCAAATCCCATCAGAAAGACATTCCAGCAGGCGGCCTGACTCTCATGAAGGGCTGTAAAAGGTGTGCAGGTGTTACAAGAGAAGCAACTTAACAATACAGGCTGGGGGCTTGGGAGTGCTCTGGTCAGAGTTCATGCCTGAGACTGGGCTCCCGAGCTGGACTGCTGAAAGTCATGGGAGACGGAAGGAGAAAACTGACTCCATAAATCCATCTTCTGAGCCCTTCCACTCTAACACACAAGGTGATGTTAAGCAAAACCTTAGAAATAAACAAGTAACCACAAAAATACAGCTTCAAGATGAGGGCAAAATGGATCAAATGCCCTACGGGGCATAGGTGCCCGCTTCCAGTCTGCTCACAGATCTCCTGCTACTCAGTAAGAACGCACAGGCGCTGACTACACACCAGTGATAAATCCGGATGTCGGCTTCAGACTATGGAACTGTTGGTCATGCTTTGCTCTTTCCTCCACAGTTATGGCCCAGATGTCCAGGCTACCTGCAGGGCAAAGACAAGACAGACAAATATTCAACAAGAAAAATAAGACACTTAAAGCACCATGTTCTGCTATAATGGCGTGATCAACCACTGTCCTTAGGAGATATGTATTTATAAAGTCTCAAAGTGAAGAACAGAGCGCCGGGTGGTGGTGGCACACGCCTTTAATCCCAGCACTTGGGAGGCAGAGGCACGTGTATCTGTGTGAGTTCAAGACCAGCCTGGTCTATAAGAGTTCCTTCAAGTACAGCCAGGGAGAGAAACCCTGGGGGGGGGGTATATTGGGGTTTTGCCTGCATGAGGATGCTAGAGCCCTGGAACTGGAGTTCCAGACAGCTGTGAGGGCCATGTGGGTGCTGGGAAGTGAACTCGGGTCCTTTGGAAGAGCAGCCAGCGTCCTCAACAGCTGAGCCATCACTCCAGCCCCCCTTTCTAAAGATTTACTTATTTATGTATGCACTGTTGTGCCAGCACACCAGAAGAGGGAACCAGACCTCATTATGGATGGTTGTGAGGCACCATGCAGTTGCTAGGAATTGAACTCAGGACTGATGGGAGAGCAGCCTTAACCTTGAGTCACCTCTCAGCCTGTAGACCATTCATTTTTAGAAGTAACTTTAGTGAGGCACAATTCAAACAAATATGTATCTTTAGTCCGTAGTCTTCTTTTAAAAGCCACACTAAATTAATTCTAGATGATGGACAAAAAACTTTATGAAAGCCAACCTCTGTCCCAACTCTGAGAACATACGATGCCCATGTTTCACACAACATGATTGTTCCTGCAACATGCTAACTAACCCCTCCTTTCTTCAGGGCAGGGTGGGACAGTGACAGGCAGGCTCCGGACACAGACTAGCAGTCCTACAAAGGAAAAGGGACCTTACTCTCCTGTTGAGTTTCAAACAAAAGCCAAAAACACACAAGGAAAATTATACACTTAATTAAGAAGAAAAACCAAAAGACAAAAATTCCATGTAACAAAAGAATTTCTGAAGATCTGGAAAAGTCTGCACGTGTCTGTCTGGAATCCCAGAGACCCTCCCAGGTGTTCACAGGGTGGCACATGGTCCTTCTCATTCTCTTTACAGCTGACACGAGAAATCTGCTTTTTACATTTCATTTTGGTTTTGGCAATACTGGGGATTGAAAGTGGGGCCTAACCAGGGCAGTCAGGCACTCAAACCTTGTGCTCTCTGTCCACAGGCCTGCCAAGACCACCTGTTAGCACGGCATACTTAGTTTAGCTAATAGATTCCAGGCTGAGGGTGCAACTATGTGACAGAGTGCTTGCCTAGCATACATTTGGCCTGGCTCAATCTCCAACAGTGACAAAGAAAACAACAAGGCATGCATGAGTAACATGCCAGAAAAACACTTTACGCAGACTGATGAGTTTCAAACAGATAAAGTCACGCCAAAATGTCACGCTTCAAATCCAGGCCTTGAAAGAGTATAATGTGGTCATTCGGTTCAACAAATAACTGCAAGCAAGACGATGAGGCAGACAGAGTCTGAGGGTGAGGGCGGAGGCATCTACTACCCACGTGCCTAATTTGGACAAAAATAATGAAAAACTGCCTAAAGCCTGAAGCAGATATAATGTAAATTTTATAGGTAACATACGTGCATGAATTTCAGAAGTTTGGCAATGGTATTATAGTTAAGCTTTTATCATTTAGTAAATAAACAAACTGAAATCTCCAGGGATAAGAAGTTAGGATGCTACTTCAAAGCAAACCAATGGAGTCCCTCGTCACTGGAGCATCTCAAGGCGTCCTATGAGGGCCGGCTGAGTGATTTTCTCTATGTTGGTATGTTTTTTGTGAAGACTAAACACAGGACTTCATGCATGCTAGGCAAGAACTCTACCCCTAAGTTACATCCCAGCCCAAGTCAACTCTGTTAATTTATCTGAAATATCCCATCATTGTAAAGCCTTAACTTACCCCAACTTACACTAAGAAATAAAATTTCAAAACTTACCACCAAAAGTTGTCGGAAACTGAGCCATGGTTCTGTTCCGTTTACCTTGCTAATCGACGCCTGTAATTAAAATGCAAACGCAAGTTTAGGAGAGCCCCAGGTCTGTGTATAAGCACACTAACGTGGTTGTCAGACGTTAGCACCAGAGCTAGAGTGCAGTCCTACAAGTGAAAGGTGCAATGGAGGGTTCATGCACCCCTGGGGAGATTCTCACTGCTGGAAAGAGGGGCGGAAGCCGGGGGACTAGCAACAAGGAGTGTTGGTATGGCTAGGACAGCCTCCTGAGCCACCAGCGCCGCAGCTGACACTTCTGAACACTTCTTAGCCATCTACATGCCCACTTGAGGGTTTTATAGTTACTTTTCATTAAGCACTTAACATAAGGTGTCCCCTACGCAACAGGCACTATGAATTCAACCCCGAGCTGCAGATAAAGGAAAAAGAACGAGGGGGAGGGGTTTGAGCACAGCAAATACCATAGCCTGTGTGTCACCAAGGACGACACTGAGTCGTTCCATATGGTTTCTGAGAAACGGGCAGTCAAGGTGGCTCGGTGGATAGCGCACTTGCCCCCCAACAACACAAGCCTGACAACCTGAGTGGGATCCGTGTAACCTACACACAGGTGGAGAGAACCAGCTTCATCAGGTTCCGCTAGCTCACACCGTGCCACGAGCACGTGCGTGGCGTGTGCGTGGCATGTGCGTGCACACTCGACGATAAAAACTGCATGATCAGAGAAAAGCTGGGGTGAGCCTTCCATCTCAGCACTGGGAGGTGAGGGCAGGAGTTCAAGGTCATCCCCAGGGACACAGAGAGTTCAAAGCCAGGCTGAGCTCCTCTCAAAGCAAAACCGTAAGAAACGTATAGACAGTGCACACTTAGTAATGTCTGCCCAGAATACCAAATTAATGTCCCCAAAATTTCCCATGAGGCATTCCTGCTCATGAGCAGCCAACAAGAAACAAAATCCTCTTCCGCAAATAAAAACTTCAGATTTAGAGACAATTTTTCTGGCTTGTGGTGGGTTTGTCGTGGCCTTAGTCTCCAGTACTGTTGGGGAGTCAGGAGGTGTGGCCTTGCTGGGGGAACGTATGTAATTGGAAGCAGGATTTGAGAGTGTAAAGATTCTCACCATTCCCAGTTTGCTCCCTAGGCTTAGTTGGCCAATGTGTAAACTCTTATTTTCCTGTTCCAGCCTTGCCTGCACTCTGCCCACTTCCTGTTCCAGACACCACGACTCTTCGACTTCAGGAACCTTAAGCCTAAATAAACTCTTCCTTTCTATAAGTTGCCTTGGTCATGCATGATGTTTTATCAGAACAATAGAAAGTAGCTAATACAGTATGTAAGTTAATTTTATTACAGCAAATTTCCACAGTCAAAAAGAATACAAGGCATTCATTACAATTTTTAGATAAATCTTGTCAGATGTGGTAGTGTATGCTTATAAATCCAGCACTCAGGAGGAGGAAGCTGGAGGACCTGAGTTCGATGCCAGCTAGAGTTGTCAGTGCTGCACTGCCAAGACAACATCTCAACAGCTTAACAACAAAGTTCACAGAGATCTGGGCTTTAAAATATGCCTCTTGCCTCCATGCACCTCCAACTCAGTGTTTGTGGAGTGGTTCCAAGTATGTCTTTAAGCCTCCCGAAGTCTTTTCTCCACCCCACCTGTTCTTCATACCCTGGCATTTACAGTGTTTACACACTGGACTTCTCAGATCTGCGTTTTAGTTTTCTTCTTTCTTCAACTATGTGGTCCTTCTGGTCCCTCTGTGTCACAGCGGCCTGGCTGTGCTGAGTGTGTCCCTGGTGACCCTGTATGCTCCTTTCCAGTGAGCACTAAGCTGGTGGGAGATGTGTGTGTTGGGAGTCAATCAAGAAGGCTGAATTGCCTTTCCTGGGGGAGACTTCCCAGCATCCTCAAACCTGCTCCCTCCCACCCGAGAAAGCTGGGTATGGCGAGAACGGTGTGATGCCACCATCACAGGCTGGCTTGGATGACGGTAAGGGTCCTCCACAGAGCATGAAGTCAGATCCTGCTTCATCCCTCTACCCATGGAGTTTCTCCCAGAGGAGAAACCAAAGTGGTCACCTATCTGCAAGGACTTCAGGACAGACACCTGGACTGGACAGTGAAAGAATTTCCATTTTGAACTGCGGCCTGTGGGGACACCTGCAGTCCCCAAGCCCGTACAGCAAGACGGCTGCAGTCCCTCTGCGCTGTGGATCTTCCCCGCACACTCAGGGACTGTGCTCCATGCCCCGGGTGCTGGTTTCTGTTGTTACAGTCTTCTATCTGAGTGACTCTTTGCTTCTGATCATGACAGGAAGACAGAACACACCTGTGGCCGAGTGACCAAACTGACGAAGAGGTCTGACAGTCCAGCTGTCATCGTTTCCCAAGAGCATGTTCTCTCATTCGATGCTTTTACAATTGACAGCTCATACACTTTCTTACCCAACTTACCAAAAATGGCCAGCTCTGAATGGGTTTTGTTTTTCAAGTCTGGGTTTCTCTGTGTAGCCCTGGCTGTCCTGGAACTCAAAGATCCGCCTGGCCTGCCTCCTGAGCGCCAGGACTAAAGGCGTGCGCCACCATGGCCAGCTAAGCTCTGCATTTTTAACGTGTAGTGAAACAACTACTTAATGCACACTAGAGAATCTGCTGTTCGTTCCGTCTGACTAAGCTTCATCCGTCACCATTTACTGCAAAACTAAGACAGCTGATTAAAGCCGTTTGTGCCCACCACTCCACGCCACGCCACGCTCTCGCTGTGCCGTTCATTTTGTAAGTAAGTACCTTAGGCTTGCGAGATCTGTTTCACCTGGAAATAAAGATCCGGCCTCTAGCCGTTACAAAACCTGGGTATATGCAGCACCTGTGACAGAAGCAGCTCGCTGTATCGCCTCTGATTCAGGGTTTCACATTCGGGTGGTTTCCCCTGGTTCCTATTTTACTTAATGTTTTTGTTAAGGAATGGATGCTAATTTTTAGAAGCTTTCTTCTTAGCACATTTTTTTCCATTTATTAGCATTCTGGGTTTTTCTTTCTTTCAGTGTTGGGGATTGATCTGATCCCATATGCTAAGAAAGTAGACCCTACCACTGAACTACATGTAGGTCTGACACTGAATTACAGTGACTGGTTAGCTAATACTAAGTCGTCCTAGACTTTTTTGTAATAAACACAATTTAGACAAGAATGCTATTCTTTTACAGTTAGGTTTAGTGTACAATAAAATGATGAGTCTGGAGGAATTTACTACCCTATGAACTACAAAATTCTTACAGTACAAAATGTGTAAAAATGATTAGAAATATTGATATAAAATTAAAATGTGACCAGGAAAAATTTTAGAGATGAGTTTGAATGAACCTTCCTCCAGACACAAACATTTGTTACCAAAACCAGTCCAGAGAGGAAAACTGAGGCACCCTCAATTTAAGTTATAATCAGGACACTCTGAACATTAAGCTATTATATGAAAGCATTAAAAAGCATACTATTCTTGTTTTAAAAGGCAAGCATTTGTTGTCCAAACATTAAGTTTCATCACACTTTCATGCACACCATTCTTATAAACATAATGTTACGCCTTCCTTTAAGTCTTTCACAACTCCCCGAGAGGGTCAAAACTAGACAGAAGGATGTGACTATGACCATAGCGTATCAGTTCCCGTCAGAGAACCTAAGATTAATTGCTGTTTACCACAGAAACGAATCCCCATCCTATGGGGTTCTTTCCCACAAAGAAGGGCACCTAAGATGAAGGGGATGCAGGGATGAACGGCTGGTGGCTGCCCCCCCCCCCCCCCCCACTGATCGTCTGCTAAAGGACAACCAAACAGCTGCAGGCTGCCCTGAGTCCAACATCTGGGAGTGAGGCCTTCCATCTCCTCCCCTTCCTAAGCACACCTCGGGGCTCTGAGGGTCACTGAGCTCTGATCTTCAGCTGGCAACAGTATATAGTCTCTAGTAAAATCTAAGCCGCTGTGAGGACTGAGTGAAGGGTGCCTCCCAGGCCTGTTCACCCACCCCACAGGCAAAAGTTGATATAAGGCTGATGTGGCTGGGACACTCTCACAATCTCCCCCTCCTAACGCTGAGTCCTTCAAATGCCAACCACTGCTAAGTTCTCCTAAGTTCCGGGGAACCTGAGACGCAGGGACAGAAGCTCCTGCAGACTCTCTTCCTTGTCAGTTCTGTGCCGGCTGGACCACTGAGGCTGGCCTTCAATTCGTAATCCCCCACCTCACCCTCCCTAGCAGGACTACAAGCATGCACAACACCAGGTACCATTCTGTTATTAAATCTGAAAAGTAACATGTACAGAGCTACTGAATTTAGGAAAATGATCACAAGCAAGACACAAGGCCAGGCTCTGCTGGACCTCTTGCCCCTTATTAGATCCAAAACTCTGTTCAAAGCACACAAGGCTAGCTACCAAGGACAGAACTTAAAGAGAAACCAAGCCACCCCCCACCCCTTCTATAGTCTAGAGCCTCGGCCCAGGATGGGCCACAATCAGGGAGCCAGGGAGTGAAGTGAGGTGCTAAGACTCCAACAGAAACCCAGTATCTCCGGGCAAAAGAGCAAAGCAAAAAGGGCTCTGTGGAGCGTGGAGAGACCGGAGAAGAATGCTTCGGTCTGTGAATGCACTGGAGTCTCAGGTGTGTGAATGCACTTTGGAGTCTCAGGTGTGTGAATGCACTGGAGTCTCAGGCGTGTGAATGCACTGTGGAGTCTCAGGTCTGTGAATGCACTGGAGTCTCAGGTGTGTGAATGCACTGGAGTCTCAGGCATGTGAATGCACTGTGGAGTCTCAGGCATGTGAATGCACTGTGGAGTCTCAGGTGTGTAAATGCACTGTGGAGTCTCAGGTGTGTGAATGCACTGTGGAGTCTCAGGTGTGTGAATGCACTGTGGAGTCTCAGGTGTGTGAATGCACTGTGGAGTCTCAGGTGTGTGAATGCACTGTGGAGTCTCAGGTGTGTGAATGCACTGTGGAGTCTCAGGTGTGTGAATGCACTGTGGAGTCTCAGGTGTGTGAATG